TTAATTCCTCGGGAAATGTGCCATTTTCCAATGATACATTCACAAAGTGGCACCACACAAGCCCAATAACATCAAAGCTATTTTTCACAACTTCACTGTTTAGGTCATAAATTTTACTTTCATTATTTTCTAGATTTCATAGGTTATATTTATTGATTTCTTTAGGACATCCTAATATACGTACATTATTTTAAAAATATATAAATAAATAACATTTAATAACAAAAATGATGAATGATAGAAGAAAAAAGAGTGAGGTGTTTTCACCTGAACTTGAGCATATCATATGCTTCCATCAAACTATATATTACACGCATACACACTACTCAAAGCTTTGTCACTATTATCATATAGATTGTTGTAAGAAGAGGTTATTTCCGCTCATCAATAATTTTCGCTGCTTATGAGTTTCATACACTCCACACGGCTGCTCTCTCTGAACACTTCAGATTTGAATAATAATCGTTTGCAGTTACTCCCGCCAAAACCTCCTCTCGACGAAGAACATCGAGTCCCTCTCGAATCCCCCGTGCACCACTTACGACCGTTCGAACGTCGTCAACGAACGAACGAATCCATTCGTCGGCTTCTATTCCAAGAGCAATTTCGAACAGGGCTCGACGTTCGCCGCGCACGACAACACCCGAACGACGCCCGACGTGCTGAACGTCACTCACAACTCCACAAAGAGTGGCAGCGAACAGGCCGCAGCGCCTTCTAGCGGCGAACGGATGGTTGTGCCATCTAGCGGCGAACGTATGGTGGCGCCATCTAGTGGTGAACGGATGGTAGCTCCATCTAGCAGCCAAAGAGTGGCAGTGCCATCTAGTGGTCACAACAACGAGCAAGATGGTTTCCGGGTGCAGCCGAACTTCAACTTGAGCCATGACAGCAATTTATTCGGCTCGAATCTTACCGAGGATCAGCTCCTCGAGGTGATCCGGAGGAGGAACGAGTTGACCGAAGAAGGTTCCGAAGATCGGACATCTAGGTGAGTCAATTGAGTTTGAGATATATTACTTTGAAAGGGATTGAGTAGAGCTTGAGAAATGTAGGAAGAACTTCCTGCCAAGTATATCCCATATAAAAGAATTGTAATGTTGCAGGTCTAAGCTGTTTGAAGAACTACGCGAAAACGTCTACAAAGAAGTGGCGTCTCTCATATCTGCCAACGAAGCTAGACCTCACTTTCTGATCCAGCTGTTCAGGGATCTTCAGATGATTGGTTCCGACTTTTTGCGGCTGCAGATTCTACAGGCAATACAGGCGGTCATCACGCAGTTTTCTAACGTGCCTGTAAGTCAAGAATTCCTTCTGGTGCTTTCAAATTTATAGATTGTTGAGAAAATATAATTTTGAGAAGAATTCTTATTGTAAATAGTTACACCCCACTTTTTTACAAGTATCTTGGTGGATCCTCTACAAATGAGGTGACAATGTGGGATAATTCAACAGCAAACCTTTTTTTTAAGGATACTGAGCAAGCCACCATTGATCAAGAGGTAGTTCAGATTCCAGATAGCTTTCCCATGCAACCTACTATTTGGCCCAAGTCAAGTGTTAGATTTAAGGTGAGCTCTTTTTCAGTTTTCATGAGTCTGTGCGGGTTTTATTCCCTGAGTTTTGTTTTCAGAAGTTTCATGGCTGTCAAGAAATATTAAAGGAAATTAGACCGTTTTTGCATAGGCACGCGAACCACGTCTTCCAAAATCAACTGCTCTCATCTTTGAAACAGACTCTCTTGGCATCAGCCTCGTTCAAAAAAGTCGTGAAAGACGCTGTGTTCGAGACGCATTTTTCCAATCTTCTTGATGGAGTTTTACGTCAGTATTATGGAAAGAAGTAAGTTATTTTAGGTACAGTTTCTGTGGTCTACAACATGAGGAATGATATCACTCGAAACGCCCAAATTCAATTTGATGACGTCAACTGAATTTGATGACGTCAACTGAATTTGATGACGTCAACTCAATTTGATGACGTCAATTCAAGAATACATCATATTTTCTTTGGTTTGATGGAGTTTCAGGAAGTATATTGTTTTTCAAAAGCATTAACCTCACTCAAAGGCTTCGTTTCATCAAAATTTAAGTATCTCTAACCTAACTCGTATACACCGAGAAAGACATCCATAAAGAGATATCTCCAGTATTGGAGTATTGAAGAAAATGTCAAGATCTGTAAAAATGGTTCACTCACAGTGGAGATGAAATTGAAATGTTGGATGGAAATTCATAAAATGTTATATTTGGAAGGTCAGATGAACTTTTTCAATAAACAAGTATCGTGTCATTGAAGAAAATCGCCCACAAACTAGAACCCTGGGGAACTCCTTGAGTCAGTGGAACTGTGTGGGATGAATTATTTATTCCACGTCATCTTTTAGCTATTCAACTTCTATAATTGATGAGCTGATTACAAAAATTACTGTCCCAGGTACTGATGGAGCAGATCTGATGAAAACTTCACTGAAAGATTCATTTTTCTTGAAGCCAACTGATGAAACTGAAGTGCAAACTATAATTGCCTTATTGAAAAATTCAAATAGTTCAGATGCCTATAACATCAGTTCGGTAATAGTGAAGATGGCATGTGACGCTCTTAGTAAGCCTATAGCACACCTAGCAAATATTTGCTTCTCATGTGGAATGTTTCCAGCGAACCTAAAATTATGTCGAGCACCACCAATCCTAAAAAAGGGGGATCCCAATGATTGCAATAACTATAGATTTATTACCATAACTCCCATTATATCAAAGATAATTGAAATTCTAGTCAAAAACAGACTTGATTTCCTTGAAGGGGGTAGATACTTGAATGATGCTCAATATGGTTTCAGATCAATGAGGTCTACATCACAAGCAATGACGGAAATTGTTCCCACCATTGCCCATAATAAAGATTTGGGTATCAGCACTTGCTTACTTCTTCGCAATCTATCTAAAGCATTTGACAGTGTTTCCCATGACATATTATTGAGAAAACTTGAAAAATATGGTATTAGAGGCATAGCATATGACCTAATACATTCTGTTTTGACAGACAGGCCGCAATATATATTATATAACAATGTAAAATCTGATACTGAAATTGTTAAGCATGGTGTACCTCAGGGATCCGTACTTGGTCCCCTTTTATTTATTGTATACATAAACACTGGCAAAATGTGAAACATACTTTAGCGCTAATGTTCTATGCTTGAACGCAAATAAGACTCAGGAAATAACCATTTATAATAATAATAATAATAATAATAATAATATCCTTTATTGCCATATAAATCTACAATGGACAGGGCAACGTCAATAGGTTTTGATATTTACAATATTTGTTATATATAATGATAATAATAGTATAATAAGGTACAGTACAATAATGAATAAGACGGTTGAATAATAATATAGTAACAATAATAATAGTAATAATAATATCCTTCCTATAAATCTACATTGACGTCAATGGTTTAAGATTTGCAATAGGTGATATTTATTACAACTACAGTTCCCATATCACAATTTTTATAACTGGTCAACATTACATGTTGGATAATTTAAGAAGGACTTTTAAAAGAATTTTGAACAGTACTCAGTTATGGTGCAATCGCATAGAGACCCATCACCGACTGTCGAAACTATAATAAACTTTGGTTTTTAGATAATCAATGACCGAGAGTCTGAATTTGTTGTGGTTTTCTGTATTTCTAATTTCTCTTGGGAGAGATTGATAAGCTTTTATGGCTTTGTAATGCGGTCCTTTTTCAAAAAATGGTGAATTATGTCTCGGTATGCTTAGTTCATTCTTGTGTCTGGTATTTAAAGTCATTTGGTTTGAGTTGAGACAGTTTCTCATGAAGTTACTATAATGTTTTTTGACAAACATGACTAATTGTAGAAAACAGATTGAAGGAACTGTTAATATGTCTAGTATCTTGAAGTGTGGTCTACATGTTGATCTATGAGGTAGTTTTAACATACAGCGAATTATCCTTTTTTGAGTTTTGAAGATTTTATATGACTGTGTGGATGATCCCCAGAAAATAATTCCGAATTGAATAATAGATTGAATATGCGCATAATAGTATATCTTCAGACTATCTAATGATACTTGATCTCTTAGTGCAAATAGATCCTAAATGTCTGACGGTGACAAAGAGGTGTATCTACTAGGATTCCACCTTGACAACAAATTAAATTGGAATGGACATACGACATCATTATGTAAAAAACTCTCGAGAGGACTAAGGAGTTTAGTTTCGAACCATGTGCTGAGAACTGCGTATTTTGGCATGGCTCATTGCCACATGAACTGGAATACTGATATGGGGTGCTTCCACACATACGAGTGAAGTATTCATTATTCAAAAAAAAGATAATGAGAGATTTAGAAAAAGTTGATTCCAGAACCCATGCTAAACCAATCTTCATAAAATAGGTCATACTTACATTATTTTTCATGTATATACTACAAGCAGTATTGTTTGTACATAAAAATAAAAATAATAGTGGCTCCAGCATTCACAATTATGATACAAAATACAAAGATATCATCAGGCTACCGAAGATGCATTATCAAAACACAGCCAAACAAACGGAGTTTCTTCCCATAAAAATATATAACACTTTGCCTAGTGAGTGGAAAGACCTTCATATCAAAGAATTGAAGTTCAAAGTAAAAAATTCACTTGTCAACCAAGGCTTCTATAAGATTGATGAAGTATTCAATTGTCAGTGGACCTAATATATGTGTGTGTGTATATGTGTGTATTTATATTGTGAGTCATAACTATTGTGAGATTTTTCTATGTACTCTATGTATATTTTTTATATTTTCAGTACGACGTACCTAAGCAAATTTTGTTATTGCAGATATTTTCTAATGTAACAGAAATTGTAATTTGAGGTCAACAAAATTTCTTTCTTTCTTTCTTTTTGGAAAGGACAGATAGCATCAAACAATTCATATGTAATAATTACTTCAATAAAAGTAACTCATATATTTTTAGAGTTGGACATGTCAGAGCCCATTTGATCCAAACGTTAACCGACTTGTTTTCCGGGGAATTGGGCTACATCCAGTTGATTCATGACACTGCGCAGGAATCATCCCATCCTCATCAATCAAACGAAGCAGGCTATGACAGTACAAATTTCCTCCAAGAGTCTCAATCGCATGAGCAGCAGAGTAACAACGAAAACGTTCCTCAGGTATGTTGAGAGATAGCGAAATACTCAAAATACTAATCGAGTGGATCTGAAATAATTGTTCTATTGTGATTGATTTTCATGGTAGCCTGTTGAGAACATCCAAAACGAAGACCTGGCCGAAGCGGATCAATCTAGGGTTATTAGCGAAGACGTGGAAGATGAAGAAGAAGAAGAAGAGGAAGGAGCCGTGGGGGGGATTTTGGAGGTAGTACAAGATGTGGAATCTCAGGAGGTGAAGCAGGTACACATATGATTTGTACTTCTTGGTAGTGAAACGCATGAAAATTCTCAGTGGCTTGTTCTCTTTTGAATTAAATAACAGTATTTATTGAAAAACAGTTCAAATATTAATTCATTCTTGCCCTTTGATTTTTTTCAGGATATTTGTGATGAAGCTGGAGATTTAGCTGCTGCCGCAATAGAGGTAAATAATTCAGAGTATCACATTAGCTAGGTTAGGATCACTCTTCCTTGAACAACGTATATTCAAATGTTTCAACACATTGTTGAAGTTGAGCATCTCGGCTACCCTGGAAATAAATGAAATCATATTCTTTCGCCATCGATTTCAAACGTTTCTAACAAATATTTTTCCCAAGCAAATTTTCCGATTCCAAAATAAACTCTTCACAAACCTGTGTGGATCGTGTAAAGAAGTAAATTTTAGACACAAACAGGAAAAAAAAGCTCTATTCAGTTTGTCTTCCAAACGTTCATTATGGAATTGAGTCAAATATCATTACAGGATTGCTACACAATATAGTATATGGAAGAGGTCAAATTTCACTCACATGGAACACTGTCATCCTCAATGGTGGACATCGATGTTTCGGAATAAGACACGTGTTATTTTGCCTCTTCAGCACTGATATAGATGAAGTAGAAAGCCATAATCTTTCTTTGCCATCAAATATTTACTTCTTATAAATCTCTAACAAATTTTGGTCTATAAATTTATAATGACTCACCCATTTATATGAAACCATTTTTATGTATCTCATATTTAAATAGAAAAAAATGTTTCTCATAGATAAATGTATATTACGTTCAAAGATACTGCAACATAAAATTACTGGAATTCAATCTTTGACGTCCTCCGTACAACCGGTCTGTACTGAAAGCTCCAGAAAATGTATCAAATATAAGAGTTTTCGAACTTTTACACTTCCACCCCTATAGATTATGGATGTAAACAGAAACTATTGTTTTCAGGGTTTGGATCAGGTACCGATTAGGTTGCCCATTGCTGTGAAGTCCCGATCATCGACTCCAGTCAGAGGTAATAAAAACTTGGTCGCCCTCACCTGGTTCTTTCTATCAAATAATACCATTATTTTCTGTTTCAGATACAACAAACTCGGATTCGAGCCCGTTTTAAACTGTTTTTAAATTGTATTTTATTTCTAGGTTAGGATATTGTGATTCTGGAATAAACGTTATATTTTGAAGTCAATTATTCAAATGAAACACAAACGCACATTAGCTTTATTAACCAATATTAATATAAAAGTACGAAATTATTACACGCGTCAAAACGATATTCATCAAAGTATTACTAGTTACATATTTATTCCAAAAAAAAAATAACTAAGCTAATCGAGACCAACTAAAAATATATTTTTTAATCCCGCTCGCACATCCAATGATACAAACTAACACCATGCGTCCCCATCAAGATATCTTCCAACACGTTTTCTTCTTTGGCTACAGTTCTCAGGTCCTTTTTCGTGTCTTCTAGGAAGAAACAAATCCGTGAGCTAATGAAAACGATAAATTCTTTTCTAAAATCTACAAATGCGACTAGAAACCTCTAGAAGTAGTGCCCCATCGTACACCTGGACAGGTCCGGTATATTGTGAGTCGGTTTTCTCGTGGGCGTTATGAGAGGAGTTGGTACAGGGTTGATCTTTGGGGGCAGAGTCGGGGGGCTGTCATCTGAAACGAATTCAGATTCGTGGTGAGTTTACCGGCGATTTGGGTGATGAGGATCTTCAACTCTCATCAGGTATCAATTCATTTGGATATTGGACATTGTTACCTAGTTGTAGTTGAAAATCCTCCAAAACCGGTTGCAATTTATTACGAACATAAAAAAAGATCCATTTAGAACACAGTTTAGTCTTTTTTCGGTTTGATATCCAATATTTTTTATAGATATTCATTTGTAAATATTCAATTTGTTATATTCAAACTTCTGTGAAGTAACCATTGCAAAAACTTTTTTTTTTTTTTCGGAATACCTACATTTCATTGTTTTGTCAAAAAGAATTAATTTTTGGGAAGTAACAAATGAAAATTTAAAAAATAGCTGAAAATAATTATATTAAAAAAACTGAGAAGAAATCACAATCAAATAAAAATTGAACAAAAAATTAAGCAATTAAAAATCAAAAGATTTCAAACCAAGTTACTTTACGATGTTTCGATTGTTAGTATCCACAATCGTCTTCAGGTAATGATATATCATATTAGATCATATATTAGACAATGGAAGTCCTTCACCTTCAAATAAAAGTTGCTTTGTTATTAGTTTAAAAATATGTTACCCATATTTAGGGTTGGCAATAAATTTGTGTAACGCGTTATTGAATGAAGCACTAATTCATTGTTTTCATTATATCCAACAATTACAACATATTTATGTTTTATCGCGAATGAATTACCTGAATCACCTCCTATTATAAGCGAAGTTGCCAAGTAAATGTATTTGTGTTAAAAAAGACACCTAGCAAGCAACAATCTATGTTTATCAACGATGTAAACCGCACAATCATTAAAAATATTTCCTGAATCAGGAAGTGATTTCCTGGGCTGCGTATTACACGAAAAACTGCAATAAATTATAAAACTAGCAAGGTATGCTCATTTGGAAACAGTTGGGAATGAAGTGTATTAAATTAAAGTATACAATTAAGTGGGAAAGTGGCTAAAATACCTAACGCCGATAAATTGATGAACAATAATTATTTCAACACTAAAATTAAGGGGGAATTTAAGATATTTTTGATACTCAGCACAAAATTTTCAAACTCAAGATTCAATTATGTCTAATTCATAAACAAAAAGTCATCAACACTCATGAAAAATAATAAAAAAATGTCCAATTCACGGTACCGGCAATTTAGTCACTGTGCTTTATAAGTTCGCCATAAACACTTGCTTCATCTAAAAATAACCTCTTTAGTCACACGGAACCTGATTGACGGCTAAATAAATCTAGGAAAACGGGTTTCAGAATATTCCGTTCGAAACCATGGAAAACTTAGCAATTCATTACAATGATAGCTAATACCTACTTGCATCGGAACAATCGCGCCTTTTTTTGAATTCTCTGATATCCGCAACGTGCTCCGATCGGCGTTTCCTGTTTATATGCCGCCGAACATTTACCATTTGCATTTGCATATCACTTTCTTCGCTTTGAACGTCCATATCCATCCTGTCATTCCTTGCCTGCTCCTGATTTTCGTTTCTGGTGCTCCCCTTGTCCGGTGGATTGATTTGGGGTTGATATCCGTAATACCCGTTGAAGGAAATCAAAGTATTCGAACCGGAATTTAACATCGCCGTGTCCATGTTTTCGGGAAGCAATGGAAACATGCCGTAGCTCAGACTTTCCCGCATCTTCGATTTTTATTTTCAACGATGAACGATGATTCTATTAGCGTTACCAACTTTGTTTGGTGGATAACAAATGACGAATGCGTCGGCTTGTTTTCGTGACCAACTCCCGCTCGTTTGTTTCTCTTCCGGACCCCCGCCCTCTTACACCCCTCTCCTAAACTGCCGGTGGTTACCAGATTAAAAAGTGCGTGCGTATTATTGCAATTATTACAACTTTCACTTGTTTCAATGAGAGAATACTATGGTATTACAAATGAAGGATTTCCTGAATACTGTAACAGTCATTTGGTAAACAGCTTTCTATTGTTTAAACATTCGTATTTGAACTTCGGGTGTCATCGTTATTGGTCGGTAACGAAAGATTGGGAATTTTCCGCTCCTTTGAATTTGAGCCAATGATTAATGATATAGGTATATGGTGCTAATGATTATGTGAATATTGGTATGGATATTTAATTACTCTCTTTGGTGTGTTATACAAAAATGTATGATTTTGGGTATTTACGTAAATTTTCAAAGTAATAACATCATTTCACAAATTGAATCAATTTTATTACACATAGGTAAATGTTTCCTTCTCAATTTTAGCGTTGTTCGGTAGAACTAGCTTTTGCTTTTTATTGCTGTAACACTCTGTACTTTCTGGTGTCTACCTTGGTAACAGGCGTCCCAATTTATTCACAAGTTAATCGTTAAATGGTCTTTTGAATTATGATAATGAGTTGCAATAAAGATATTTTGTATAACTAGGATTCAGGTAGGTCTATAGGAGTGCTGTAAAATTGCCCTTTATTCATATTTAGGCTAGATATTTTGAACAGCAAATATGTATAGTATGGTTAAAAAAAGAACTATTGTCTATAGTATGTTCAAGTAAAGCTCGTTCCATAAAATATTTAGTCAACAAAATGGCAGAGTCCAAACAATAGGTATTATCGTGATGCGTCTATAGACCTTGTATTTCAAAGAAAAACACCCCAACTCGGTGTTCAAGACAGAGGCTTTTCTAGCGGAGTTTAAGCTTATATAAGAGTAGCAATGGAAAGTTATTTTGAAATAGTCAAAAAAAGTTTTGAAGGCCTTTCCTCTGATGATAAAACTATAAATGACAAAGCTACAATTGTTAGGGATCCTATTTGGTATAGATTTGACTCATTTTGAGCTGTGATCTTGTTATACTTTGAGTAACGTATTACTAAGGCATTTTCCATATGGCTTTAAAAAGAAAGTAACAAAAAATATATTAAAAAGTTGTAGACAAATATGCTTCTTCATAATGAGTTTTTAATCAAAGACAAAGTAACTGCAAATGCTGGATAACTTTGCCCTGTAAACAATTTTAAAACAGTGTTACTCTTGTTTACTTACGTATTTTTTCATAATTTATGGTTATTAGAAATCCATAGACTGTAAAAAAATACTGTATGTACAAATACTAGCAATATGTACCTAATTGCTACTTTGGTTGCAAATGGTGTATCAATAATTTACTTCAATCCCTGTGAGAGTCTACCTGTTGGTTTTATCATTCAGGTTAAAATGTTCAATTCAGTACATCTCTTAAGAAACTTTGCCCAATATTATACCAGGTATTTTATTAATGAGAAATAAACAAGTAAAAGTATAAACTGTGTTTTATTGAACTGTTTTGTGGTTTTAATGAAAATCACAGCACCGGAAAAATGTATGAAAAAAATCAAAACCGAGGATAAAAGATACCTAAAAACATTCACCGAACTAATTCAAAACAGGTAATACACAACTGAATGGTTCTCTACTTAAACCAAAGAAGGTAAAAGTTGAATATCATTTTACATCCATTCCGTTCCTTCCAAAACAACTATTTTGAATAAGCCTAGGTAACACTTGAACTAGTCTATCTTTTCTACAGGTTTTCCCTTCTCCGTTCCAAAGTAAGCTTTGTAAATATACAATCCCAGAGCTATATGGAGCATTATGACGGCGAATATTGCAGACCAAACATTTGTAGCTATCGGAGAAGCTCCGATTATCCCTAAAACAACGAGTAGATTTACTATCCCGTGACTGAACGGTGGAAAGTCTCACCTTCGAACAACACTAATTTGGAAAAGAAGAATGTAGTTATTGGTGACGCTAATATGAAAACGCAGTATGCTAGTACAGTCTTGAATGACGAATATGCGGAAATTGTAGAATCTTCCATTTTAATTTCGAGACTTTCTAAAACTATGTGAGTAAAAAGTAAATATAACCTTACTTTTCTACTGTCATCTTCTTATTTGTTCTAGTTTCTGGCCTCTTCTGCAATAGCATTCCGGCCAATTTTCGGTCTCTTGTTTTAACAAATCAATATCAGATGATTAAAAACAATTTTATTTCTCAAAGAAGTATGAGAACATAGGCTTTCATAGCGAAAGTCACGATTAGAAAGAACAGAATCCGGGCTGGTGGGCCATGGTCGAATTAATTTTTTGTAGTGCTAAATGTTTCGTCCGCACTGCGGTAGACGTTTTCAGGTGTTGAAAGCATTGTCTGCGGGAGCGAAAGTAGTATTCCGAAATATCAGTAACGACTGATTGGGGAGTGAGGAGTTCCATTTTCATTGGCATTTATTCTTATAGTGAGTGCATAGTGCACATTAGCGAGGATTGCTGTCTAAAGACGTTGGTTGTTATTTACATCGACTTTTGTGGTCCTTCTACGTTTTTATAGCTTTCCTCGTTCTCAAACCAATATAAAATAAATATCGAATTAACAATAGTTGGAGCGCTCTCAGTTACCTGTACTTGTTGGAGTTGAGTTATTTTACGGATTACATTTTTTTCATTAAAAAGTATATTTTCAATAAATTTAGTGTTTTGAGTTCTGATTTTAGTTCTAATTACTATTATTCCAAATGCATAGTGCACATTATCGAAGATTGCTCTCTACAGATGTTGGTTGTTATTCACATCGATTTTTGTGGCCTTATTACGCATTTACAGCTTTCCTCATTCTCGAATCAATATAAAGTAAATATCGAATTAACAATAGTTGCAGCGCTCTTTGTGACCTGTATTTTGCGATTTAGAAAACAAACTTTGACGTGTTTTCTGTTGTCATTTGTCATTCCATCCGTCAACTATTTGAGTATTTGACAGATGAGTTGAATTTTAAGAAAGAAGCAAATCACGCTAGTTCAAAACTCCAAAACTAAATTTTTAAAATCGAATTTAAACAGTCAATATGAGTTCAATAGGAACTGGGGTTTGTACATATTATTTCCTACCATACCATTTCTTTTAATAACTTTAGAAGCATTTAAACGTACCTACAGTAAAAACTGTATTTACTCTTATTTAGTTTTTAAATGAGATATAGTAGTGGTGTTAGTATTTATACAAATGGAAGAACATATTTGAATAAGAGAATTATTTTCTATATTTCAATAAATACATAACCTTACAATTCAACTTCCAGTATGACTTGTCGGCTTCGCAATTCTCACCTGACGGAAGAGTCTTCCAAGTCGAATACGCCATGAAAGCCGTAGAAAACAGTGGGACCATCATTGGCCTCAAGGGCACCGACGGAATCGTCCTGGCAGCCGAGAAGCTCATCATGTCTAAACTGCATGAACCGGGAACGAACAGGAGAATCTTCAATATCGATAGACATATTGGAATGGCGTTCTCCGGCCTGATAGCGGACGCTCGGCAGATCGTCGAAATCGCTAGGAAAGAGGCAGCTAATTATAGGCTCCAGTACGGCATTAACATACCTCTGAAGTACTTGAACGACAGAGTGAGTATGTACATGCATGCATATACCTTGTACAGTGCCGTTCGGCCTTACGGATGCAGCGTTATATTAGCTAGTTACGATGAGGATGAGCCTCAGATGTACCTAATTGATCCATCAGGAGTTAGCTATGTAAGTATATTATTTTTTGTTGAAAACTCCATTATTGTTCAGTAAAATTTCGAGACAATTAACCAATACCTTTTTTCATGAAAATCCATAACATATTCCAGAAATACAGTGATTTGTTACTTACAAATATTGATAACCAGACCTTCAATTTTTGATTTTCATCATGATTTTTATTGGGGTGTTGTGCTAACTTTATAATTATTAATTTGTCAAAACGTTGCTTATAACTAAATAAATAATTCATAGAAATATAAGATTACATTGCCACGAGAAATAGACTTACACTGTTTTTTCCATTGAAATCAAAACTTGGTTGTCCATATTTATAAATTGGTGAATAATTTATTACAGAGTTATTATTTCAATTAAAACAGTATTCAATCTATAATAACAAAAATCCTAGATATTTTAAGTACTTAATTTGTTCATTTCTTATCAACTTATATCCATTTGAATATCTTTTATTTTGTTGTAAATTCATACTACTGATTTTTTGTTTATTTCTTGTTGAATCAGGAAATTCAATTTCAAATGAAGTATTTAAGTTATTTGTTTCTCCTTCTGCGAGGTAGAATTCCTTTTACACTGTTTTTTAGGGGTTTCACGGCTGCGCAACAGGAAAAGCGAAACAGTCCGCTAAAACCGAAATAGAGAAGCTCAAACTAGGCAATTTGACATGTAAAGAATTGGTGAAAGAAGCAGCAAAAATGTAAGTAATGGATCAAATGAATTATGGTTTGTCAAAATAAATAAATATTTCAAAATGAAACAACGAAACGTTCACCCCTTTCAACGCTCTCATACAGAGGGTCTGGGAAATACCTGTGGAAGACAATGAACTTCCTGATTAATACCATGACAGACATTGGCTTATATTCAAGGGAAATATATGAAAACTTCCCCGTTGAGGAAGTTCATGCAAATCAGATCTAATTTACACAGTATCTGTTTTGAATACAATGAAGTTTACTCTGACAAGAAACTTTTCTCTGGAGAATTTTTCTAGTTCCCAATGTAGTAGTAGTAGAATATGTCTGCCGGAAACAACTACTTTCCCGAGTAATACCACGACAGGTAGTGAATTTATGCGATGGACATTTGTGCAAAGTTCCTCACAGAATAATTTTGATTTTTTTTTCTGAAATATTAATTTTCTTGTCATGTACAAGGTCTGTTCCGACAGGTGTCAGTGCAGGATTCTTCACTGAAGTGATACAACAGCCGCAGTAGATTTTCGATATTGGAATAGCTAATCTAATGTACCTAAGCCACAAAATTTGAACATTCACCTTCATTTTTTTAATAGACCTCGTACACCTCCTTCACACAGTCATCAAATTGGTTATATTCCTATCATTGAGTGGTCTGTTTTTTTTATTTGAGAATCTATTTTGCCCAAGGTTCTTGATAATGCCATCTGAGATGATGGCGAAACGTCGTTTTTTGGAGAATATACGATGGATGAACACCCGGACAAGCAACTTCATATATTCATAAATATATTTTTTATCATATGGATTGTTTTGCAGAATATACATGGTCCATGACGAACTCAAAGACAAAAACTTTGAAATGGAGCTTTCTTGGATTTGTAAAGAAAGCAATGGGTTACACGTGAAAGTTCCTGAATCCGTATATTTGGAGGCAGAACGGGCCGCCAAGCAAGCCATGGAAGCTGATTCGGAATCGGATAACGAGGACATGTGAGGCTTTGTCAGTTAGTATTAAGATTATGGTTTAGTTGTAAGATGTCTTGGCTAAATCTTTTTTCAATAAAAGTTTTTCTTTATCCAAATTATTGTTTGTCTGTGTTGAGTTTGAGAGCCTGAGTAAAGCAGAAGGAATCTATAGCTCAAAAGATAAGTGGATACAAGGAAGAAGATGACTTCAATGTGTTGAATACAATAATTAAGGTGTTTCAATGCCTTTTTCAAGTTTTGGTGCCGAAAAAGAGGATATACAAGTTTTGCACAATTTTTTCCACTTCTACTTCTACCCCTCTTTCAAAATAAAACTGTTGCCTTCAAGTTCAAATGTTCTCTTCAGAAAAAAGTGGGCCGACAATTCAATAAGTTTTAAACTTAACGGCTTGATGAAGAAAAAACAAATGTAATAAGCTCGCTTTCATCATGCTCACGTAAAAATATTTTTGAAGTGATAACTTCTTATGGGAGGTAAACCGCTTCGTTGCCTAACGTGTTACGTTGCCATTGTGTCTGGCTTCCCTTTCTCTCGTGCATACGTCAGCGAAAGGCAGGCTCTTCCTCTATCGTCGGACATCCGCTCAGTGTTTAGTATGCGTTATACATGTACTGTTGACAGTATTATACAAATGTAACCAGCAAGCACGTAATATTCTTTTATTATGTGAAACGTAGCCTATATACATTATTAGTATCATTATTTAATCCTACAAAAGTAAGAATTGCTAGCTATATGTGCATACCTACACAAAATAATCAATAAAAGATTTTATTAATGAATAATCTTTCCTTACATTATCATATTAATATACATAAAATTCAAGAAATAACCTGAGCTTTTCTCAAGTAAAATAATTTTAATATTAAATAATTTAACTTAGATTAGTTCAAGTTATATGGAATCTTGAATAAATACATTTTATGTAATACCACCATGGAAACAGTAGGAGATAGATATAATCACAATACAAGAAATACTGAAAGACTGAAACAAATATACATGAGAACAAAGAAAAATCAGGATACACCAGTCTATAGAGGAATCCAACAATACAATAAACTTCCTGTAGACTTCACAAATATTGCTTCCAGGACTGAATTTAAAAAAGCTTTGAAAAAATTCTATTTGAACATGCAGATAACTGTTTAGAAAGTAGACTGAGTATCATTTCACCATGTTGTAGCGTTCAAACAATAGTTACACCAACATTTAGGTGTGGAACTCCATTTTATTTTATTTTATACTAATATTTTTTGTTTTCAATTTCAAAGTCCATCTTTATATTTTTGTCTTTATATACATATTTTTTGTTTTTTATTATTATTTTGCTATTGTTAAAATAACTACAAGATTATATTAATCAAAGAATACTTAGTAGGCCATAACACCAAATCTATTCTGATTACTGGCCAATTATATGTTTATAAATAAAATGAAAATAAAATTATCACTTGTGTCAGGCGTCCGAGACGCACACTTTTTTTATTTTGCAATAGAAATTTTTATTTTCCAAATAATTTTTACTCTCTAATTTCAATTTCAAATATTTCATAAATATTAAGTTAACGAAGGTACTTGTCTTGAAAATAATATTCAGAAAATACTAATTTTGGAGGACTAATGCAAAGTGGCGACATCTACATTTTACAATTCGAACATCAAACTCTGGGAAAACATCAATTATTTCGGTATTCGCAAACTTCAAATAAAATCGTTACAGTCACCCAAATACTCTTCTACAGGTCTTCATAATGAATAGTAGTATATTGAAAAGTATTGTTCAGTGAAGCCAGTATATCTCCTGGAATAAATTTAGCTTCCCATAACATCCGAAAATAATGGAATGGAAACCAATTATCAAAATTGTGTATTTCTCTATCTCTATTCGATGTTTTGACTGCTCAAAAATTCACCTGTTTGACGAGATGTGTGAGAGCTCGCATTGTCATGATGGTTGGTTGTCTCTGTGATGGAGAATAATTCGTCTTCGGCAGTTACTTTAACGAATTTCTCCGAAGACTTCCGGCAAAAAATGGTCGTGTACCATTCAGAATTGACCGTTATACTTTGCTCAAGCGGGACAGTAGCAACATGACCCATTCGGCCGAAGGAACAGGCGACCATTTTCTCCACTGTGCTTTTTCCACGAACAACTTTTGTTAGAATAAGTTCGTTTTGGAATACTCAAACGGTCAATTGCACCACGGTCGAACTTTTTAATCATTTACTTACACCACATGACGCGAACAATTTTTTGAGCGATTGATAATTAATGGGGTATCTAACGAAAAAATATTCTGGCATTGTGACATGTATCTAAATTTATTGACTATTATTGCTAGAATTCTCAGGCCTATCACAGAACTATAACTAAGAAGAAGACAAATTATTTAATAATTTAACCTCACTGTTTTGGATATGTATGTGTTTATAAATTCAATGCAGTTTTCAATAAATCTTTCATCCGAATGTGGGATAAAGAAGATGATAATTTGGATAAGGTGAAGAAATATAAGGTAATTTTTTCAAATTTTTTTCTTGTGCGTTAATTGCACTTTATCAACAATTAAAAAACAACTTCCCTTACTGTAATATTACAGATCAGGGCATTGATAGGAATTGCATGGTTTTCAAAGAAAACACCCAATTTTGTGTTAAGAAAATATTGTGGAAAGTGTTTATTTAGTTGACATAATGTAGACATGCCCCACTTGAAATCATTATTCAATATGGTCTGTTATTTTAAGTGCTGATCGTAATTGTGTTATTTTTTATTTCAGTTTATTAAACCAATACACACACTAATCACAAAAAATGGACATTCCTTCTTAGTTTTTCAAAATGGTGCACTATATAAACTTGAAGAAGCTCTGGAACAGAGAAAAACTTTGAACCCCAATATTCCTGAGATAGACCAAATTGAGGATATCATATGTGAACAAACTAGCGATGAATTATATTTTGGAATGATCGTGAAAACTGAGGAAACTCACCTATACTGGACAACGTTTGAAACTAGTAAAATAAAGTATAGAAAAATCAAACTTGTGAGAGATGAGTATAAATTGGCCGGATGTCTTTTCCATAAATTGGAAAACAAGATGCATCTATTTACTTTGTGTAAGCAATTTTATTTGAATATTGAGTTTTTGAAAATAACGAGTACGAGTATAATGCTGAGAATACAAAATTGCTCTTTCTGGAAATGATTATCTAACTGATTGTTCTTACGAATTTATAAATTATTTATTATTTATAGTTATTTTAAGTAACCTCTGGTGTTCCTCAGGAGTCACACCTCGCTCCCTTATTGTTCAATTTTTGTATTAATGACATTATTCATTGCTTCCGGCATGCCAAAGCACTATTATTTGCAGATGATTCAACACTTTTCCTAATTATTAAAACGTCTTTGGATGCCCATAGGCTTCAGTCTGACCTTGGCAATCTATCAAACTGGTGCTCCTTAAATGGCATGGACTTGAATGCCACAAAGTGCCATGTCATGCGCTTTTATCGTTCCCATGTACCTTCTACCACTTTTGATTAGACTTTAAATGGTCATGTCTTGGAGTCTGTTAATCAAATAAAAGACCTTGGGGTTGTTCTTAATCCCACCTTGAGCTTCAATCTACATATACCCACGGCTATCCATAAAGCCATGAAAATGATAGGGTTTATCAAACAGATAACCCACAACCCAACTGCTATTAAAGCCTTTTATTGTTCACTGGTCCGTCGACACCTGGAGTTTTGTTCTTCTGTCTGGTGCCTTCATTGTGCAACTTATATTAAGAACATCGAAAATGTCCAACTAAACTTCCTCAGATACATAGCATATAAATCGGGTGTTCATTGGGAGTATGAGTTGATACTGCAATCTCTGAGCATGTTCTCCCTTGATACTAGGAGGAAAGAGAGAGATCTACATGTAGAATGATGAATTTTCTTGATTTTTAGGGTCCGATGGTGCTTTCTGTGCAAATCCTCTAGAGCAAACAGTGTCAGATTCAGGAGTATATGATGTAGGTAGACTTTTCTCGGTTGTTGAATCAGTGTCCCCTAAACATCCTGTATCAATGATATCTTTAGACGAAAATTACATTGCCTTATATGGGGCCAACTACAACGAAGAAGGAGCTGTGTTGGTAATGTACAACACTCAGTTCAGGGTAACACAGTCAAAGCAGCCTTTTGAATTATTCACCAGTAATGCCAAAGTGTGGAAAATTGAGAATAATATACTTCTACCAATGGGCCAGAATTTAGCTGTCATTCCTTTCGACTTGGAAACTGAACAGCTGGCAGCTCTAGTCGGAAGTCATAAAGTTTGGCAAGATGGCCTAGATAGTGATATAAAACTGATACAAGAGGTTGATGTGGCATCTTGGGACGAAGCTCTCAAAGTGAAACCTGAAAACATGCCGAAGGTTTTATCTGATAAAATAAAGGAAATGGTGCAACATGGTTTGCCAGAGACTATTATAGTGGAAGAGTTGCTTCCGGATATTTTCAAAAAAAAAGAAACGAAAACACTTTGTTCGCTTATGAAGCATTTTTGTGATATTTCAGAAAAGCACCTGTAAAAAATATTGAAATTTGTCCTAGATTCAGATAGTCACACCAACTCAGCCTTAGAAAGTTTGCAACCTTCTGAAAAGACTAAACTCGTCAACATGGTTTTATGTAGATCCTTCAGTGAAGCCTTACTGATTCCACATTTGAGGTCAGACCTTTCTATGAATAATGTTTCGGTGTTGATGAAATATATTTATCTGTTATGGTCTTCTGAGGAAAAATGTTTACCTAATATGACTGGGGTCGAGACTGAAGCCAAACTTTTGCAATGGAGTTGTGCCCTGATAGATTCTAATTATCAGAAGATTGTATTATCGAAAGATGTGGCAGTCAGGGATACCTTGCAGTTGCTAAAACAGTTGGTACAGGATAATATCAGCACTATCAAAGATTGGGAAATACTGGTTCCTATGCTGGACAATTTGAAGAAGAATAAATCTGTTACTAAAGATGCTCATATTTTGTCTTTGAAATATTCAGTTGAGCAGTTGAGTTTATACTAGGTAACATTTGTTATGTTTTAATAAATTTTTTGTGTCAATGTTTTTTTACAGTTACACCCTGTCTAATCCAGCATCCCCTGCAATTCAACACGCCTATCACTGTTGATTATACATAGGTTGTTACTAGTATGTGCCACCACTATTGTGCTCAAAGCATCGGATTACAAAGTACTTTTTTTAAAAACATTCCAGACTATAGAGTAGGGGTCTCCAAACTTTGAAGCCTTTGGGCCATAATGATTTTTTCAGTTTGTTCCAAGGGCCAATTTCTGCCCTTAACTATATTTCTAGACTAGAATAGTCGCAAAGTGCATGACCTAAACAAACTTACGCTTTTTTTGCATTTCAATTATTATTGTGTATTGTGACACTTAACGACATCTACTGGCGAGTAGTGGTACTATGTACTATCTTTTTCAGCTACCTGCTAGGTGGCATTAGGCGTAATTAAATATTTGGAATTACCGCGTTGGTTCGAGAAAGTTCTGGTTCTAGCTAGTGTATTCCGATCACCTCGAGATGGCAGTAATAATTGCATATAAAAAGGAAAGCGGTGCAACTGCGAGTTGGTCTGCGTAGGAAAGGCGAAGGAAGCGAAACTGTATATTGTGAAATAAAGTAACACCCGTCAATAAAAGTATTTTGATTTGACTTATTGTATTTATGTGTGATTTGTTGGTATGGAAAAGAAGCGAAAAATCGACAGTGAATGCAGAACGTTCCAAGAAAAATGAAACTTTCAGTATTTTGCGATTGAGTCCAGTAATAAGGTGCTGTGTTTAATTTTTAATGAAACCATAGCTGTTCTCAAAGACTATAACATTAAACGACACTATGGATCGAAACATCTTCAAAGTTACTCCAAGTATACAGGAAGTTTGCGGAAGGAAAAATTTGAAGCTTTGAAACGCGGACTCAAATCGCAGCAATCTTTGTTTACCAAAGCGAATACTGAACAAGAGTCTGCAACTCGCGCCAGCTTTCGTGTGGCTCTTGAAATCGGAAAACGTGGCAAACCATTCACCGATTCAGAAATGATAAAAGAATGCTTGATTGCTGTAGCTGAAGAAATATGCCCCGAAAAGGTGAATTTATTCAAAAGCGTCAGTTTGTCGGCAAACACCGTGGCTCGGAGGGTGCAAGACATGGAGAAAATATATCATCTCAACTGTGACAAAAATGGACATCATGAGTGGTTTTCTCTAGCATTGGATGAGTCAACGGATGTGTCAGATACTGCTCAGGTGTTGATTTTTATTCGCGGAGTAGATAAAAGCTATGAAGTGTATGAAGAACTTCTTGATATTGATAGTATTCACGGCACGACAACTGGGGCAGATATTTTTAAGGGAGTTGAAAATGCCATTAATAAAAAGAACCTTCGATGGAGAAATTTGAAATCTATAACAACTGATGGAGGCAAAAATATGTATGGTAAAAATAAAGGAGTGGTTGCACTTGTGTCAAAGGCTGTAGAAAATGATGGTGGATCAAAACCATTAGTCTTACATTGTATCATTCATCAACAGTCCTTGTGCGGAAAATGTTTGGTTATGTCTGAAGTTCTAAAACCAGTCATATCAGTTGTTAACATCATCAGATTCACTGGGCTGAATCACCGACAATTCCGCGAGTTTATTCAACAGATTGGAGAAAATGATTTACCATATCATACTGCCGTAGGCTGACATAGTCCTTAGTCGAACAGAGATCGAAATTTTTTTTAAATAAGAAGCAGTGCCCTTTTGTCGATTCAGAAAATAGTGAATGGATGTGAAAGTTAGCCTTCTATGTCGATTTGACAAATTATATGAACGAACTGAATTTGAGATTTTAAGGAGAAAATCAGCTTCTCCCTGATTTATACACCAATATCAAATCCTTCAGGCAGAAAATAATACTATTTCAATCGCAATTACGTAAAAAATGTTTCACACATTTTGAAACGTGAAATATTCAGCCACACTGCAGAGACTGAATTTCCCGTCAATTTGGCAATCGAAACTTTGAGTGCTTTGAAGATAAATTGTGTTACTCGTTTTTCAGATTTTGATGTCATTACGAATGAAATTAAGCTTTTTCAAAATCCTTTTGATTCTGACATTGAAACCCTGGCTCCGGAAGTCCAAATGGAAATTATTAATTTGCGGTGCAGTGATATGCTTAAGAACAAATATCAAAATTCATCTTTGTTGGAATTTTATAAGAGTCTTCCACTGGAACAATTTGATAATTTGCATAAATTTGCTCGTGGGTTGTTTTCTGTTTTTGGTACTACTTACTTGTGTGAGAAAACGTTTTCCAAGATGAAGTACACAAAGAATGTTTACAGATCTCAATTAACCGATGAGCATCTTACATCTCTTTTGATAATTGGTACAAGTAAAATTGATCCACAACTACAAAGTATTGTAGGTGGAAAATCACAATTACATAAATCTCATTAGTGTTTTTCTTTTACTGTGATTCATTTCAATTATTTGTTAGTTATTATTATGCTTAAACTTAGATACTTGAGTTAAGTTTTCTTTGTTATCATTTCTGTCTTTAAGTTTGACCTTGCAAGTAAATAAAACCGAGTAATTATCATTCTGTGTTTTCTACTTCAACTTATCACAGCAATAGTAACAACAATTAGGTAATCATTGGCTGCCGCGGGCCGGATTGATGACACTGGCTGGCCGTAGTTTGGAGATCCCTGCTATAGAGGGTCATAGGCAGTACTCTATAATCGGACGAATTTGATAATCCGACATCGCTCTGCAAAACGTTTGTTAGATTCAAGAAAAGCTCTCACAAATGCTTTCGAGAAGCTCTTTTCCTCTTTGGTTCAGTCCTGAACTCGAACATCGAGTGTTGAGAAGGAAAGATTTCGTCGTAAAAGTTATAAGAGCTGGGTCGCATTGATGATCTTAATATGTTTTGTAACTTATGCATCCCCTGTAAAATGGTTACCTGTGTTTCTCGTTAATTATATGAATAATTCAGAAAATATTAATAATACCATAATATATAAAATATAGCAGAAGTATTTATTGGTTAGGTTGTGTTATATTTCAATTGTGCTATAGTAAACATTCTTATTTATATACGCCGTGACCTAAACTAAACAATCCCTGAGAAAAGTTTAAAACTCAGTCTTTCAAAATGTTTAGAAATGAGTAGATCAACGTCATTTACTGAAAGACCAAAAAGAATGAAATAACTCCCCGTTTCATCTATTATATTGTGTAGTCATCCTGTGAATAACATTCGATTCAATTCCATAACAAATGTTTGGGATGCAAACTGAATAGGAAAACGTGTTTTCTTAATTCAATCTCCATATATAAAAGTAGTTGATTTGAAATTATTTTTTATATCGTGTAATTCAATGTTTATATGAAAGTAATTGTGTTTCAAGAGAACTATTTCTTTCAGTTTGAAAGTTACTTCTTTATATGATCTACACAGCTTCGTAAATAGTTTATTCTGAAATCAATTGCTTTCTTTGAAAGAACTTTTTTTTGTATAAAGATGGGGAGGTAAAAAGCCAAAACTTTTCTTTCTCAAAAATCATTCAATGTTATTCGAAACTATATATATTTTTTTGAAAACCTGATGATCTCATATATTTTCTGTGAAAAATAAATTTCACCAATATCTCTGTTCTTCGTCCATAAATCGAATACCGTACAATATAATTTTTTTGTTCGTTTCTATCCGAAGTGATAATTTTTTGTTTCGATTTGTTTTTTCGTTCAAGGCCCATTTCGAAGTCAGGTTTTAGAATGCGAAACAAATTATTATTATACATGTGTCGTTTTATTTGTTTTTTGTGTGTGTTTTAATTGTAATCAGTACGTATGTATCATTTTTGTTTGCAACTATTACAGGATTCAATGTCATGCATGTTATATATTCCAAACAACATGCATGATAAATATTGTTATCCAATGTGATTTCTTCCAGCCGAAAGTATGATTATTTAGTCAATAATAGTAATTTTGAAACCGATTCCTTTGTTGAGTAGGCAGAATATGTTTTCTCCCACCTTTCAAATATGCAATTTTTCAAAATAGTAATAGTACAAGTTAATTTTCTCAACATCAGAATTAAACCGTCTTTGATTACTGTAAAATTAACTGGACATTATTTATTTCATCTGTATAAAAAATACAACTTCACACTTTTAATTTTCAGTCATGAAACACCAGAAAAAGTCAAACTGAAATCGATAAAATAACGAAAAAAGAAAAAGATTAGAACAACTCCTTCACGATAGATCATAATGATATGGATACTAAATCCTAGTTTGCCTACAAATATTCTTTCTTGAATTGATGCTAAAGAAAACCCCTAATGAGTTAATCGTTATTGAAAAATATCCAACAGGTACTTAACTCATTCGGATATTTTCGAAAAACTGTCCATACCATGAATGGTTTCATTACACTGGGAAACATTTTGAAAGCTATTATAATCTCATTATTATTAAAATTGAAATAAAATTTGGGGAATACAAGGTAGAAACTTTTCTGAAAAGTTTTCTTCAAATTTTCAGTATTCACATCAACATCTTGTACTTTTTTGAACATTTTTTAAATGTTGATAATTACTGTTATAACAAAATCGTTCGCTATCAGGTTGAAAATTTGACTTCTGACCTACCTTTTCTGATATTTTATTTTGTTTGAGGTTTTGAAATGATAACCTCTCGTAAGTTAATGGGGTTGGTCTAAACGAATTATTCTGAAGTTGATATGAGGTTGATTTTTGTAAACATTTTCTGCATTTTCAATTATATTTTTAAAATTGTCATCTCGGTAAAAGATACTACCAAAAATATTTTGCGAAGTTTTTAGATTATAACATTTCAGCAAATCATTTTTCGAAATTCATACAGATATAAGATTTTTAGGTTATCAACTATAACTTATCAACCGTTTTTCGGATTATTTAATTCATGAGTACAAATTACAAATTACACATCGAAAAATAGTATTGCCGTTGAAATGTCAAATCAAAAATTGGAAGCAAATGAAAACTTCTGAACAATGTTTGTGCCAGTATTCTTAGTAAAAATGTAAAGAAAAATGTTTTGGAGAAGCCGTCAAAATTTGGATATTATTTTATTTTTATTGTAGGGGCCCCTCTCCTGTGGAGGCCCCTAGGCAGAAGCCCCGCCTGTCCTCTCCTGAATCCGGCCCAGCATACTATATCCGAAAAATTAATTGTTTTGGAGTTATCGCAAAATAATTTTCTATACAGTAGTCCTTTGGGCATTCAATTTTATACCGCTTCTCCACATTTCAACTCTTCATACCTGCCATTTCAAAACTTTAAATTTTTTTGAACTTGTGCTCCACCAATTTGAACTGAACATGATTCGAACTTCGTAATCTTGATGAATACAGATCCTACATAGAGATGGCGCCTCAACTGCCCACCCTCACTCCTCCACTTTTGTAATCAACCAGTCGACCAATCAGAAGCTTCCACGCGCACAGCGGGAAGTTCAAATTGTTCTCACAACAAAACATGAAAAAAATTGTTGTTTTCGAAATAAATTTCTATCGTAATTTTCAACACACAGCTGCTATTTATTTTTCGGATATTCTAAATCACAGTATCTTAAAATTTACCCATTTAAGCCCATCTGAGATCTACAGATATAAGTCGGGAGTTTGTGGTGGTCATTTCTAACAGGAAATGTATCTCCTCTCATCAGTCAATTGAAAGAAATTAATGTATCATTCAGTATTTCAGTGTCACTATTTTCCGGGATGACCTCATGATGTATAAACTTCTGAGGAAGCTAACACCCGCGCTGGCGAAACGTCAGGAATATATTAAAAAAATTCACGGCCTTTAAGCCCGAAGAATATTCACAATGAAAACCTTGGCCGCGAAAACGTTAACTATTTTGTCATTTAGTTATAAAATACTAGTTGTTCAGGTTCCCAACTTCAAAACTGACGGAATTTAATACATTCTTTACACCCATATTTTTCCCCCTTGGGGGTGGAAATTCCTGATTCTCTTTCTGGATGCTTATTTACGCTATACAAAGAACCTACCTGCTTATTTACGCTATACAAAGAACCTACCTGCTTTTGAGATTCTAGGCTCAGTAGCTTCGGCTGTACGTTAATATTAGAGTGTCAGTCAATCAATGAGTACCCACTTATACAATATTTAATAGCATCAGCAAAAAAACTGAAAGGATTATAATGAAATACATTGATAATCCTACTAATCCTACTCATACTAATAATATAAATGCGTAAAGTTTGTGAGGGTGGATGAATGTAATGTATGTTTTCACGTAACTATTTGTTTAAAATGGTCTGTCACGAAACTTAATGTGACAAACCAAATTCTACGCGGGCCAAGTCGCGCGCAACAGCTAGTAATTCATATTTTCACTTTAAAAATACAATAACCAAAAAAAATATGCCAACTGCACTTAGTGTCGATGATGCTTGATTGCTTAGACCGCCCCTCTACTCCCGCGCATCGTCCCCCGTCGTCTTACGGTAGACGCGATGCATAATGGCTTACTGCGTTGCGTCAAGTTAATCATCGTGATAAATTTCAAACGGTTCGTCAAAATTACTTAGTGAGAGAGACAAAGTTTATCTATATTAAATACTTAAAACGACAATTGTAATAATGTTCATAAGTATTTGAAAGATATTCTAAAATATGCATTGCTCAGGCTCAGTATTTTGCATATAGTGGCTGTGTATGTAAAGTTTCATCTAAATCCGTTCAGTCGTTTAGGCGTGAAAGAGCCACAAACTTTCACATTTATAGGTATTAGTATAGATGTCAACACAAAGTGTATATTACGAGCAAAAAAATGTAAATGATAATATAATTTACATATGGTAGATTTTCACTGATTGCTTTGAAATGATTATTTTCCATGATAAAATTTATTACTGTCAAATAACAAATCCTTCAAAAACACATGTAGGATCTCTGTGTAATTGGAATTTTTTTTCTTTCTGAGATATTCTGCCTGGAAAACTACCTCATAATGATTACATATTGCTGCTTTTCTTTTTGCATGAGGCATGAAACAACGATTAAACATTATACATATTTCATATATTCCCGCTGATAGGTTATTTAACTTAACTTTCCTTTCAGAAAGTACTTTGTGGCCCGTTTCAGACCAATAAACCGAAAAATGTCTAGGTAAGAAATGAAACTAACAGTGCTTCATACTGTCAAATATTGAAAATCGAAACATTTTTCAATTCATGTATTTTCTTGAATGAATTTGAATTATTTTATGACGATTTTCAATATTTGACAATACACGTACACATTCATCTTTTTTTCAACAGACAGAAAGAATAGAGTTGTCCACCATATTTCATGTTTCAAGCTTTGTAGTCAATCGTCTGTCACTTGCAGAATGTAGGTGCAAGCAAAACAATTAAAATATTCACACTGTACGAGTTTCAACCACCTTATAAATCATTAAAAAAAAAGGTGATCTCTTGGTGATCGAAACACGTGTCGAGGTTTAAAAATAACGGTTTGGTGTTTGGAAAAAACTCCAGTATAATACACATTCAAAAGCAAAAAAGACGATGTAAAAAACTTAGATGTCAAAACCAACGGCAATCAAGTCAGATAACTCTATTTTTGTACAGCGATAGTGGCAAGTATAAAACCAAACAACTCGCTGATATTTTGGATACGTGAAGAAGCGTAGGAGCACAAGTATAATGGTTCCTTCGCGGAATGTTCCTCAATTTGGGTTATTACAGCAAATGCAAGTTTGAACAAAATAAAGTTGAGTTTAATCTATGTTGGGTTTTAATTTTTAAAGGGATTTGTTTCTAATTCATATATTTGCAACAGCTCGTATATCAAGTTGAAATAATTTATACGTACCTAGATATCTACTTTAAAAAAGGAAAATTATCTTTATAAATCAACAATTAAGGCAAAATATAAATTATAGTTCAATACCACCTCCACAAGCCACATAAACAACAGTTGTTTTGTTATTTATTTATATAGAGGAAAATAGGTTAGGTTCATAAAATGTCATATGTCACAGAATGTCTCGGAACTCGGAACATAAGTAAACAGAACAGCACGCCTCTGAAATATGTCATTTTTGTTTGTCTCATACAGGTAACAGATTCATTGTCCTTTATTAGCTATAACCGATGTTGCCAAATGATGAAATAGAAACGAATCCCTTCAAATGTTGGATGCATTATTTCATCCCTCTTTTTTAAGTATTTAAATAATTTTTTAAAGAAAAAGGTTGAAATGATAAATTCAAAATACGTTGTTTTAGAGCTCTTTTATGAAAACTGCTTGATTTTCGTCAGGAGGAACATTCCCCATTGTGGTAGAAGCATAAAGTGATATACGGGTAGAAAGATAACTCTATATTTTTCTATGTCTTATTCATGTTCAGTTCATGGCCTTGCCCGTAAAAGCTCACAAAAACATTTTTTTCAGGGACATGAACGTCACGGGACCAGAAGATGAGAACCTTGAAGGTGAGAGCGACAGCGTGAACCAGACGGGTAGGAGGGGACAAAATTCGTGTTCTCTACGGTTTCCATCATCACAATTACGGGCTCCTACCTCGGTTATGGAGAGATTTCGTCGTCGCGCGTTTGGTCAGAATTTCAATTCTAGAAGTAACCCTGCTGATACTTCAAGTCGTAGAAAAAAAAAGATAGCTTTTATATTGAAACGACCGGTGTCTGTTCTGGAAAATCCAGTATCTGAGGAAGAGCAATCTGTGGAAGAATTGGAGTCTGTTGAGCAGCAATCACTGTCTGATGTAGAGCAAGAGGTGCCTGACCTTGAACAATCGGTGAGAATTGTTGAACAATTGGTGTCCGTTGTTGAAGAAACGGTATCTGAAATGGAGTCACCAGCGCCTGTCTGTGAACAACCGATTCCTGTCGTTGCACAATTGCTCTCTGTTGCGCAGCAAACACTGACCCTTGTGGAGCAACCAGGGTCTGTTGTTAAGCAACCGGGGCTTGATGAAAAACCGACGCCTATCGTTAAACAATCGGTGTCCGGCGTTGAAGAATTTGTGTCTGGAGAGGAATCACCAGGGCTCGTGTGTGAACAACCGGTTTCTGACAGTGAGCAATTGATGTCGGTTGCGCAGCAAACAGTACCTTTTATAGAGCAATCAGATTCCGTTATCAAGCAACCGGTGCCTGACGATGGAACCTCAGCGACTATCGTTGAACAATCGGTGTCCGTCTTTGAAGAAATGGTGTCTGAAGAGGAGTCACCAGGGCCTGTGTGTCAACAACCGGTTCCTGACGGTGAGCAATCGCTGTCTGTTACGCAGAAACCAGATTCTGTTGTTACCGTTGAACAGTCGATGTCCATCTTCGAAGAAATGGTGCCTGAAGAAAACTCACCAGGGCGTGTCTGTGAACAACCGGTTCATGACGGTGAGAAATCGCTGTCTGTTGCACAGCAAACAGTGCCTTTCGTAGAGCAACCAGATTCTGTTGTAATGCAACCGGTACCTGACGATGAAAACTCAGCGACCATTGTTGAACAGTCGGCGGTGTCCGTCGTTGTGGAAATAATTTCTGAAGAGGAGTCACCAAGGATCGTGTGTGAACAACCGGATTCTGACGGTGAGCAATCGCTGTCTGTTGCGCAGCAAACATCACCCTTCATGGAGCAACCAGATTCTGTTGATATCGTTGAACAGTCGGTGTCCTTCGTTGAAGAAATGGTGTCTGAAGAAGAGTCATCAGGGCTCGTGCGTAAACAATCGGATTCTGACGGTGAGCAATCACTGTCTGTTGCGCAGCAAACAGAACCCTTTGTGGAGCAACCAGATTCTATTGAGGTCCTCGTTGAAGAAATTTTGTCTGAAGAGGAGTCATCAGGGCTCATGTGTAAACAACCGGTTCCTGACGGTGAGCAATCACTGTCTGTTGCGCAGCAAACAGAACCCTTTGTGGAGCAACCAGATTCTATTGAGGTCCTCGTTGAAGAAATTTTGTCTGAAGAGGAGTCACTAGGGCTCGTGTGTAAACAACCGGTTCCTGACGGTGAGCAATCGCTGTCTGTTGCGCAGCAAACAGAACTCTTTGTGGAGCAACCATATGCTCTTGAAGTCCTCGTAGAAGAAATTTTGTCTGAAGAGGAGTCACCAGGGCTCATGCGTATACAATCGAATTCTGACGGTGAGCAATCGCTGTCTGTTGCGACGCAAACATCACCCTTCATGGAGCAACCAGATTCTGTTGATATCGTAGAACATTCGGTGTCCGTTGTTGAAGAAACGTTGACTGAAGAGGAGTCACCAGGGCTCGTGCGTAAACAATCGGATTCTGACGGTGAGCAATCGCTGTCTGTTGCGCAGCAAACATCACCCTTCATGGAACAACCAGATTCTGTTGATATCGTTGAACAGTCGGTGTCCGTCGTTGAAGAAATGGTATCTGAAGAGGAGTCACCAGGGCTCGTGTGTGAACAACCGATTCCTGACGGTGAGCAATCGCGGTCTGTTGCGCAACAAACAGTACCCTCCGTGGAACAACCATATTCTATTGTTGAGCAACCGATTCCTGACGATGAAATTTCGGCGACTATCGTTAAACAGTCGGGGTTCGTCGTTGAAGAAATGGTGTCTAAAGAGGAGTCAGCATCGCTGTCTATTGCGCAGCAAACAGTACCTTTTGTGGAGCGACCAGATTCTATTGTTGAGCAACCGATGGCTGACGATGAAAAATTGGCGCCTAATGTCCTTGAACAAGAAGTGCCATCTGGGCAGCAACCAATGCATGATGTGAGGCGTCAAAATGATGTAGAGGTAAGGACATACGATCCATTGGAAACAGGGTAAGAAATAAGTATGATATCGAATGTCTATTTTGCAAGAGCGTCGCCATCTCGAAAGAGTGGTAGTTTAAAATTGTCGTACTGTTTTGTGCAATAATGCAATATTATCTTCACAAACATGAATAGTCAAAAAAAACGAAATAAGGCCCATTTGAATTCGAATAACTTCCCCTAAACTTCGGTATACGTGAACATTCAAAAAACCGACTATTATCATAAATATCGATAATGATGCAAAATATTTCGACCTGTTACCAAGGGAGAATTTGTCAACTTTTCTAAATGTTTTTTTGATCACATATGTTCATCTTTTGCAAACAACCCCACGGACAATGAAAGTAGTCGAATAGACCCACTCACTCTTAACGTAACCTAACCTAACCTGTCTCTCTCACACACAATAAACCTTCTCTCTCTCCCTACAGAGTTTTCGGCCACTACTATTGTCTATCCATCGAGCGTAAATACAGTTTGCGATGCCATCGAAGCTGTGAATTATCCAACAGTGTGTTTGAACTCATTGGATTTACCAGGGATGCCACCGCATAATTCACAACTGAAGGTTGGATCGCTCCGTAATTTGAATCCACCACGGCTGTGCACAGGCACACGATTAGTCGATAAAAAATTAATGAAAAATGGTGTCGAAGCCAGCATTTTAAATAGCAAATTCCCAGGTGAAAATATATCAATACCACGAATCTCTATTATACCTACAGATGTGCCAATTTCCAATTAGATTGTCATTCGCAATGGCTATCAATAAGTCCCAAGGCCAAACAATGTCCGTTTGTGGCTTGTATTTGAGCACACCATTGTTTTTCACACGGACTATTATACGTGGCATGCTTTCGAGTGGGCAAACCATGCAGTTTGTATTATTTATTCTGATAGAAATAATGTATGTGGCAAAACATCGTTTGCGCATGTCACTGTTTTTGAATATTTTGATTCCATCAAGTATTAATCACGGGTATTGCACCTTTCAGTTTCAAGCACAGCTCCAAATTGTGAGAGAAATGTGTAATACAGCAATGAACAGTATACCATTTCTCGCCGAACCGGTACAGAACTATTCCAGTTTTGCAGACGAGAACTCGATCAATGTCATAGAATTTCTCAGACAGCAATGTCGAAGAATCTTTTCGGATAAAGTCCTGAAAGCCGTCAACACCTCCGCCGCCGGTACGTCTGCCCCTCCTCAATCTGGAAGCGATGAGAACAACCGTCAAGCGGGCTGCTCGAGTTCTCAGAGTTGTAGACAAGTACAGCAGGAATTATTGAATCGTATGCAAGATTGTGTCAAGGCGTTTTTCAAGCAAAGATGGGAAATTGAACAGCTGAAGCTGTCTCTCGAAATGGTAAGGGGTATGGAAGTGTTTCCTGTTACCTGTTAACGATAAAATCTTGAGACACTAGGTCTATTGTATTGATACAATGAATATGCACATATCAAAATTGAGGGTTTTTTAGAACACATTTTTACGATTACGACCTGAAAATTCGTGCTGTTTGCTCTCATGGAATTGTTAAATAATTAAGTTTTTGTAAAAATATAGAAATTTATCGATAAAATTTTGAAGTTTTGAGGTGTTAGTATTGATGAAATCAAAACTATAGCTACTAGATAGCGGTGAACCCTGTGGTGGAACTCACTGCTCCGGAGTAAATTTGTGTGAAAAACTATTGTATATCTAAACTGTCAGTTTTCTATCTATCAGAAGATTCTCCATTGTATGCAGTAGATAATTAGGATGTGCATTAGATAATTAGCTTTATCGATTTTCAGAAGGATAACTGTAGTTTTTTGTTGTTCAGCTTGGTTGTTTCACTGTTGTTGGTGAGAATGAAGAGAAGGTGTATAATAGATCTTTCCTGCCCATATCCAAACTGGTAGTTTGGGATTTTATCAATTAGCAGACGGTAGCTGTCTGTAAGCGAGTGATCCAAGTTGCTTTGGGAAATGTAACTACTATGTTCATTATCCATTTGGTATGTGTTTGAGTTTTAGGAAATAATTCATAGCTTTGTATGGTATATTTGTGCGTCTCATAATCCAGCTATCTCAACAATTTTTTGTGATACACTCCTGTGGCGGAGTACTTTTTCATATATAGGGTTCTAAAATATTATTCCTGTACGTTGCATGTATTATCTTCTTGGAAGGGGATCTCAGAAAAAAAGTTTTAATACCATTCGTTCCCATTTTTATGTTTAAGTTGTCACTTTCTTTTTAGATTTATGTTGGCTTTTTCGGAAAATAATTCATATTCAATATTGTTATCATATTAATATTTCTCCATTATTTTTTAATCTAGATAATTTCATTATTTTGTTCCAATAGGTTTTGTCTCTCAAATATCGCTTGACATGTTAGTAACCACTTGTGAGCTCCGAGTTCTTGAATACGATTTGGCCTCGTTTGTATATTTTTTAAATCATCACATTCGACGTCAATACATTGAGACGCGCCTAGTGCGAAAACATATTTGACGCTATCAAGTGAGCATTTTTTTAAAATCAAATTCCTTTAGAAACATCTTAATTTGTTTTTCTTGTCATTCGGAACAACGAGAACAACAACTCGAGCACTGCGACTGCAGTAGTAGACATTATCAAACGCGACAAAACTCGGAAAATAGGTTTCATATAGTTATCTTCGTCAGTGAAAGTGTACATTTGATAAATCTAATGAATTTACAATAAATTGTGTAAGTTCTGATTACGCTAGTTCAATCTTTGATTGGTTAGACTAGGTTATATGATAGATTTTGTAGCATCTACGTATATATTATTTATGAATTTGCAATGAATGTTACATGATGACATTAATTAATTATGCCAAGTGATAAGTGCACATAAGAAGAGATTGTTGTCTACAGACGTTGGTCATAATTTCAGAGAACTTTCTAATCTTGTATGTGAAACAAGTATCCAGAAAATTTTCTTCGAAACATAGACAAGATAATTTATTTTCGACTGAATGTTATAATACAAGGTACCATACATTATGGGAACTGAAGAAAGTCGTAAAAATATAAAAAAATCGCTCCTAACTGTTTTCTTAGATTGTTCATCCCTAGAATTTCAAACATGTGCAAATCAATAGAGGGAAAAAATGATTTCGTTTAGTATAGTTTACCATTGGATCCGTTCACATAAAGTTTACGACGATGCAAAAGGATGATTAAGGTCACTGAAAGTTGTTATTTTTTTACGGAGTAGTAAACAATTTTTTTATTAAATCAATATTATTTCGACACCCTTTATAACACTCTTCGGGTTCAGAGTCAATAGAGAATAAATGTCGGAAGTTCTTCGGCTAATTATCGGTAATTTCAGATGCAAATCGAGGTAGAAAGTCTTCGAAGGATCGCCGATCACCCCACTCGAAATTGGACGTCCGCACCGTTCGACCACAATCCTTTCCCAGATCAAAGAAACACTAACTACCCATCGACCTCTTCTGGGCCTAACTTCAACCAATACGGCCAGCAACCTCCTTTCACGCCTAACTTCAACCAATTCGGCCCACCCCCTGCTTTTCCTCCGAACCAGAATTACGACAACAACAGTAATTGGAATTATCCTTATTTGAATTCTCCTCTGAATACAGGAGTCCCTTTCGGAGAACAAGCAAACAGCAGCCAAACTCATCCGAACCAAATGTTGAACAGGTCATTCCCAAATATTCCGCCTCCCAACATGAACAGATCTGATAATAGTTGGAATCTCAGAAGGTATGGCGCTTTTATAATGTTTAAATGTCTCTTTTGATGAAAAATGTGTAGTGTATACTATTTTGCTATTCTCGCATCTATTCTGATAACTACGGAGGAGCAGAAGGGTCCCATATTTTCATTATTTGATTCTTTGTAATAATGACTTTATTCGCGAAATCTCGACTTTAATCTCGTGATTTCTAGTTCAAAGGCTTACGCCGAAATCACGAGATTGAAGTCGAAATTAAGATATTACTGAATTTTGAGATTAAAGTAAAAATTCGAGAACAAATGCGAAATGTCAAGTTAAAAGTCGTAATTTCGAGTTTGAAGTCGTAATTCCGAGAATATAGTCGAAATTTCAAGTTAAAAGTCTTAATTCCAAATTAAAAGTCGTAATTTCGAGATAGAAGTCGTAATTTAGAAATTGAAGTCGAAATTTCAAGAATAATCTCGAAATTCGATTTGTTTTTTCTGACACCTTCCTTTAGAACCCGTGCCGATAATGAAGCTTTCTATGGGTGGAAGAATTTTCAAAATCAGTTGAGTAGTTATTGAGTATATTCATTACAAAAAACCAAACATGAAAATGTCCTTGTGTCCTAAAGTATAACTGATTCGATAATAGACTAGACTTCAAGTTGTGATCGAATATTGAATATTTCAATCCATTTTCAGCCGATCTCACCAAAATCTATTTTCCGACTACCCATCTTCTTCTGGGCAACAATCCGGCAACAACGAAGGTATCTCTAATTATATGAAGTCTTCCACATCTCAGCCTAACGTCGACAACCAACGAAGTAATCAATACGCGTGGCCTCCTACATCCAGCGATCCCCAACAATTCGGCAATAACCAAAGAGTTTTTCAATTTAATGTTCCACCTCCTACACTAGGCTATAACCAAAGAGGCAATCAGTACAGGGAGCCAACTCAGCAACGAAGTGATCGGAACACAACTCCGTTAATCTCGCCAAATTTCACCAGAAATCAAAGGGGCAGACATAATTCCCAGTCGACCAATAAAACTCCCATTCGCCAAAGAAACATTCAGGACACAACAACTCCTGAACGACCTAATCAATACAGGGGACCTCCAGTGCCTACCTCACAGCAATTCGTCGACGACCAACAAGATGATCAACAGCCGGCCCTTCCTTCATGTATGTACCAGCAAGCTAATTACCAAAGACCTACTCATTTCGTGGAGTCTCCTACACCTAGTTCCGCACGAAGCCCAGTTGTGCCTAGTCAGGAATGCAATTCAGCAGTTCTGAAAAAGTTGATAGACGATATCATCAACAGTTCTCTGGTTGATTTTGAATCGACAGACGTTCGATGCCAGATTCGAAAGTAAGTCTTACGAAAAATTGAAACTATCTGTCCTACTAAATGTTTCTAAAGTTCGAAACCCAAATAACGGAGAAAATGTTTTGTTTGGTTTCTGGATTTTGCCTTGGCCTTCTTTGGTTATAATCTCCAAAAGTTTCAACTGCAACTGCGGCAATCAACTCAAGTGGTGCGGGTGCGTGGTGTCAATCGAAACTGAAGCTCTCATTTCTGCCGTGTCATTTACAGTGCTGATTTTTCGCGAACTTTCTGTATGGCGGGTTCGCGTCGATGGAATAAAACCTTTTATGAACAAGTTGATGGAGTCGCCATGGGCAGTCCACTGGGCCCAGTAGTGACGAGAATCTACATGAAAAAATTTAAAGAAAGAGCCATGTAGATGACACATTCGTTGTTTGGAGCCGTGGAAAAAAAGAACTTCAGAACTTCCAAAATCATCTGGATAGCTTTCATCTATTTATTTATTTATCACCACCCTAGTGATCAACACCATAGTGATCAGAGCTTTGAGAATATGTGAAGAAAGGTACGTCGATGATGAAATGAAACACCTAACAACTGTATTACAAGCGAACGACTACGAGAGAAAAGACATAATCCGCGTTACGCGTCCAAAGAAGAAGAAGAGAAACACCAGTGAAGATCAACCCCAAGGCACTGCATATCTGCCATACATAGAAGGTGTCACCAACAAAATCGGAAAAATTCTAAAGAAGAAAAAAATTTAACAGCGTTTTCAAGCCAACGAAGAAAATATCGGAGTATCTCAAAAGACAGCAAAGATCCACTCAAATCAGAAGAAGTTTACAGAATTTCATGTAACTCTGATAAAGTCTATATCGGTCATACCAAAAGAAGTATTGGTAGCCGCCTAGTCGAGCACAAGCGGAATCGTCGATTGGGACAGACCGAGAAGTCTGCAGTCGCTGAACATGCATTGTCCGACGGAGAACACAAGATCCCGTTCGAAAATACCGAAAGGCTAGCAACGTCGAATTATTATTCAATAAGAATGTATTTAGAAACCATAGAAATACACAAACACTAAGAGAACTTCAAGAGAACGGAAGAGAGATCATATCTACCAAAGATCTGGCACACAACATAGAAAAGCGCCAAAACGAAGCCAAGTCACCCAAATCGCGCGGGAAATATGCGCGAACCCGCCATTGGAGAAAGTGCGCGAACCCGCCATTGGAGAAAGTGCGCGAAAAATCGGCACTATAAATGACACAGCAGAAATGAGAACTTGTGTCAGTTGACACGTCAAGAAGAGTACTTCGACCTCGCCACTGAAGATGACTGTCGCAGTTAATTGGAACCTTTGGAGATTATAACCAAAGAAGACCGGAAACCAACCAAAACATTGACCCCTACAACGGAGAATATCCTTTCACTATCTAACGGTTCGTTGCTTTTTTCTTGATTCATAATTTGCTTTGTGATTTGTCTTTAGTATAAAGCACTATATGTTCCAAAATGTATCCAGAAAGGTTATAGAGGTGTATACTATTCATATTTCGGTAATAGCAAACAATAACAAAGGTTTTTTAATGAAGATGTTTTATTGTTTTTCGTAACATTCCCCCTGATCAATACACTTTTGCATTCGTTCAAACCATTTGTCAAAGCAGTTTTTCCATTCTTCTTGTGACACCTCTAAAACATGGTTTTTGAACGCTTCAACTGCTTATTCGGTGCTCGTAAATCGTTAACCACTCAGTTTACCTTTGGTATTCGGGAACAAGAAGACGTCAATGGGTGGAAAATCAGGATTGTATGGAGGATGAGTCAACAATTCGATGTTTTGACTGCTCAAAAATTCACCTGTTGACGAGATGAGTGAGAGCTCGCATTGTCATGATGGAGAATAGTTTGTCTTCGGCGGTTAGTTTAACGAATTTCTCCGAGGGCTTCCGACAAAAAATGGTCGTGTACCACTCAGAATTGACCGTTATACTTTGCTCAGACGGAACAGTGGCCACATGACCCATTCGGCCGAAGGAACAGGCGACCATTTTCTTCGCTCTGCTTCTTCCACGAACAACTTTTGTTGAATTTAGCTTGTTTTGGAATACTCGCACGGTCAAATGCACCACGGTCGAACTTTTTAATCATTTCGTTACACCACATGACGCGAACATTTTTTTGAGCGATTGATAATTAAAGGGGTTCCAACGAAAACAATTTCTTTACAACTCAGTATTCATAAAAAGTCGAATGTATTAACTAATGTGCAAGGATGCCTTCATCTCACAATATGTCAAATGACGATCTTGCATTATCAGTTTACTCAGTTGAACGACCTTCACGGAACTACGACCACGATTGAATTCACTATACCAGCGATATACTGTGGTTTTTGATGGTGCACTGACACATTTTTGATGAGATAATCCACGTCAAAAGTTGTAACAAAAACCTTATTTTGAATTTTAATTTTACGTAAACATAAGTAAAAACTTCAATGAATCTTAATGTTGCAGAGAAAAAATGTTCGAGGCTGTGTCTGCTCTCTTCAGAACCTATAGCAATATTCCCGAGTTTTTACCCAATCTGATTCGAGAACTCTTCAATCTTGGAGCCAATCTCTGGGACTCGGGCATGTTCGAAGTAATACGAAGGGTTGTTTTGCAGGAAGTTCCCCAACCTGTAAGTCGGAGATGTTTTATTTGAAAAGTGTTTCACGTCTGATAATATATCGTGGACTTGATAAAATATTATTTTCTTTTGCAGTTTGGTAACGTGCGTCTAACCCCCAATGAGCAGGTGGCGGCTGAGGTTTTGGAAAGCTTAAGCATGAACACAAATGATTTTTCGGTTCCTCCTACTATGAACACGTTCAATACATTCACTCTCAGTAGTTTCATCCAGCTTCCAGATTGTGAAGTGAGTAAATAAATGTTCTAGAAGTAATCGTGATGGTGCAATTTCGGATAGGCTCCACCTGTTTGACGTGTAGATTACGAATCAGAAGAAAAAGAGATCGGTGCTCTCTCTCATTTACAGAGTTACAGACTTCTAAAGTTTCGAAACTTTTCAGTCTCCTTTTTGCACAATACTGTACAGGGGTTTTCACGGTGAGCGTGAACTTCAACTATTATTCGAATGTCCATTGCCTCACTAGATCGCTTCGCGTATTGCACTGTAACTTCACTTGACTGTGTCGATATGCTCGAAGCTAGCGTTTATACATGGCAATCGAATGCGCTAGAAAATGTCTAATCATTCTAATCATTTTTATTAAAAGGAGTCAATACAATAATGCATTTCAGGACAAGCAGTTTCTAATTACATATGTAAGTTTAGAACGCTATTTTTCGGAGACTGCTCATCAAAAAATAAAACATCAGGATACCATGGGAAACAAAATTGAACGCCAATCAGAATGATGTGCCACTCTAAGGGTAACAAATATTCTCAAGTGTCCCCCTTGAGTGGGAAGTTTTCAAATTAACACCCTGTATTTTTTTGAGAGAATAATCTTTATACAAGAAAACATACCCCTTTTCACTTTGACCCTATTTCATTTTAGGTATTTCAAGACATGTATGACCTATTGAAGGAAATTGAACCGTTTTTGAAGAAACACTCAAACAGGACTTTTGATAGAGAACTACTCGAATCCTTGAGAAACTATATAGTGGAATCAGCCATGTTCGCGAGATTCGTTTACGAACCGGCTTTCCGCAACCATTTTTCCTCACTTCTGGATAGAATGCTGGCTCAGTACTGTAGAAATACGTAAGTTTTGACAAATATATTATTAAGTCAGTCACTTGACGAAAAAACACCAAATGTGATAGGGCAATACAAGTTGGAAGAATTAGGAATATTTTCTCTTTCAAATTGATTGTTTTCATTTGGTCTTGGCAATTTTAAATCCAATGTTGCATTGGAAATGGAACAGCTGCTACTGCTGCTACACGCACGCAAGCAAATCAAGTCGATAATTTTATATCATTCAATCATAATATTTCGTTATAGTTTCCTTAAGCATTAGGTATGTTCCATTATTCGCTTCCGTAATGCATTTGTTACTCGCTGTTGAGTTATTCTTCGCTAAAATGGTACTTTTCAACTGGGAGTACATGTCCCGCAACGTGAAGGATTTGACAGTTTTAAATTTTTGCGCCAAAAAGCCTCTGAGTAGTTTTGCATTTCTTCATATTTATCCATTTCGAGAACAAATGGTTAACTTTTTTGTACCTGGACCTTGATTTTTCAGGCAATAATTGAACTGTAGTAGCAGCTGATTCATTGGAAATTTTGTAAGGCACTATTCATTATCGATGCTGCTTCCCAAAGTTTATTGCGATAGTTGCGAAGAAAAACCATTCAAACTTTCTTAAAAATCAAAATGTCAAATAATTTTATGTCAAATAGCTGTCGGTCGTTATCGACTGATCTACTGCATTTATCAAAGCCATACCTACCTATCAAGATTTTCATATTTACAATAACCGGATTATTTCCGGTCTAGTTCGGGATAAACGTACTTCCCGGAATATACCTAAAAATGCTACTTTCTCAAAGAAAAAGCGTGCGGGAAGTGGGTAGTTCCCAGACAGTTGCCAATTATTACTAACTTTTTATATGCAACAGGTCTACATGTTTGAATTATTTTCAATTGTCATTATAAATATAATTCAAAAAATTAAAAAACTTAAATAATGGAGTTTACAAGTCATTTCATCATAATAAAACCAAATATGTTAATGCATGATAATATATTTGTATTTGTTATTCTACTATTTTTCCAGTGTTTCACATGTTACAAACCATTTGAACCAATCGTTAGAGATATTTGTCGCGCCAGAAATCGGATTGTATCAGTATTTGCAGAGGCATTATCCCATTACAGATGAAGCGAGTGGTTTCGATTTTAACATTCCAGAAATACAACCTCCCTCAGAAGTGAGTTAACAAAAATCACTTATATGTACTACACAAGAAAGTGAAAATTCAACTTACCATGCGTTCCACCAAGCACGCACAACGATCAAAATGCTCCTATAACCGTTCCACATAATGACCGCGGTTGTAATGGTCGCCTCGAAAACGTCACTCACGTATTCCAATCTCCATCTGAACTAGTTTCTGGAGCACAATTGAGACGCATCTACAAACCTTAAATAACCGTAAAAGACAAACTCAATTTGTTTAATAATTATAATTTATACTTTTCTTCAATATAAATAAAGTTAGCTTGCAATTATTGAAACTTATTGTTAAAGTTTACATAACCTCATAAAACTACTTAAATTTTGCAACCTCGCCCTTTGTAATGTTTACATGAATGCCCAAAACGTTCCATGATCCATTCCACTCGAATTTACGACACTAACGTTCGCAGGCAAGTGGAACGGGAAAAACTGCGGTCGTGAGCGTGATCGTTGCGAGTCATTAGTGGAACGCACTGTTTTAGTTGTATACACAATAACGTGCAGAACCTTTTTCCTGAAATACGAAAAATCACTCACTAGCAGTGCTAGTAGTTCGGAAGGGACAGACACTGCCTAATCCTCATAGAAACATATGGTAAAGTACAATTAAAAGACAATGTTTTCAACACAAGATGTTTCTGGAGCAAAACTAAAATTTGCAACTGTAAAAGATAACAATGTTAAAACGTTGGCTCGCATGCCGTAATTCAAAAGTAACTGGAAAAAAGTTAATTAATAGACAGGTTATTATACATACTCTAGTAAAAGAGTAGCGGTAGATTCAAACTGTAATAAAAGACATTTGAAATGATTATGAATTTCAGATTTATTTCCGAGTGAAATATGAATCTAATACAGATGTTAATGAAATTAATTTATTTGAATATTATCTAATCAATGGTAATTAACTATGAAAAGTTTACTATTCATTTCATGTTTAGAGCATACATATGAATATTTATTTATTTTTTGCACTGTTAAATCCACTCTTCTCGAAGCATGTATCCATTTCTCACATCTAACGTCGTTAATATGAGGTTTTATAAATGGTATAAAAACACGTTTTCTTCCGGATATCGATTATCCGACGTACAATTTGCAAAACGGCAATGCTTTGTTGGCATTATACTAGCACAAAATAATTTTTTTTAAATATTAAATTAATATTACGTAAATAACACTGTTTTACTTGTGAATAGTTTATGTTTATCCCTACTACTAGTGCTGCCTCTCGTGCCACGTTCGCTGTACTATTCTCAGGAAAAAGGCTCATTGAATGCACAAAACTAAAGTTATAGTTCTGTGATTGCATGTTAAAGCTCCTTTCGGTAATGACAGCTGACATAACGTGTTGACGTTCGTTGTGCAGAGTGCAAGAGTGCAAAGTATACATACAATATGTTTGCAGTCTACAAACGCTGGTTATGATTCACAGTTATAACTGAATCCACACGATAGTTCAGAAATCCTTCTGAACTCTCATAATATCATAATTATCAGGTTTAACCATCATGCTGTCGGACAGCAAGCCATGATAGTTAAACCTTTGAAGAAGCTAGCCACTCGCGCCAGCGAAACGTCAGGAAGAAATTCCAAAAATCCACGGCTTTCAAACTCGAAAAGCAACGACATTGAAAACCTCAGCCGTGAAAGTCTAAACCATTTTGTCTCATAATATTATTCGTTTTCACAGCAGAACCTATAATATTTCACGATATGTTTCCAAAAATTACAATGGATGACATAAAATCTATTATAGTAATATTTCTTGGAAGGGTTTCGCTTACATTTATTTTTGATCAAAACTTATCAAAACTTCTTCGATAGGCAAATGAACCTACTACCACAACTGGCGAGAGTGTAAATACAACTGGAAAACCAAATAATTCAAGAGGCAATAATAAAAAGAAGAGGAGAAAAAACAAGAAGGTATTAATATAAATATAGATTAGAATATGAGATATTGAGACGAACGTTTGCCTTGGACAGTTGAGCACAAAACACAAGAGTCTTTTTTTTATAATAGTGATTATTAAATCGAAAACAATCGCCTTGTTTCATTGAATATCAATAAGCAATATCTTTGAATACTTGTGATGCACTGTTTGGAACCTTTGGTGGAGTAATGAATATTATTGAAGTTTTATCCCGACACGTGTTTCAGTCACCAAGTGATCACCTTCAAGTGGAAGATTAAGCAGTTTAATCTTTCTCTTGAAGATGATCACTTGGTGATCAAAAGACGTGTCCAGGTTTTAAAAACAACGGTTTGATGTTGGGATAAAACTACAGTAATATTTATTATCATTGAATATATAGTTGATCGAATTAAATAAACCTTGAGAATTGTCAAAAAATCTGCCGGTTCATCTGTCCAAGAGTAATGTTCACATCTTTAGACGATACTGCAATTTGTAAATTGCATTATCTAAAATAAAAGCTATATGAAACAATTTCGACGTTTTATGTTCATACTACCTGTTGACAGTGACTTCCTTTGCGTGGTATTTAGTTTTTGAGTTTCCCTAGATTTTCTAAAGGCAAATTATACTCGTGTGTTTGCTAATCTTTGATTTATAAGTTTCACAAACTATAAATATAGTAAGCCAAGTTTCCGGGTATGTAATCACCCTGATTTTTATGACTGACATTTCGTCCACGACTGCGGCAGCCCTAATCAAAGGTGATAATTCAACGGACGAGTTGTCCTCACGGAATTTATCTTCACTTTCATTACATCGATGGTGGACGTGTGCATAGTCACACTTAATTTATGTTAAATAAATTCAAAACATTTATTTCTATCACATAATCCACGAAGTAGAATAAATGCCTGTAGGAATCAACTATTTATTGGGCTAATATCGTAACGGATATTGAACGCACTAATATTTGTTTTTCTCATTGGTCCAGTAGAAAATTATTTATGGATGTCACACTCATTTCTTATATTTTTTTCATATATATTTCACATATTATTGGAAATTATTGTTATATTCGTTTCTATTTTAGTGGCACTAACGTATTTGGGCCATTTTAGGGAAGTAGTGAAGCAAATAGCAGTCAGACAGATGTCGTTGTCAAGGTAAATCATAACAGAGCCTTTTTTTATATTTTTTATGAGTGGCACAATGATGAAAATTGAGAAATAAATACTTTTTCAGAACCCGATTACGTCATCCACTCCAAAAAAAGGGAGAAAATGGTAATGTTTTTCGCATTTAAAATTCTAGCTCTTCTCATTTGATGATTTTTTTTTCAGATGCGACAATTCTCCAGTCAGACATCCACTTAAATTTTATATATTTTTGAATTTCTGTATTTTACTTGTTGCTTAAGCGATTGTGATATGTGATTAGCGTATAATATTATATTATTTGACGATGTTCTTTAACTTTTTAAATAATAAATGTTTTATTGCAATGATAGTTTTATTTAATAATTATTTTTAAGAATGGAATATTCTGAAATCTGAAGATATAAACGAATAAAACAATTTACAAAATCGCGAAGTATTTTATAGTTTTCGTAATCTGTGTTATTTCACTTCACAATAACTTCTTCAGGCTTGTTTAACACTGAACATAGATTAAAGAAACAAGCTTTTACTGTAGATTTCCCTGTTCTGTGATATAGAACGCATAGAAAATAGGCATCGTTGCTAATGGAAAGTTATCAAATTCATCAATTTGTCGATCAGCTTTCTCATAATTCGTCTACACATTTGACTATTTCTCAAACCATTCTCCATGCATGAGCACATTTTTTTCAGAAGAGATTGCAACTGCAGGTAACACTTTGTCACGTGACTGACACAAAAAATAATTTTTTTGTAGCTGTCAATTTCTTCGTTTGTAGTCACATAGATGATACTCTAATATATGAAAAATTGAGAGGAATGTAATAGATTTGGAGGGGAACACAGAGTCATGTATTTTTATGTTCATTATTAGAGTTGTATGAAAAAGGTATATGGAAAAACCACTTTTCCATTAAAAATTCCTTGATTCACAAAGAACACACAAAAGTAAAATAGTCTCAAAATCACAAGTCACAACTATAAATATATGTCAGTGTTTTTCATGAGTTTAACGTTCGACTAAAAAAATGTTAATGTCACCCACTCTGTAGTCCTGGTTAAATATCATTTATGTCTTAGACCTGAAAAAATAGAAGAGGTGTCAAAATAAATGTCAAAGTGAAAACTTAACCCCACTTTTTCAAATAACCGACAAAATATGATGTTTTGCCGCCAGTGAAGTACATATTTCCTTTCAAAATATCTGGTATTCAAAATTTTGAGCCCTCGTGAAAAAATGAGTAAAAGGAAAGACTTCTCGCCGCAAAATTCGGCCAAACGTATGAGGTGTGTAGTATAATATTTTTAGGAAAAAAATGGTACACTGATGTTTCTATTTTTATATAAATTTCTAATTGACTTAATGTACCATAAATACCAATATTTCTAAATAAAGATATTCATTCATAGATGCGATAACTTTGTTCGTCCGCCAGTCCCAGCTTTGGATCCCAAAACTGACACTCTGATATTTCAAGAATTAGAGTTGGACCACTACATTGGAAATGTCTATCCCGGAATGCTTGGCCCCCAGAACGGTTTGGTACCCATTATTAGGATGTTCGGTATCACCAAAGCTGGAAACAGCATTTGCTGTCACATACATGGGTTCTCGCCTTATTTCTATGTGAATTTGCCAGAGTCCTTCACAAATGCAGAGCTGGAACCTTTTAAAGTAAGGAACACGTTCTATTCTTCAAATAGAATTAGTCAATACTAATTATAGTGGATTCATTGATAGGATCCAATGTGTAACAGTTAATGGTGAAGACTAATCGAATGTTATATGACTCCAAAGAAATTTCGAATAAACTTAAGAGTTTCATATAAAGACTGTTATATATTATAACCTTTTATTCCAAAGATTAATCATTTGTTAATATTTTTCAGCGTAAACTGAATGATGCTGTTCTTGCTGACCAGAGATCTTCCAACAAAAATGATATACCTGAAGCTGTAATGAAGGTGGAAATGGTGAAGGGAAAATCTTTGGTAGAATATACCGGAGACAAAGACGACAAGTTTGCAAAAATCACCCTAGCCGTTCCCAAATTTGTACCGGCTGCCAAGAGGTTGATCACCACCACTATAGTGTATCAACCATTGGCCTCACACACTTTCTTCGTTTTCGAATCCAACGTCGATATTGAAACGAGGTATAACAGTTCTAAGATTCCAAATTCACTAAACCCCTATTCATACTTTATTTTAAAGGTTCATGGTGGACAGGCAGATTCTGGGTTGCTGTTGGATCGAGTTGCCAGCTACAAAGTGGTTCAGGCGGTCACAGTTATCTGATTTCAAAGTCTCAACTAGATGTCAGATAGAGGTCGATGTGTCATGGGCAGATTTGATCGTACACGCACCCGAAGGGGAGTGGGCCTCTGTGGCTAAGTTCCGGATACTCAGTTTTGATATAGAATGTGCAGGAAGAAAAGGTAGATACTTATCATACTGATAATGAAATTGATATTGATGAGATAAGTACTTTTTACTGTTCTGAAGCCTCTGTCAGATATAATTAAATATCCAGCTTGGTATTAGCCAGGGGAGTAGTTGTTTTCCGTAGATATTTCATTTAACAACAAATGTGGATCTCACATCAAACACATTTTCTTTCAGGTATTTTTCCGGAACCAAACGTTGATCCGATTATCCAAATCGCCAACGTTGTAAAATGTCACGGAGAGAAGGATGTACTGTTTCGTAACATTTTCACTCTCAACACTTGTGCTGCAATTGGCCACGCAGAGGTGACTCCTTCAGTAGCTTTCATAGATTCTTATTTACCCGACAATCTTTTAGGTTTACAGCTTCAGTAATGAAGAAGAAATGTTGGAAGAATGGGCGAACTTTGTGAGATCTTTGGACCCAGATATCTTTACTGGATACAATATCAATAACTTCGATTTCCCGTATTTGATGGACAGAGCTAAACACTTGAAGCTGAAGAAGTTCGCTTATTTGGGAAGGCTTCTAGATGTTGCGTAAGATTTTGAAGTGATTTGTTTTTAAGATGAAGTACAAAAAATAGATTGATTGAGAAATCAAATTTAAATAATGAAATGCAACTTTTCAGCTTCAGACACTATAAAATATTGAAGAAGCATTCTAATTTTCTAATTATCAGTTACTGAAAAACTTTCCAATAATGTCTTTTCAAAAGTCATCACCCTTGAATTTTTTATAACTGAATGGCTATTGAATTATTCACCTTTGCAGCACTCTGTACGTTTTTCAAAACTTCCATCAGGTTTGTAAATATCTGTTGTCTTGATCTGAAATAAATATAGTTTTAAAAAAACTAAAAAACACGCTTTTAAAGAACGTCGAACTAAAAAGTTGAAAATAATTTTTTAATTAAATTATTTTTTGTTCGTTATTGTTTTTAACTTTTTAGTTTGATGTTCTTTAAAAGCGTGTCCTTTAGTTTTTTCAAACTATAATCATTTTTCACTTTTTAGTTCGATTTATGGTCAAAAATATTTGTTTTTAAGTTCTAGTCACTAGTATTATAAATCTTTGATAGACGGCGCACGAATGTAAAATGTCTCTCAAACAACATAATGAAGTTTGAGGTCTTAAATTCAATAGTAATACTGAGATGCAGTAAGTCTCTAACAGAGGGCAGACAGTTGTAAAACTTGTTTCGAAGCAAAGAGAAAATTTGCAGTAGCAATTTTAAAAAACAATTCAGTCTTGATGTTTTGATTTGAAGTTTCATTCAAAATATTAATGGACTGAAAATATTTTTTCATTGAATAATTTTATTTTTCAAATCAATCTTTTGATTGGATATGTATGTCAAGCACCTTAATTCTAATTTTTCGAATTTTTGAAATATTTAAGTAATTGAATTTTATAGGTGTCCAATTTACGATAAAGTTTTTATTGTTGAAATCCATATTCTAGTTTACTTTCAACTAATCGAATTAGATTTTGAAATGTATCTTCCGTTTCGTTTGAAACTTTTTTCTGTACTGAATCACGTGTTATTGAAGATATTTAAATATTTCATCGGTAGTACAAAATTTCGGTAATGTAGATGTGAGGTGATATGCTTCAGGTGATCAAAATTGAATAGGTAGAGGTTCAGGAAATTTTTTGCAGCTAGTCTCAATTATGGTTACCTGTAGTATGTAAATATTAGTGTAAGAAACAACTTGAAGTATTCAAATCACTTGACAAAGCTACTGTGTTAGCGAAACATGTAATATTTTTTTCAAATAAAGTTTCTGGAGATCAAATCGTGAGGTGTAGCTTTTGAAATCTTGTATCTATGTTGGGTCGGAAACTTTTCCACACACTCTCGTATAGGCTAAATCAAATTTGGTACCAAATCTTGTCATGGTCTTCCAATTAACTAGCCAGTATTATCAAGCGTGATCGATAAAGATAAGGTACCATAACAGGTAGCAATTAACATCAGGACCAATTAGTTAAAAGTAAGTTTGAAGGTGATTGACAATGTTTCATTATAAATTTCACAAGTTCGGACTTCCATTGTCTACTATATAAAATGATTTGAAATCCCTGAAACAACTAAAAAAAAAATAATTAAAAATGAATAGCTGAAAATAACAATTATATTAAGCAAAATAAACCTGAAATGAAATAATAGTGAAATATAATAATAATAATAATAATCTTTATTCAAAATAGACATCCTAATATACAAATGGTAATATGATTGTGGTTTATTTTGCTCAATATAATTGTTATTTTCAGCGATTCATTTTTAATTCTTCTTTTTTAGTTGTTTCAGGGATTTCAAATAATTTTATACGGTAGACAATGGAAGTCCGAACTAGTGAAATAGTTGAAAGTAACATTTGTTTACACATTTCGAGCGTATCCATAAAATCTCGCTACATAAATCAAATTCATTTTCCAGATCCGCTGTGAAAGAGACAGTTACTCAAACCAAAATCGGCCGTCGCACCTTCAAATCGATCAACTTCGAAGGCAGGGTACCCTACGACATGCTCCTAGTAATGAAACGGGATTTCAAGCTGAGGTCGTACACCCTGAACAGCGTTTGCACGGAGATTTTAGGCGAACAGAAAGAGGACGTGCATTACAGCATCATTACCGACTTGCAGAATGGAGATGAGCAAACGAGAAGACGGTGAGAAGTAGTACGCAACGCAAAACATATTTCTCATCTGTTTTTCTGTTGTAGGCTTGCGGTGTATTGCTTGAAGGACGCAGAATTACCGCTGAGATTGTTGAACACTGTACTGAGTTTCACGAATGATATCGAAATGGCTAGAGTGACAGGGGTGCCCATTACGAGCTTGCTAACTAAAGGGGAGCAGGTGAAAGTGGTGGCACAGTTACTCAGACATGTGAGTTGTAAAAAATTATGAATACAGTAGTTTAATGTAGGAAAAGCTCACTTCTAACAATTTACTCACATTCTGTGTTGGAAAACAGGATGAAACTTGACTCTATCTACGCAGACTTCTAATAATAATAAAATAAAAGTTTCTCTTCAGAATGTGATATTTTTGTTGCTCCAGTATATAATTCGTAACAATTTGATTTATATGCAAGTCTAATTACAATCTAATTACAACCCATAAAGGTGAAATACCGTCTTTCAACTCTCTGCACACTGCCAATTCAGTTAGAATTCTACAGTTTATGTTTTTTTGATTTTTATATGTATATGTTTGTATAATATACTATTCTATTAGTCTAGCGATTTTATATGCTATCGTATTCTATTGTTATGTTTTTCCTTGTGGGTTGACCAATAATTGTCTACAATGAATAATCAAAATGAACTTTATTTCATTTTTAATATAACAAACACTTCAACTAAACTTCAACTATTATTTGAATGTCTATCGCTTTACTAGATCACTTCGCGTACCTCACTGTAACGTCCACTTGACTGTCTCGATATGTTCGCGGCTGGCGTTTATATATCGTAATCGAATACGCTAGAAAATTCCATCGAAATCGGTATCATTATTCTCGCTGCTTCCAGAGTGGCGGGGAATCATCGTACATTCGCGCGCCCTTAGCTACGTCACCATTGATTTATGGCTACCAGTGGCGGCCGATGTTACTTTCATTCGGGCATGATTTACAACACTATTTTACTTATACGGGTGTAACTGAAAAAGTGTAAAACATTTAAGGAGATGATTCCTCATCGAAAAAAAGATGGGATCTTTCATATAAAGAAAGTTCATTGGAGCATCTCTTGTTAAGATACAGCCCTGTAAAGGGGGTACATAAAATTTGTATAACAATTTTTCTCACAAGCACTAAAAAAGTTACAATATTGAAATTAACCTGACGTTTTGTACTACCAAAAAGACACTTAGCCAGTAATTTATTTGGTTTACCCCATGGTTGTAAGGGGTGGAAAACGCAACCCCTAAAACTTATTTCCAATGTAACTTTTTGTCTTATTATTTGTTTACCATTTAAAAATTTATTTCTGATAGCCTGTTTTATTCTAAACAAAAAATGTCTCTTGGGCAAAAAACCTAACAGACATTTTTTGTTTAGAATGAAACAGGCTATCGGAAATGAATTTTTAAATGGTAAACAAAAAATAAGACAAAATGTTACATTGGAAATAAATTTTAGGGGTTGCGTTTTCCACCCCTTACAACCATGGGGTAAACCAAATAAATTTCTTGCTAAGTGTCTTTTTGGTAGTACAAAACGTCAGGTTAATTTCAATATTGTAACTTTTTCAGTTCTTGTGAAAAAAATTGTTTTACAAATTTTATGTACCCCCTTTAAGGGGCTGTATCTTAACAAGGGATGCTCCAATGAAATTTCTTTATATGAAAGATCCATTCTTTTTTTTTCGATGAGGAATCACGTCCTTAAATGTTTTACACTTATTTAGTTACACGCGTATAAGTAAAATAGTGTTGTAAATCATGCCTGAGTGAAAATAACATCGGCCGCCACTGGTGGCCATAAATCAATGGTGACGTAGCTAAGGGCGCGCGAATGTACGATGATTCCCCGCCATTCTAGAAGCAGCGAGAATAATGATACCGATTTCGACGGAATTTTCTAGAGTATTCGATTACGATATATAAAGGTATTTATTCATAGCTGTAAACTTCATTATATATTGAGATTACTCCTGTTGGACAATGAACCTCCCTTTTTTTATAATACTTTATTTTCATGAAGACAATATAAAGTTGTATAAGAAACTGTCAACAAAATGAATTGAGGATACTTGAAGTTAATTATTAAAAAATTCTGATAGTGCATAATAACAATTTTCTAACAGATATGCTTTCACTGTTTGTTTAAAATTATACAGTTGCTTTGAAGCCTTCACATTCGCTGGACGATTATTATAAACTTTTAGACCAATGTATTCTGGCACAGAATAAGTCACTTTTGATTTCACAATTGGCACATGGAACTGGTGTTTGATTCCTGTATCGTGGTGGTGAATACTCTTATATTCAACGTATAACTTTCCTTATTTTCAAACACGTATACACACATTTCAAGTGTGTTGTTATTCTTGATAAATGATTAACAATAAACTCACGGTTACTTTAGGCAAAAAAAGCTGGATACTTCATGCCGGCCCACCAGGGGGCTCCCGGGAACGACCAATTCGAAGGCGCGACAGTTATCGAACCCATCAGAGGTTATTACACAGAGCCGATTGCTACACTGGATTTCAGCTCTCTATACCCAAGTATAATGATTGCTCACAACTTGTGCTACACTACTCTGTTGAAGGGGCATCAGAAGGAGAAGTTGGGGTAAGTTTCCCACGCAACTAACTTGACTCAAGATATTGATCTCTGATCCGGCTAATTTTCAGTTTAACCGATGACAAAGTGACAGTCACTCCGGCCAACTGTATGTTCGTCAAAAAGACTGTTAGGGAGGGTTTGTTACCTCAAATTTTGCAGGATCTACTGGCAGCCAGGAAGAGAACAAGGGCTTTGTTGAAGGATGAGAAAGATCCCGTCATCAGGACCGTGCTGAACGGCAGGCAGCTGGCGTACAAAATATCTGCCAACTCTGTGTACGGTTTTACAGGTGCTCAGGTCGGAAAATTGCCGTGTTTGGAAATATCCGGGGTGAGTTGAGGTTAAATTAAGAGAAGGCTCAGATAAAAGCAACTTGATATGTTCTGTGTTCACAAATCGGCATTATTTTTTCAAGAGCGTCACAGCTTACGGCCGAACTATGATCGAACAAACCAAGCAAGAGGTCGAGCAACACTACCGCATCGAAAACGGTTACGAGGCCGACGCCAAAGTCATATACGGTGACACTGATTCCGTCATGGTCAATTTCAAAGCTGGTAGCTTGAAGAAAAGCATGGAGTTGGGCACGGAAGCGGCGGAGTTGATCAGCACGAAATTCATCAAGCCAATCAAGCTGGAATTCGAGAAGGTCGCTTAAGCCCAAAGGGTAGTTTGAATATAGTAACCGTTGCAGAATTTTAGGTGTACTATCCGTACTTGCTGATCAATAAGAAGAGATACGCAGGGCTGTACTGGACCAATACTGAGAAATATGACAAGATGGACTGCAAGGGCATCGAAACTGTTCGCAGGGATAACTGCACTCTAGTCGTGGACGTAATTAACACGTGTCTGCAGAAGTTGCTTATAGACAAGTGAGTATCTGTAATGGGAATTCTTTATATACGAGGTCCATTCAAAAAATAAGGTGAATGTTGAATTTTTGAAGGCTACATACATTCGAATTGCGATTTTTTTATTTTTTTATGTTGGTACACTCGTCTCGAACATATGTTCACAGTTTCAGCTGTTGAGCCTGTTCAGTTTGTTGGTCAGAGGCATATAGGTTTGAAGTGTTTTGTGTGTTCTGCGATTTTCAGCTATAGAAAAAAAGAATCGTAGAATTTGCATAAGATTTTGTGTGAAAAATGGAATTCATTTCTCAAAAACACTAGAAATGTTGACAGTGGTATACGGTGATTGTACTAAGAATTAGAAAAATGTTTATAAGTGGTACAAGTTTTTCACAGAAGGTAGAGAAGATGTGAATGACCACGCTCGCCCTGGAAGCCTCAGCGCAACTGATGAAAGTGAGAAAGTGAAGAAAATTGTTTCAGAGAATCGTCGAATCCCTATTGCTGAGGATGTCGGCATATCGGTTGGTTCATTCCATGTAATTTTTTCGGAAATTTTGGGCATGAAGCGTGTGGCAGCAATATCCGTTCCAAAATTGCTAAATTTTAACAAAAAAAAAACATTGCAATAGCATCTCTCAGGAATGACATCAACGGAGATCTAGATTTGCTTAACTGGGTCATGAGTTTGTGGTTCTGACATCAAAAACAAAGTCCAATCGTCCCAATGGAAAAGCCCACGAGAGCAAAAAGACACCAAATGAAAAATGATAAATAAATGAATATTTTTGGTGAAAAATTGAAATCCACCTTAATTTTTGAACAGACCTTGTACATACAAATCATGATAATTATTATAATAAATATGGAAAAACTGTTTGTATCATAAACAATATATATCTCAATCATAACTACTACTATGGCAGTTGATTATTTTGGGTAAAATTTTATTATTCGGGCTAATGTCAACCTGTCACTAACCCAACCAAAGCTAGATTTAACTAGTCCAATTGAAACATTACATTGCTGATCAATTTACAGTGAAGTATATACGAAATATGTTCCTTGACTCAAGTTATTATATTGCACTCAGTTTGACCGACATATTTCTTAGCGCAATCCACACAGGTCATTTCGTAAATCCCATACTTCAACGATTGTTGGGCAACCCGAAAGATGAAACTATGAAAAAATCTGGGAATTATGAAATGAGCTGTGAAGATTGCAATATAAAATATGTTGATCAAACTGAGTGGACTAATAGTTCGCTACGAGAAACATGTTTTACAGAATAAGAGAGGAATGCTTTAAATTATTGAGACCGGTACATGGTTACAAGTTTTTAGATGCCTCCGATGGTGTGGAAATTGAAAAATGTGGAATGAGATCTATGAACGGTGCTGAAGGTCCCATTTCTGAAATTTTATTGCTCGCACTCCTACATAAAGTTTAAGTCAGATAGTAAATAACGATAGGACAATAATAAAATACATTATGCATAGTAGTGATTCGTGTAGATGCATATAAGAATATTAACATAGCTTGTAAGAGTAGTATAACCCATTGCTTGTTAACTTGGTAAGCGATACTCACATCTAGAGACAGTATTTTTGTTCTGGCGTGGAAAAAGTGTTTCCGGTGGAACAAAAGTCAGACTAATTTTTTTTCAAAACGTAGTACAAATACAGAAACGAAATTTTGTTTCTTTCTTGTTATTTTTTTTATATAGAGATCCAGATGGAGCTGCCAACTATGCCAAACAAGTAATTTCAGATCTGCTTCAGAACAACGTCGACATATCCCAGTTGGTAATCACTAAGGAGCTGACGAAGTCTGATTACACTGCCAAACAGGCCCACGTGGAGCTCGCCAAGAAAATCACCAAGCGAGACCCGGGGAATGCCCCAAAACTAGGAGATCGTATTCCATTCGTTATAACGGCTGGCACTAAAAATGCCAAAGCTTTCGAGAAGGCTGAGGTAAGCAGTCGAGCAGCTGTTTAGTGAATTTTTGGCAATTTCCTTTTTTTTTTGTAGGATCCTATTTACGTTCTGGAAAATAACATTCCAATAGACGCGAAGTACTATCTGGAAAATCAGCTCTCGAAGCCTCTGATCAGGATATTCCAGCCTATTTTAGGAGACAATGCCGAATCTATATTGCTGCGTAAGTTGAAATAGAGGGAACGTACTTTGTGTCAAGTTTTTTCATCATATCAAGTTTAATTTCGGCTATTTTCGATTCGCCCTGTATATTATTTTAAAGGTGGAGAGCACACCCGATCCAGGACGATGGTCACATCGAAAGTGGGCGCCCTGGCTGCCTTCACGAAGAAGAAAGAAGTCTGTATAGGCTGCAAAGCGGTTCTCCCCAAAGGATACGAAAACGAAGCCGTCTGTGCTCATTGCAAGAGCAAAGAGGCGGCGCTCTATCAGCAGGAACTGAGCCATCATGGGATGCTGGAACAGAGGTTCGGAGCTTTGTTCACCGAGTGTCAGAGGTGCCAGGGATCGCTGTTCGAAGAGATCTTGTGCACCAGCAGGGATTGTCCCATTTTCTACATCAGGAAGAAGGTTCAGATGGAACTTGATACCAGCAAGACGAAGTTGGCCAGGTTCGGCGGTCCTCTGTTAGAAGAGGAGATATTTTAATTTGTAATTGTTGTCGTTTTTTTATATAATTCTCGAATACATCTCTTTTGACATACTAATGTTTTTCAATTCCTTCAAATGTCAGTTTTCCGATAATGATGTATAAATCTATTATTATTATAAGGAAAACTAATGGAAAAAGTGATTTCAAGTCGATTATATTCGCAGCAGAAATAAACAGAAGTAATATTTCTCTAGAAGAAAAACCCTTCACTCTAAACAGACAGCAATTAATAGTTTATTGTTAACAAGATGTCGCTGCCTGAATAACTATCATTGCCATCTTTTGGAACACAATAAAAGTACACAATTTACATGAAGAAACCTGTGAATAAAACTATCACAAAACTCTCGAATATCATACAAGATGTCGCTAGCGGTTTTTGTAAAGAGAAAAATTTCGGAGACCTTTCACGTCATTTTATCTATACGAAAGAATTTTTACTAATGATGGTACTATTCAAACAGCTGCTCAAAATAACTGAATGTTGAACAAAGGCTATGGTTATTTTGGGTTTTTTGTGTTCTAAGGAAAAGTTAGGAACTCACTACTTTTTCATTCATTTCGCGGTTCTCTTCTTCTTATTTTCGATTCAATGGCCTCAGCAACTAAGGCTATCCGGCCAGTTGGGCTATTTGACAATTGACGCGTTAACGGTAATTATCCCCGAAAAGATGCCAAGTTATTCTAGCGCTTGGCTAAGCTACGTTTATTGTTCTGTGGTGCATACAGCAAACATTTAAGCTTGGATTAAGTTTTAAGCGGGCACGCTTCGCTTTACATAGAAAACGGTGAATACGGGCATTAATAGTGAATTTGTGAGACTAATATTTTGTAGGGCACGAGGGAAACATGAATTGGTTCAATGAATTACTTTTACTTACGGGAAACCACAACAATATATGAAACAGCTGAGCGGACTTTGTTTTACCATTTGGCCTAGTTTTAATATGACAAGTAGATGAATCTGGCGATGAATTTCCCAAAAAGTGATTGTTAAACATAGGTTATGTTTTGGTTTTTTGTGTTTTGAGAAAGAAACTATTGAATAAGTGAAGCACACGTAACCATAACAATATATGAAAACAGCTGACAAACTTCTTTTTGTTTTACCATCTGGCTAAGTTTCAATATATCCGGTAGATGTCGCATCGGGTCGATAAATTTCAAATTTCGCAATAGCGCTAAGATGGTGCTAAGCAGAAAATTCAATACAAATACCTAACGTCTCGAATGGACCAATAGATGAATCCATTCATGAATCCAAATATTAAATACCAGAAAATTTCTTATAGATAATTATTCAAGGTTTTTCATTAGATGTCTTGAAATTCATGATGTTTCATGATCAAATTGAATTGAACCAGGTGCTAACTTGTTTCATTTTTCGAGAAATGGTGTGCTTGATAATTTTAATCATTTGAAGTGACATACTAAAAAAGGGGAGAAGGAGACGCTCCACCAGCCCTACCTTTGAAATAAATAGGCTCCTTAGAATGTAATTGTTGCTCCAACATTTATGTACCTAATGAATTAGTGGAGTCATGTTTGTGTGAATGAGTTACAATGACCTAAATGGTAATGTTAGCCGATGTTCAGCGTATCTGCCTCACGACTTATCGCTAGAACCCTGACTGACATTTATTTGGCAAACTTTTTTAAGCAATGGGTCTAACTTTAATCTATCTTGTATTAGCATAATTATTTTTCAATTGATACATTATTCTACTATTTTGTGGCTGGCCATATATACGTTTTGTATCGCTTATGGTCAATAAATATCATTATATATTTGGAGTCTTAGGTGATATTTATCAAATCAAAAGTTGTATCGTCTGTGAAGAAAGAAGATTTGCTAGAGATACTTAGTACATGATGTCAGAAAGAACAAAATTGAACCTAAAACTGGTCCTTGGGGAATATCTAACTTTATATCACTTAAACTGGACAATGTTCTAGCCCGAAAGTGGATTATTGGAGTATCAATCAAGTTAGGTTAAAAAAATAAAAAATCAACATTACATGAAAATAGAAATTATGAAATAACTATTTTATAAGTATTTGAAAGACATTTTTGTGGGAGAGTCAATGCTTCTTACTGTTTTTGAGTGTCTAACCTCGCACAATCAGAAAAATAAATAAAGCTAAAACAATACAGAATCTGCCGAATTGTAAAAAGGGGTAAACTGAAAAGCTCACCCTGTAATATAAACCATGGAAGAGTCCAATTAGTCAACTTGTCGTAGTAATAGCTTTTTGTAGATGTTTGACTTTTCGAAATACAAAAAAAAAATCACTTATGAATGACGCCTCATATGGAAATAGTTATATTTCTGGGAATGAAAGGATGTGGCCTACAACTTCTCCATCTTTATACAAAAAAATGTGTAAATCTCACAAATGGAGGAACAAAGCAAGAACTTTCAAAAAATTGACTCAGATGTCAGAAAGAATAGAATTGGACCTAGGACTGGTCCTTGGGGAACATTTAAATTTATATCACTTAAACTAGATAATGTTGTAGCCCAAAAGTGGATCATTAGAGTCAGTTACTACTTTACATGATCTATACATCAATGTATGGAGATAATTTTGTGAAATTTACTGCTTTTCTTTTCTTTGAAAGATTCCCACATTTTTTTGAATAAAAATGAAGAATGTGGGAAACTTCCAAAGAGAACAAGAAAGAAAAATGTATCATAGCTTTCTTTGGAATTTTTCCACATTTTTACACTTTATAATGAGATTTTCACTAAACAGTTTCACAGAAACGCAGCACGTGTTTCGCTATACAATAGATTCTTAAGGCGTGTCTATATAGCTACTTTCAATTGACGTTCACTGATGAATTTTTTTAGTTTTTAAAAATGTAAAGGATCATTTTCCAAAAGGTTGACCATCTAAAGAGTGCTAAGTACAAAAATTTTATTTTTCCACTGATTATTCAATCTATCGGTAAAATTTATGAATTCAACAATTTACTGACTTCAGAGGTTTATATTATGCAGCAACTTTTTAGGGTGAATTTTTTATCTGCCCTTTATTACATTTTAGCAGCTTCTCTATTGGTTCAACTTTGATTTTCAGATTATGTAGGTTAAATACCCATAAAACATTGAGAAACCAGTTAAGAAAAAGAGATTCTCATGTCATGGAAAAGTAGAATTGAAGCCTCAATTTTTCCATTTTTTATCACTGGATTGGAGAGCGTTCTCGATTAGGAAATATTCTTCATTCTGGGGAACAACTTTGGCTTTATAGGCGAGCAGTGCTTGTCTATCTCGCTGGTTGATAAAGTGATGAATGACAAATTTGTGACAGTTCAATTTTTCTGCAAGATACAGGGCTCTGTCATGGTCCGATATGCCGTGCAGATACTGCTCTAGAGCATCCTTGGGGGGACTGTGCCTACTGATCCCATAAACGAAAATTTCTGCTGGCATGACTGTTTTGAGGGAACTCTTCTTTGACAACCAGTTCGATTTCATAAATAAAGCTGTCAGCTGTGGCCACGACTGCATAGAAGCCAACACGTTCATGGCAGTCCACTCGAAGGCGAAATCATCAATTTTGAGTTTCTCTTTAAAGTCCATTATGGCGTCATTGGAGTTTTTGTTCCTCTCCCATTCCTTTTTGCAGAGGGAGGCTAGTTGTTCGATTACTGAGTTGCAAGTCTCCTTTCTGTCGATTTGCCATTGCAACAGCTGCATGTTTTCATTCAGTTCTCGTTTTTCGTCATTACTGACCTTCTGCAAATGTTCCAACATAACATGTTCCAACTTTTTATGAAGGGTGTCTTTATTCTTGATATCCCGTCCGCTCAAGTAATACACTTGCCTCATGCCAGAATTGTTACCCGTGACCATGTAAAGATCGGCCAGTTCTTCATATTGACCATTAACAATCAAATGAGTAGCATAATGTCTGACGGCAACAGTTCTTTTTGCAAGTTGATGATAAAATATGTTACGCCGCAGAGTGGATTTCAAAAAGAGAACAACACCCATTATCACATTTCCGTCCATTGAATTTACAGCAGAATCCAAGAGAAGCAATTTATCGGTTAGTTTTTTGTAAACCTCCAAAACGTACTTTTGGCCGTTGAACATTTTTTTGATCGTTTCCTCAACTGGGGGAACAATGTAGTCATTTGTAGATTTGATATCATCTAGTATCAGATCCAAACTGGCCTTAGATATGAGAGAATGAATAGGTAGAATACTGTTTTCTTCAGAAGTAGAGCTGAAAGCAAATTCCTTGAACGGTTGGTTGGAATCTTCGTCGTCATCGAAGTTGAAACCAGAAGATGCACTGGTATTCCAGAAGTCGTCTTCGTTTTTTGATACCATTTTTCAAAGGTACTGTTTAAAAGGTTTCAAAAATTAACAATCTTGACAGTAATTTTGTTGACTGCTTTACCAGGTTATTTTGTGTTTTCGGAGTAGGAATAAAAACAATACTATCATCCTGAATAAATAATTTTGAAAAATAAAATTAACCTAATTCGCAACCGCAGAACTCAGAATTATCTCGTCTAAGATATAAATATAATTTCTGTGTAAGCATGTTAGGATTAATTAAAAATTATTGATAATATTGACAGTTTATCGAATAACCGAACCATAAACTTCACCACAGATCAAATACTTCAACCACAGGTACTCAATCTGTGCTTTAGCTTACAGTCACAAGTTACGGAATACTGGGATCAGTGTTCTGTGATGATAACCGAACGTAAAGAAATAGGTCGCGAGCGGATAAAACACCACAGCACGTAAATGTCACCCATATCGAAATAATGTTCTATGCTAATCGAAAATCATATCAATCGGAAGAATCTCGATTTCTGTGCGAGAACCAAGGAGTGGGCGACATCTTGGTTCAATACTCGAAAGTCAAACTCAAGGAAAACTATAAATTGAAAGTTGTACTGAGAATATGTGTGTTAATCAACAAATAGGGGTGTATTTTCTATTAGTTCGGACTTTTTCTGACAATATTGACAGTTTATCAAATAACCGAACCATAAACTTCAGCGTGCTTCAGCTCAGTCATAAGTTACGGAATACTAGGGTCAGTGTTCTGTTCTGTGAGGATAACCGAACGTAAAGGAAATTTGTCGCGAGCGGATAAAACACCACAGCAAGTAAATATCACCTATATTGAATTAATGTTCTATGTGAAGCGAAAATCATATCAATAGGAAGAATCTCTATTTCTGTGAGAAGACCAAGGAGTGGGCGCCATCTTGGTTCAATAATTCGAAAGTCAAACTCAAGGAAAACTATAAATTGAAAGTTGTACTGAGAATATGTGTGTTAATCAACAAATAGGGGTGTATTTTCTATTAGTTCGGACTTTTTCTGACAATATTGACAGTTTATCAGTGTTCTGTTCTGTGAGGATAACCGAACGTAAAGGAAATAGGTCGCGAGCGGATAAAACACCACAGCACGGAAATATCACCTATGTGAATCGAAAATCATATCAATAGGAAGAATCTCTATTTCTGTGAGAAGACCATGGAGTGGGCGACATCTTGGTTCAATAATTCGAAAGTCAAACTCAAGGAAAACTATAAATTGATAGTTGTACTCAGGATCTGTATGTTAGTCAACAAATACACGTGTATTTTCTATTACTTCGGACTTTCATTGTCTTATATGAATCTATTATGATTCATATAATATGAATGAATAGCTAAAATATCAACTATGTTAAACAATAAAACGTGAAATGAATATACAATAAAACAAATAAAATAATCAAGATACGAAATAAAAATGACCACAGAGTAAAAAATAACAGAAAAAGGTGCAAGATTGAAAATACAAATAAGCAAAAAAATCAAAAATGATTTCCAACCAAGTTACTTCACAACGTTTCGATTTTTGTATTCACAATCGTCTTCGGGTGATGACTGGACTATTTATTCGAGAGTTGATTGTTTATGGGTCATTCGAGCATTTTCTTCTATCCCCTATTTTCTCTTTTTTCGCTTCATCGGTTTAGTGGGAGTCGGCCGTTGAAAAATTCTGGCCAACACAGAACCTTGTGGAACACCAAAAGTTGAGACTACTTCATTCATCGCTTTTACAATTATTGATTACTACAAGTTGATTTCAAAAATAATTTCGAAATAATTTCTAAGAAACAACTCTTATTGCTGAGTTATGAAAAGTATCTTATTTTCAATGAGGTATTACTCTACCCCAAAAAAATTAACAGGATGGTGGGTTGAAGGTTAAATTTCCCTGGCAGGTATGCCTTGTGGTGCAGGTATGCCACAACCCTGTATGTTTATATTGTGTTTTAGATAAAAAGTAATTTTTTAACCGAGAAACATATGCGAGACTAACCTCTGTTGCATAAATGTCTGTCGGATAAAATTCAATATCCAGCGTGGCAGTAACCGGAGAAGTAGTGTTTTCCGGCAAGTATTTACTAGAACCTACGGGGTAGTTGGGAGAGAAAAATGCTTCGGGATTTTATTTCGAAATATTTATTTTCTTATATATATATGGATCTCTCGTCGATACAGTATTCGAACTTAATATTCAATAAAATTTTATATTCAACTGTATTGAAAGTTTTTCGAATATCTGACAAAAGTCAACATTTTCACGAGTGTATGTGTAAAGTTGAAATGAAGTGAATGCATTAAATACTACAGTGTGCCGCTATGAAAATTCTGTCCTTTTACAAAAAAATATTTTGTTGTATTTGCTGTTGTTTTCGTGACACCACTACAACAATGTATTTCTGAAAGAAAATCATAAATCGAAGATCCAAAACATTATGAACGACAGATAAGAAAATCAAATTGTAAAATGATGTTTACAACACTTAGATTATCAACCTTATCAGCACTTCAATTGCTTTTTAATTGGATAGCAAGATTTTAATTATTTATATAATATCACGTCTCATATCAACTTCAAACAAATGAAGAGCTGGAACGGAAGACGTCGCTGTGAATTATCTCAAATGTATCATCGAAATGTTCAGTGAAACGTTCAAAAAGCAGCAATGACACTTTAGGGGCTGATATCATCATGAAGAAAACTGTGCGAAAGGCCCCAGATGGAGGATACGGGTGGATCATTGTTCTGGCTGCATCTTTGAATGGTGTAAGTGAGAAAACTTTTTTAACGGGGCCCCAAAAATGTGGAGTGTTTCAAAACATTCGACTAAATGATTTTTATTGTATCGATCAATGATTAGTGAAATCAGGATGTCAAACCCTCTGTAATATATTGTTAGGCACTTATACGTACCTTTGAAGTCTTTTATAAAGTTGAGTAAGACATTTATTATCTCACTTTACTGAAAAAATTATTCTCGTTACAACTATTTTAAATATTCGATAAAATAAAAAAGTGGCATCTTAGTGAACAGGGCTTATCAATATGGAGTTTCTTTACTTGTCTACTATCGTTTGCTAATTCTGTGTTAATTTACTCAACCGAGTCTGTTATACAACAAATAGATACAATTAAAGACCTGTAAATGTTCTTCAAAAATTTCCATTTCCCACCAGGACTACTTTCCATTCAATTCACAGACTTATTTTCATTATTTTCAATGATACGACTAACATTCTAACATCTGGAAAATTATCTTTGTTTGCCGCTGTTTGTTTGTTGCTACACTACTTTGGAATAACAATTATGGAATCATATTGAATGCGACAATGTGTGTTGTTCATGAACAAAGCGAAAGACTGAAATGACTTCAGTATTTCTTCTTCCTTGCTAGATATCGCTAATACTGAAAATCCCTAAAAAATTGTACTGGATGCTTTGTACTGAAAAATATTGTGAAACATTTTTTCTCAGCTAACTCACAATCTCCTCTTTTTATCAAGTTGTGTAGTACATATCTTATGCATTCAGTATTTGTAGCTTTGCCAGTCCAAATGGCAGGTTAATCTCTTGTTTCACTCTTTCAACAACATAAGAAGATTACATGCCAAATAAATTCAACTCTACTTTATTTCTACCAAATACGTGTGTCTAATTCTTTGATAAATCAGCATTTTCAACAGCTCTCAGCATGGATATGGTCCGAAAAATAAAAGATGCTTTAGACAGGGGCGGCTTTAGCCCATGTAGCGCCCGTATGCAATCAATAGCCCCTCTTGTGTCAAAATAGAGTAAGTTCTTACAGTATGCTCGACTAAACTCCGAACCTCACTAGAACGCGTTGGCCATAAGCCTAATATCATAGTTTTGTCTCGAAACCAGTTACAGCGAATATGGCGATAGAGGAACCTACTAAAAACCTGTGAAAAATGTTTCATTGAGGCTAAACTTTCTTTTTGCCAGGAAATTTGAATGTGACAATTTCAGTCGATCGTTCAAATCGTAGGGCAGTCATTTTCAGAGCGTTTCGACCTTTCCAATACGTTTTTAACCATCAAAAACCGTATGGGAGCTAACGCTCAGTTCTTTCGCCATCCCACGCACCGTTTGTGATGGTCAGTCTCCACAAAGGGTCCTCAAATCCTCGTCCTGGGATACTGTAGGTCGACCATTTCGGGGCTCATCGAGGCTGAATTTTCCGGAACGCAATTTAACAAACCAACGTTCGTTAACGCTATCATTACCAAACATTTTTCGGGCGGTTTTGGCAGCGCTTCGTGTAATTTGAATTCGTAGAGAAAAAATGAACAAAAACCGCCTAATGAAATCATATAGTAGTAACAAGCTGAAAAGAGACAAAAAATTAAACTTTGCAAAGAAAATTATCAGCAACAATGTATGGAATACAAAATATTTATTGGGATATGGAGCTACGAAAGCACATGACATTAAAACGGTCATAACTTTTGAAACAACCTTATATGAATTTCCAGAACCGTTCCATCAAAGAAATCTCGAGTAAAAACTCTTTAATACTGTGAAATTATGCGTCAGAATCATTGGGGTTTCAAGAAATTCACTCATTATGTCTGTTTTTTTCAGTTCATTGGAGTTTTATCCGGTTTCAGCCTGGTTTTACTCGGCAGCTTCGAACACCTCAACCTGTCAGCAACTCAAGGATCCTTCATCATCAATTTGAACTCTGGTTTTGGAATGTTGGCCGGACTCATGAACGGGCCGCTCATAAACAAATTCGGATACAGAAAAATGTCCTTGATCGGAGCTTTTTTCATGTCGGCGGGAATTTTTTTGCTGACGTTCACCGAATCCATGACCGGATTCATACTAGCTTACGGACTTATGGCATGTGAGATTTTTTGTCTATTAAGTTAGTTGTACACTTATGATGATACAAGCGACCTGATCCGGTCAGCTTCTAACTTATGATGATATCTGTCTCAGAGTAACAAAAGACAATAGAGAGGCCTTTTCCATCCTTACATTGAAGGAAGCATAACTTTGTTTGTTTACAGGAAGTAAGTTGGACCATAAAACAGTGGCGGTTGGTTTACTTGATAATCGGAGGGATATTATATATTTATAAAATAAATAAGTTTTTCTACGAGCTCTAGGTTGGTAAACCAATTGTCTCCGGTGATATTTCTTCCGGTGTCATAGATAGGTTCAGCAAGGCGCAGTACCAAGTCAGTAGGTGTATTACTAACTTCAAAGGGTCCCTCAGGTTGCTTGCCGACATACACTTCTAGGTTGACGGTATAAAATAATTTGGAATCTACTAGGGCAAATATTTTTATTCCATACTTATTGGGTTTTGAGGGAATGTACTGTCTGAAAGAACATCTTCCTCTAAAACCCTCAAGTTTTTCATCTGTCGTAACATTTTGGCCGACGGAATAACATGCTTTGCAGTTGTTCACAAAAAGGTCGAACAAATCTCGAATGGGAGCCAACTTGTTGTCAATTTTTTTTCTTTCAACTCTTGTACGTTTATCGTCGAATCTACAACATCTGTACAAAAGTTTGAACCTTCTAAGAGACATAGTTGTTCTGAACAACTCAACACCCATGCCGTCTGTTGACCATAAATCTTCTAAAGACTGTCTGCCACTTCTCAAAATACCTGCTAGGTACAAGAGACCAAAGAAAGCTTTCATTTCAATTGAATCAGTCAATTTTATATCTCTTTCACGACTATAATTCGGTTGTATGGTCTGTATACTCAGATTAGTAGAATTCACTATGAGATCTATCATTTCGTCAGAAAAAAAGCACTTCCAGGAATCGAGAACAGTTTTTATACCTTTGGCAGACCCAATTACTCCAGGTATTTTTGTAAGGATGTTATGCGGCATTCTTTTTTTGACTTTCGTGGGTACGTGTTTTCCCCATTTTGTATTGTCTTTCCCTAAATAGTATCCTGCATAGCAGTCTTCATTGAACTCAACTTCACTACCACTTTCAATGTCCGAATGAAGAATCTCAGTTTCAATTATATCATCTTCATCACAATCACTTTCGTCCAGAATTTCATTGTTTATGAGTTCTTCATTATCTTGAAACGCAAACTGTGTCAAATATTCAACATCATCAGGGTTTGTAAGATCAAATAATCTATTAGAATCCATATTTTCAGACGTCAAATAGTGTCACACAAAAGGTCGCGCAGTATCTGTCAGATGTAAATACAACAAGAGGTTAGGAATCAGCTGTTTACAAGTCACACTGCAGAGACCTACTAACGTTAGCCACATGAATGCATAGAAGAAACACATATAGCAAGATAGCAAGAAGCACAGTTTAAAATTCGGCGAATTACAGATATAATTTGAAAACACATGCGTCATACATCTGAGAGATCGAGCGCGACCTACGCAGGGTTAATGATTAATGAAATGGAGCCAGTTTTTCAACACATACTTACTTAATTTTTACGTATGTATGGCTTTACAATAAAGCGTGTGGTTTACTGGGTTAAAATTTAATTATTTCAAATGAACTAATTCATAATAATGATAAATGTTAATTTCAAAAGTAATGGAGCAACGTTGCAGAATGAAGAAGTGTTAGCGATAAATAAGGTTAGTGGAAAGATGAAGACAATAAAAAACTGTACCAAATGTGGAAGATCACACCCAGTTAATAATTACCCAGCATATGGCAAAAAATAAAATTTCTGTAAGACAATAAATCATTTCGAAACGGTTTGTAGAAAGGAAGTGCAATGCATGTTTGTCTGATTATTACCAAGAATATAACAATGACATCGATACAAAAGTTCAATCGTCCCAATGGAAAAGCCCAGGAGAGTCAATACCAAAAAAAGCACGACAAGTTTGATCAAATAAATGTCAAGGTTTCCCTCACTGCTCTTCTTCGATTACCGTGGCGTAGTGCACCAGGAGTTCTTGCCACATGGTCGTACGATCAATAAGGAGTAGGTATTATCAAGAAGTTCTTCGCAGCTTGCGAGAAGCAATACGAAGAAAACGTCCAGTATTGTGGAAAAACAACTGATGGCTTTTGCATCACGAAAATGCACCTGCTCACTCGTCATTGTTTGTTCGTAATTTTTTGGCCAAAAACAACGCCGCAATCATGCCTCAGCCACCGTATTCCCCTTTCACCAACAGCAGTTACGTTAGTTACAAATACAAGATTTCTCATTTTTCATAATGATCTCCTACCACGCAGTAACGGCTACATCCATCAATTCATTAAACCAAATTTCACTTTATTTAATAATATTTAGTGATATTGCATTACAGATTCCACGAATGATTTGAATTTGTGAAAAATGAAGAGACACTTGAGTTAATTGGTTGAGACTGATTAAATACTTGAATAATGTTTATTAGAAGTCTGTGATTGAACAAATAGATTAATATTGGTTTTTACGAATATCACAGTTGAAACGCATGATAAATTCTAGAGTCGCACAGCCAATGATCTTCAGCAGCGACATCAATATTATTATTAGGTTGTTTCAAAGGTTTTCTCCGTTTTCATAAGTCTCCTTCAAATGGTAATATCTTAGTAAATATTCATCAAATTTATTCTAAATAAGCGCCATTCAAGTCAGTGAACTTTTGCCAACGTAACACAAGTCGACTACATTTCATTAGTTCGGACTTCCATTGTCTAGTATGGTATACATTGATTGGCATTCTTAGACGTATTGGTGAAGAGAACCGACACTAAATGGGAAACATCTTTATATCGAAAACCCACTCATACAATACAGTATCTGAACCAGAAATCCAACCACCATCAATCGACTAAGAGGCGAATCATCAATACTCTATTAGACCGTGCTTTCGGGCTCTGTAATACAAAGGAAGGTCTCGAAAAGGAACTGGGCATCATCAAAAATGACCTTCAACGGAATGGTTACTTTAGATAGAAGACAGCAAGAGCTCCACAAGGAAGAAAAGTCGCCATAACCAGTACTTGTACTTCCCTACATCAGAGGATTGTCGGAAAAGATAATAAGGGTTGGGTCCAAGTACATCAGAACATGTTTCAGATCTTGGTGAAACTAAGAGGCCAATCCGAGAAAGGATTGTTGTGCAGAAGCAAAGAAGAACAGACTTCGAAGCGTGATAATTTCTGTCGATTGTTCAAATCGTGGGACCACCACTTTTCGAGCTTCTTGACCTTCCCAATACGTTTCAAACCATCGAAAATCGCACGGGAGCTGACGCCCAATTCTTACATCATCTCACGCACCGTTTGTGATGGGTCAGTCTCAAATCCACGTCCACGCTCGGCAGGAAATTATTTTGTAATCTTACAAACTTCCTCCCGTTCATTGGTGTTAATTCAGGATACATTTGGTTGAATTTTCTATAAGTTCTGGCAATTATTTGATCACAATGTCCGTGTATAATAAATAATTTCATAAGAACTTCGTTTGAATAATCAATATTTGCATTCATTTTTGGCGATTTTTTGAAACACCGTCAATAACTGTTTATAAATTTCTTATAAAAGTAACCGAACTGCTAAAAGCTTGATAATTCCACTGCTACCTAAATCCAAATTTAAAAAAAAATAATTTTTCTAGAAGACGCGACTTTATTGAGAAAACTTGACGATTTATGTATAGGGACATGATATATCATCTTGAAGCATTTTTCACCATCTTTCAATTTACCGAGTAATATACAGGGGTTTTCATTTGAAAAAATGAACTTTTGACTACTTTTATGTTATGCACAATGGAAATAATAGTAATTTTAGCACGCCCTGAATGATATGGAGTCGATTTCTTGGTGTTATTTGAATATTATGAGTTTGTCCAAACTATCATCAAAATATAAACTTTTCATGAATTGAGAGAGATTGAGATGTACTTAATTTCAATTAAGGCTATGTTTTGGACCATATTTAGCACAATTTATTTTTTTATCTCGAAAACAGATAGAGATAGGCATAGGACATCATTAACAAAAAAGTATTAAAATACCAGAGCGATTTCAAAAATGTATTAATATACGGGGTGTTCCATTAAAAAAATAAAGTTGCTAGGACTTTTTGATAGAAGTGGCAACGCCGCAATGCTGAACATATTTTAAATCGATAGAACAGGTAAGGAAATGTGAGAGCTGAAATTTTCAGAAAAATCATGCTTTGCGTTTTCCAGAAACGTCTAACCTATCATCGACCGTGAGTCACGCTGTATACGACAGAAATATCATTTCATTCCGTCTTTCAAATCGGTTTGGGGTCGTCGCAGTCTAGTAGGTATCTCTAATCGAAGCTGTAACTTAAACCAACTTTTACTTTCAGCCATCGGAGTTGTCCTGACTCGCTCCTCCTACTCCTTGGCCATAAGTACCTACTTCAACGAAAAGAGAAACAAAGCGTTCGGTATAACGATGACGATAGCAGGACTGGGTCCGATTCTGATGCCGCAACTGCTGGACCTCCTCCTGGAGTCTTTCGACACCAAAGGAGCCATCCTGATCCTCTCCAGTATCTACGCCCAAACTTTCATTGCTGCTTGCCTGCTGCAGCCCGTCAAGTTCCACTTGAAGGAAGTTCCGGATGAAAATCAGAAGGAAAAGCTGTCGAAAATCGAGGAGGTGGACGAAGGAGACAGTGCTCTGGGGGAAGACCACGAAGTTCTTCACGAAATTCCTAAAATCACAGTCAGCAAGATTCCCAGAGTTAGAAGCAGTGAGTATGAAGGGATGCTTTTTTCGCCGGTATTTTGTCGACTGTTTTTCGAAGTATGCATCGCTGAGAAAGAGGATATTCAATAATAATAATAAACGATTTAATTGAAAGGTTAGGTACAAGAGATACTAACCTAACCTCACAAATGGCATTTCAACATCTGCACATGATAAATCGAGGCAGACACTACTTTTCCATCCAATCTAAAAACTATAGTATATTCGTTAGGTACAAGAGATACTAACCTAACCTCACAAATGGCATTTCAACATCTGCACATGATAAACCAAAACAGACCCTACTTTTCCATCCAATCTAAAAACTATAGTATATTCGTCAAAATAGCGAAGAAAAGCTTTTTCTTTGACTAGCCAAGCTGGGGTTACTTTGGCGTTCTCTCTCCTGGGTCGTAAGCCCGCCCGAATTCTCCTTTGCTGTCCTATTCCCTTTGAAGGCATTTTTTCGGTGATTGAGTTCCTCATGACGACTCTCTGGTTCACAGGTACGTCGTGCCTTCTCGGCCAACGTTTTAATCACTCCTCTTTTCTGTTGTGGCTGGTGGTTAGAGTTTTTGTTCACGTACCTGTCTGTGTATGTTGGTTTCCTGTACACTCTGTGTTCCAATGTACCATCTTCACATCTGGTGACAAGAACATCCAAGAAGGCTAGAGTCCTTTGGGTTCCTTGTTCCATTGGGAATTTGATTTTTGGGTCGAGAGAGTTTAGGTATAATAGAAATTTGTTTAGTGTCTCTTCGCCATCTTGCCATACAACGAACGTTAGGTTGATGACATGTTTATAGTAGGACAAGATGGTGTTCAACTGAAAAATGTGAGAAAATGTGAGTGTTACTGTTACTCACCGTATGCATACAACGATTGAAAGTCATTTGAGATTTGTTATATCACATCATATAATAACACTGAATGTTTGAAATAAATATTACATTTTTCTCTTTCACAGACACATGAAAATGATTTATTATTCCGCTGATCAAGAAAATAGACTATATACCGCGCCAATACATATTTTTCTATTTGTCTATTCCGTGGAAAGTGAATAGTATCAGATTATGTACTTGGCGGGCGGAAAAGTTTGTAGGCTAACACGCAGGTGGCGCTACTAGTATTAAAGCCATATGACGTTTAGTCAACCCTAACCTTCAAAAGACACATGCACAAATTTTGGATGATCGCAAAGTGAAGTTGATCTAGATAGCTGAGGCTCTAAAGATATCGAAGGAACGTGTTGGACATGTGGATATTTAGGTATAAGAGTCGAGCTTACAATCGACCAAAAACAACAACGATTTGATTATTCTGAGCAGTGTTTGAAGCTGTTTCACCATAAAAAAACCGAACTTATGTGTCGATATGTGACAATGGATGAAACATGGCTCCATCTTTACACACCAGAATCAAAACGATCGTTATCTGAGTGAACTGCACGTGGTGAACCAAATTCAAAGCGTGCAAAGATCAAGAGTCGGCTGGCAAGGTATTTTGGGATGCGCATGGCATAATATTCATCGACTATGTCGAATAGGGAAAAACCGCCAATAGCGAATATCATACAGCGTTATTGGAGCATTTGAAGGAAGAAATTGCGGAAAATGACTCCATTTGAAGAAAAAGAATGTGCTGTTTCTTCAAGACAATGCACCGAGTCACAAGTCAATGAAAACAGTTGCAAAATTTTATGAATTGGGTTTTGAATTGCTTCCGCATCCACCGTATTCTTCAGATCTGGTCCCCAGCGACTTCTTTCTGTTCTCAGACTTCAAGAGAATGCTCGCTGGAAAGAAATTTAAGGCCGATGAATGGGTTATCGTCGCAACTGAGGCCTATTTTAAAGCCAAAGAAAAATCGTTATATATAGTTCGAATACAACTATAATGAATAATAAAATCAAATTTCATCAAAACATTTCTTTTCATTGTTAGCCTACGAACTCTTCAGCCCAACTGTTATGTTCTTGAATTACCATTCTCTCATCGGTTTCTTCTTTTTTGTTGCTATATTTATATTCTTGCCTTTTATATTCCGAATTGTATACTCCTTTTCAATTTTCTATTTTTTAATTTGAATATTTGCCTGCTATTTTGGTTTATTTTACTTTTTCTTTCGTCTACTAATTGGGTTTTGTCCCATGTTTGTTCGTTGTTACTTATTTCTTCTCCTATTTCACTTCAATTCTCGTCAGATTTCTGGTGCTGTCTTTTTTTGTGTCTTCTAATTTATTATTTCCTACGATATCTCTCCCCGCCTACTTCATAATTTATTATCTAGTTATTTAATCAATTGCTCTGCAAATTTCTTTATTGATTTTCTATTACAAAAAATATTATCACTGCCGACCCCTTTGCTCTTTTCTTATTTGTGTCTTATGTTTTCCACTCATCTTCACTCACTGAAGAGTAATCGATAACTTATTTGATACTCTTCTTTTCCCTTGCCTTCTTTTCCTTTCCCTCCGACTCCTTCTTTCATTTAACTTCCCCTTTTACTACATAAATCTTTCATTTTCTTCTCCAGTGCGATTTCAGTTTTTAAATCATTCTGTTTATGAGGATGTTCAACAAAGAAGATTCGATTGAGAATTGATGTGAAAATCTCAGTATTCTTTTATCTTGTGGAACAATTGATCATATACTTAAAGTTAATGCAAACACAATCAGAATTTATAGGCGTCAACAGAGATGAATTAATATTTACATAGTACTGAAATATCCACTGACAGAATCAACGAATTTTATTTCAATAAAAACGATGGAAAAATTAGTCACATGATGGTTTTTGGAATGTGTATCAGGAAAAATTGTTTGATCAAAAGTACGTCACTAGATTTAATAAATTAGTTGAACTGAATGAATTTTGAAAACTTTCTTGATACTCAATCATCAAATTTAAAAAAGGCTATTTCTAACTGAGTAATTGACGGTCAAAAAATTGAGATGTTTTAAAAGTTTTGCCCGTTTTAATATCCCGAAGTGGTCGACCTACAGTAATCCACGACGAGGATTTGAGGACCCATTGCAAACAGTGCCTGGGATGGCGGAAGAACTAGACATCAGGTCCCGTGCGGTTTTTGATGGTTAAAAAAGTATTGGAAAGGGTAAAGAGCTCGAAAAGTGGGTGCCCCACGATTTGAACGATCAATAGAAATTGTCACGTTTCGAGGTTTGTTCATCTTTGCAATTGCGCAACCAAAACGATCTTTTTTGGATTGGATCGTCATGTGTGATAGAAAGTGGATCCTCTACGACAACATGAGACGTTTGGGACAGTGGCTGGACACAAGTGATCCACCCAGGCACATCCCAAAGGTGAAAAATACCATGTTTACTGTATGGCGGTAAACGGCTGGTGTGATTCTCTATAACTTTCTACTACCGGGCCAAACAATCACAGCAGAGTCATATTGAAGGAATGTACCGAAAATTGCGTCAGCACCAGCCGGGAATGGTCAACAGAAGAGGTCTGATCCTGCTCCATCACAACGCCCTTCCGCACGTTTCACAAATCACCGTCCGAAAAGTAAACGAAGTGAGCGTCTCACTTCTGCTTCACCCACAATACTCCCCAGACCTCTGGCCAACCGACTACCATGTTTTCAAGCACTTCGATGACTTTCCCACCGGTAGAACCTTCCCCGATCAGAACCAAACAAAAACGGCCTTTTTAACAGCGGACTGTAATAATTTTTTTTGTACCTTGGGAGCTGTCTGACTTGTCTATTTAGTCCAAGTCTCCAGAAAACACTGCAGCGTCTTGGGCTTATTGCGTTTATTCTCCCATCTTCTCACGACACCCATTCCATCAGTCTCGTTTCCTGTACTAGTTTGTACAGGTTCCGTGTTGGATGTTCGTCATATTCTGCTGGGCGTAATCTTGTACGTCCATATATTGCCTGCCTCCTGTGATTCAGTGCCTTACATTCGCATAAGATGTGTAGAGCTGTTTCTATCCCTTCGTTGCATAATCTGCAGCTGAGGTCTCCGTTATACAACCCCATTTTATTCAGGTCTTCTCTAAGCGGACTATGACCGGTTAGTAACCCTATATTGAAGAAGTTCTTCGGTTCTTTTCTCGGACGGTTCCCTAATGAAGGTTCTACTGTGTTTGTTGCCAGGTACTTTTGTCCAGTACTCTGTGTGCTTCTTATTGGTCCATGTCCTAATCTGGTTTCTTACCAATGATTTTGGCACCCCCAGAGCTGGTTCAGGACCTGTAAATGAAGTTGATGATGCGCGTCTAGCGCATTAGTCAGCTTTATCATTTCCTGTGATTCCTGAATGCCCTGGCACACAGCACAAAGTTAATTTGTTCCTGTTTGCATGTTCATTCAGTTCTTCATGGCATTCCCAGACCATTTTTGATGTCACCGGGTTTGTCAGAGCCCCTAGTCTCAATTTAATAAGCCTTACTCACTGCAAGATAGCATACAAGATGGACGTGTATAGTCAGTCTAAATTGGCCCATCCTGGCCTTCCCCATTATTACAAAGTGTAAAGGAGGTAGATTCAGGAGTGTCCTCAATGCAGCTGTTGGGGGTAGTTCTCATTGCTCCCGTCATTCTCAAACATGCAAGTCTTTGCACCTGGCCTAGTTTGTTGATGACGGTCGCCTGCTTCATCTTTGGCCACCAGATCAGAGATGCGTATGTTATCATGGGTTTAACCACCATCGTGTATAACCAATATACCATGTCTGGTTTTAGCCCCCGTGTTTTTCCATAGGTGCATCTGTAATAAAATAGAAAAGAGCGTGGAAGATGAATTTCTAAAGATATGACTTTTCAAAAGTAAAATAGTCCCTTTGTTTTGAAAATTCCCACAGTAAATGCAAATAGTGTTTGATTACTTGGAGAAATTTTTAACTTGAAGACGAGCTAGCGACCCAAAATACTAGTTATCAGAGTTTTTTTAGAACATAAGGCCCATTCATTAAGTTTTAATGAACTAAATTTCTTGAGGTCGAGTTGAAATTCGAATTAAGCTAAATGTAATTATATCTGATCGTATTTTTCATCCTAGATTTCATTTTGATTTCAGATTCATATGTGACTTCTCGAGAACTACCATTCCGCAGAAAGGATTCCATCATCTCGATAAGTTATGAACAAGAAATTGCAGGAATATATGGCTTAGACACCAGCGTGATGTCTCTTGAACCAGGTAATATGCATATAAAGTATTTGAAGTGAATTTTTATTTTATTTAGTAACAAAGTATGTACAAGAGAAGTGAGCATCTATAATAATACTGTGGTAAATTAATTAATTAACTGTCTTAAACTAATTTATTTCCAACAATATTTCAATAATCACAACTAATTTATTTATTACAACACTTAGCAACTGACGCTTAATTTATTTCCACTATTTGAATTTCTTGTTTAGCCGCTTCAATGTTTAGACTTCAATGAGTGTGCTGAGTGCCCAGCTATGCTTAATGATATTCGTAAGCTGGAATGAAAATGGAACAAAAGGACTGTCAATGAACAGGTCTGTTCAATGAAAAGTGGCAGGGACTGTGGCAAAGAACACCCTAGTTAGAGTGTTCTGTGACTGTGGCAACACTGTGGCGAACAGCCAAGTGACATTCTTCCGCGATCACAATACGTCGATCTGACACGTTGGTCCAAACAGGATTAGATCACTCGTTAATTAGTTGTGAACAGTTTATGAATACAGTTTTACTCACAGTATAATTCTGTGTTTGTTACACCCACCCCTCATACTACAGGGACCCTCTTATTTCTTCATCCACTTTTAGTTTTGGTGCCCAAACAAATCGTTACAGACAATGTTTTTCAGGTGCATTTCCCACATTGGAGAGACAACAACACACCAAAACGAAGTTCCAATGGTGGAGGAGCGCCTCAACGGTGAACCTAGAAAGTTCCGTCAACATATTCGAGGCAGACCCAAAGGAGGAGAAAGTTTACAACGAGTTGAGTGAGAAAACAAAACAAACCTCGGCTTGTGAGCAGTTCCTCAAGTTCATCGTCAAGATTTTCGACCTTACTTTACTGAAAGACTACACCTACTGCAGTATCATGTTAGGGATCTCTCTGACGGTGTTTGCGGAGATTGACTTTTCGTTGTCGTTGCCTTTTATGTTGAGCGAGTTTGGGATGTCGACCACGCAGATAGCAGAGTTTCTGTCCATCCTCGGGGTTGCCGACATCATCTTCAGGTTCCTGGCGTCTTATATCGGGGATTTGCTTGATAAGTCGCCGAGAGTTATGCATCTCATTTCGTTGATGGGCCTGATAGTGGTTCGAAGTTGTAAGTATTCAGTATTTTCGTGGTCTGAACTGACTATCAGCTGCGGTACAATCTTTCTGGTACTATTTAAAGGATCTTCGTCATCGCATCAAGTATAGCTTCTTCAAGTTCAGGCGTTGTTATAGTTTCTGGTCTTACACCACCTGCATTTTTATTGAAACTCCCAGTTTCATATAATCTTGTATATAGCGTTCTAAATGTCATGGAAACAATTCAAATTCTTTCAAGCAAATACATGAATTGGAAGATGTTCAACTTCAACTTCAGTATTCTAAAACAAAAACACAAAGTATGCACAATTCCATCTTTCAATATTCCAAGTTCATAGACATCAAAATTTATACGATTACAGGATATAGAAATATAAAACAATCTCCAAATACGCAACGTTGCACGGATGAGTATTAAGGAGTTTACCTTAGCACGGTGACCGGAGCAAAGTTGCAACCTCAGCATATGAATCTTTATAAATATTGAGGGACGTCAAGATCATAAACAGAAAGTATCAAGAAATTCATTCAGTATTCATTGATCACTCTTCAAAAACGGTTCCAGAGCATTTTTTAGAATACAGCAAATCTCCTTTTCATCGATCCTACTGGGTATCAGCTACGAAAAAGTTGTACTTTTAGTTGATCAATCTAAAAAATAAAAACTGCAAGTCAGTGACGTACTTTTTTCCAATATTGTTGACTGTGCTGAAAATCCTGAAATGAATCATTTCTACTTTCGCAGTGATCTCAATCACCACTGAAGTTGACTATCTCTTCGCTTTGGCAGTAGCCTTAGGAGCAGCAAAAGGCATCAGAACAGTGTACCTGTCATTGACCTTGCCTAGTTACGTTCCTTTGGATAGATTGGCCTCGGCATCTGGAATCCAGCTGGTTTTCAATGGACTTTTCGTTATAACGGGAGGCACCTTCCTAGGTAAATTTTTAAGAACTCAATCGGCAGTTTCATTTCTATAAAAATGATCTTCGAAATTAGAATGAAAATTATGAGGCTTGCTATGATGGAATGCGAGAGGTTTTTGTTTTTAGGTTATGTTCGTGACGCCACAGGAGATTACAAAGGAGGGATATTCTTTTTGAATTGTGTGACTTTTTCTGTAGTTGTCTTGTGGACTATTGAAATGATTTTCACGAGGAAAAAATCGAAAGCAGAAGCGGAAGATCAAGAGGAAAGTATGAAAGTTCTCAGTGAATCGGAAACCTAATGATGATACGATCGAAAATTCGGTTTCTAGTATTTGTGATTTATATCTAAGAGAATAAAAAGTGATATTTTTGTATAATGGACTTTGATTTACATCTTCCCGATTTCATTATTGATTTTGATTGTGGTTGCTATCGAGTAAAAGGAACCTGTGGCGTATACAGAATAATCCCAAAACAAGCACTTTTCCTAATCACCAGAAATGCAGTGCTCATCACGACGCGCGTTTTCTCAATGCAAGTTGCCATCTTCAGGAGATAAAGACCCATAACATCTGAGATCGACCTTGAAAATCAGCTTAGATAACATAAATTAGAAAAATATCGTATTTCATCTGGACTAAAAACTTGCAGAGAAATGTTCATCAATTCCTTCATTTCTGTTGAAGTTCTCTTGGTGTTTGTGTATTTCTATGGCTTCGAAATACATTCTTGTTGAATAATAATTCGATGTCGATAGCCTTTTGGTATTTTCGAACAGTATCTTGTGCTGTGAACTCTCACTGATTCAAGTAGATCTCTGCTGTCTTTTGCTAATTTTAGATTCTTCGTTGGTTTGAAGACTCTGTTTATTTTCTTCTTCTTTAAAATTTTCCCGATTCAGTTGGTGACACCTTCTATGTATGGCAGATATCAGCGCCTTGGGGTTGATCTTCACCGGTGTTTCTTTTTTTGACCCTTGGACGCGTAGTGCAGATTATGTCTTTTCTGTCGAAGCCGTTCGCTTGTAAGACATTTGTTGGGTGTTTTATTTCGTCGTCGACGTACTTTTCTTCACGTACCTTTGTTCACTAGGGTGTTGAACTTCAACAGAAAGGAAGAGAGAACATATCTGACAAAGATTTGTCATACAGCATTGAAAAGCGCCAAAACAAAGCCAAGACAATCAAATCACGCGGGAACCCGCCATTACAGAAAGTGCGCGAAAAATCAGCGCTATAAATGACACGGCAGAAATGGGAACTTCAGTTTCAGTTGATACGTCAAGAAGACTACTTCGACCACTCTACTGAAGATGACTGCCGTAGTTGAAGTTGAAATTTTTGGAGATTAAAACCAAAGCAACCAAAACATTGACGCCAGCCGTAAAGGCGTACACATTTACACAATTAATATCCGGGGAAGTAGAAGACTAACGTCGGGAAACAATTTATAGTAATACACAGCTGAATTTGTTATTACAGTGGCTAAAAAAATCGATAAATAAAATAGATCTGTATTTAAAAAATAGATTTAATGATGAAATCTATCGAACGAAACGTCGCACTGCAAATTGGTTTACATTAAGATTATAACGAGTATGAAACAGTATTGAAAGTTTTTCATATCATGGCATTGAAGAAAAAAGATAATGATGAAAATAATGTACTAAAAACTGAAAAATAATTCTGAAGGTCCTAGCTAGCAGCCTTCACACCACTCCCTCAGCAATCTACGGTATACTGAGCAGATAAAAAATAATAAATTCGTTGCATCTTTTTCAATAGTCTCATTTGATACCCATATGAGATCGTCGTGAAATAATATACAATCCGCCATTTTGTACCTGCGGCCATCTGGAATCTGCAGCTTTTTCAAAGTGTACTACTATTCTACTAGTTAAGCTCTGTCATTTGATACCCATATTGAGATAGTTGTGAAATATTATATAATCCGCCGTTTTGGAACTGAGGCCATCTTAAATTTTTAAGCTGACTGCATCAACGCCATAATCATCTGATTAGCGTTTTGCCAACACAGGTGTAAATTTCCTGGTTTGTAATTTGAGAAAATTTAAATGTAAAGTTTTCAATTTATTATTTCTGAAGTAGCTAAACAATTACATATCTGCAGCAGAGTTACCAGCAATTTTCAGAAAATAATCGTTGATTTCAATTACCGAATTTATCAATACAGTTGTTTAGATTCCAGATAAATTATCAGAATTGGCATATTGCTTTTCTTCTGTTAACAATGAATCAAATTCTAGACATCGTTATCAAATTCCTACGAACTTGTACACAAACATACACACTGCATGACATTACTTGAACTTATGAAAAAAAAAAAACACTTGAAGGAAGGCGCAAGAACTGTCAAGTCGCTCATTTATGGCCCGCCATGTGGTCAACATATTGATAACCACAAAAAAAATTCTCGTTCTTTAAAGATAAACACGAGCAGGCACATCTCAGTTTGTAACAACCGACTCCGACTGACAGTCCACATAAAATGAACAGTTCATCTGCGGTTTTCTCAATTCTGACCTTGACAACGGTTATTTTATCGAAAAAAATCGATTTGGACTCTTTGCACGACTACAGTGGGTTCCTAAATTTCGGCGATAAGAAGCTTCATAATACAAACAAGGAGAATGAGGTTTTAAAGTCGAAAATCGATGTGTTGGGAGAAGTATTTAAAAAAAGCATAGACGCTGTTAAACTTTCGCCAAAGTTGGATATTGTGTTTCTGATTGATGCTTCTTCCAGTGTCGGTGAGAGTAATTTCGAAAGTGAGCTCAGATTCGTCAAGAAGTTGCTTAGTGATATTACCGTGGATTATGACCATACCAGGGTCGCCGTTGTTACTTATAGCTCGCGGAGTAAAATAGTAAGTAAACTGTATTGAATCCAATATTCATTTTTGAAAATAAAACAAAGTTCAAATTATACAGGAGTCCCCAAAACTGGATGAATGTCGTTGACAATATCGTACATTTATTGCCTAAAATTGGCCGATACTTGATAAATTCCATCTTATTCAAGTTACACTTGATTGTGAGATTTTCACTGAGTAACTAGTTTACAAAACCATAACGCCTGTTTCACTATAGAAGAGCTATCTCGGGCTTATTCATACGAACTAATTTCTACCCAATTAGTACTTAATATAATATATCAATTTGAATCACATCACCTTCTATTTATCAGGTTGTTTCAAAAGTTTTGTCCACTTTTATGAGTTGTTTTGAACTGTAATATCTCAGACAATGTTATTAGTGGGCTACCACGATGGTTGTGGAAAGTGGGAATACCCAAAAGAGGTCAATAAAAACTCTGATTTTCCCCATTTTCATTCGATATATTTTGAAATGTTTCTTCATTGCAAATATTGGCGAATTTGCAAAATTCTCATCAAAAGTTTGTACTACTTTGTCTGCATCAGAAATTTCCTCTTGCTGAAGTACGATGCTATATTTTCTATATTTCTTTTCCACACCTGATTAGCTAATAATTCACCAGGCTTTTTCATTTTCAACGTTCAGTTAACCAAAAAAGGTTCAAACTTTTTAGGCATTATTTTAAATTAGGTGATTACACAAGTTCCCTTTTCAGATAAAAAATATCGATGAAATAGGACAATCTTCCAGAGAAAACAATAAATGTTTGTTACTGAACAAACAACTGAAGGGAATAAACTACAAAGGAGGAGAAACATACACATTTGGAGCATTCCAAACTGCCAAGGTGAAGAGAAATAATAATTGTTAGTAACACCTCCTGAAACGTTAATATTGTTTCAGGAAATCTTCGATTCCACAAACAGAAACGATTCCAAAAAAGTATTATTTTTAATAACAGACGGTTATTCGAACGGTGGAGATCCTATTCCACTAGCTGACGAATTGAAGGACGATTCGATCACAATATTCACGATAGGAATACAGAACGGGAATTACAAGGAGTTGTATGAAATTTCGTCGACTCCCGGGCAGTTTTACAGTTATCTTTTGGAGAGTTTCAGTGAGTTCGAGAGCCTTGCCAGAAGGGCATTGCATGTAGGTGAGTGGAAATTTCAGAAAGCTATCCTGAATAGTCTCTTTTTTTTCATTTCTTCCTTCTTCTTCTTTTTTCCTTTTTTCCATTTGTCTATTAATGATTTTCACTCAATTTGCAAAATTTGTATTCAACGCGAAATTCGGCCGTGTTTCCTATTCTGATTAAAAATATGGAGCGCTCCTCGTATCAATACATCTGGTCGGCCGCTGAAACAGCAGCAGAATAACAGGGATTCATGTATAGACTCGCTACAGAAAGCATATCAGGTGGTTCGACAACCTACCCAAGGAATTAAGAAAGTTGCTGGCCAGCTAGTGTTATGTGGTCCAACGGGTTCTTATGATCATCCTCCTGGAACCAGAAGTCTCTCTACAAGCCGCTACACTCAGGTGAGAACGACAGCCACGTAATCCGTCTCACCCTTTTTTGTGCCCTGTACAAAATTCTATTGGGAACTTCCTCAAATCATACAATCCTATATTATACTACAGTCCACTTATCTAATGAAGCTACAGTTATTATTTCAGGACTAGCTGCAATACAACAGCGGAACTTAAATTTGAAGTGTGTCAGAGGAATTCTTCTCGTTTGTTTAGGGATTTTTTTTTATTTCCAGATCTCAAAAGTGGGGAATACATACCCCTAGGCTTCAACAAACCTTGTGATATTTTGTGTGATGGTGGAGACTGTTGCGATGATATAGCACTTTGCACTTGCGGGAGTACCACAGGACACTATTCGTGCGTCTGTCAACCAGGATACTACGGATCGGGCCTCAGAAACAACTGTTTTCGTGAGTGAAGTATTTATTGGTTTTCAAATAGGTCATCTATAGTATTATATAGAACAAGTATGAGTAGTAAAATTCAAGTGATGAGAAAATGTAAACACATGCAATTGAACGACAACGTACAAGAAGTAGATGAATATACATACAAGGTCTGTTCAAAAACTTAGGTGACTTTTCATTTTTTTCAAAAACTATCTATTTCAAAAAAATCCCTTTCGTTTATTTTATATTTCAGCGTGTACGCCAGGAACTTATGCTGAGGGTCCGAATCTATGTTTGCCATGTCCGGATCAATTCCACATTACTACTCCTCCAGCGTTTGGCATTGACAGTTGCAAATGCAAGGAAGGATACAGGGCGACAAAAAATAATGGCTGTAAAGGTAAAACCAACTGTGTTCGAGATTGATTTCATAGGTTCAACGTCAACAATCTTTGTTTTCAGAGGTGAAATGTCCGAAAATTATAACACCAGAAAACGGGTACTACGTGAAGAAAGGCGAATGTCCGAATGTAATCAACAGTGCCTGTGGCATACGATGTGAAGTTGGATACACTTTGAAAGGAACTAGTATCAGATTGTGCCAGAAAAACGGTACTTGGAGCGGTATAGAACCGGATTGCGAAAGTAAGTAAAACTTTTGATTTCAAAATGATTCCATTCGCCGAATAGTGGCAGTCCCACAAGCACCCCATTCTGGCCCGCTTCTGTTCAACCTTTTCATAGATTCAACTCTTTGTAAAAACTCCCAATTTCTTCACTTAGCAGATTATCTAAAACTGTATTTCTATATCATTGAAAATTTTAGAATTCGTCTTTAGAGATATGTAAAGATCGTAGGTGCTGGTCCATGAAAATAATTTACCACTCACATGTGAGGTCTATTCCCGAATACTGTTCTGTTGTCGGGTCTTCTACCTGTATTCCTCTTCTATTCATTTGATTCTAGTCCGAACTTGCAATCGCTTAGAATTGCCCAAAGACGGAAAAATGAAATGCGTACATCCAGACATTGGAAAGGAATACGATAACGAGACAAAAAAACTCCCAGTCGACACAGTGTGCAGCTTCAAGTGCCCTGAGGGAAAAATGCTGATAGGTTCGAAACGCAGGACTTGTTTACCGATCGCGAGGTGGGATGGGCTGAGAACCCTCTGCAAACGTAATGAGCTAGTTCAGAACTTTAATAACTTCTTTATTGAACGTTACGATTTGCAGCAATCAAATGTAAAAGGCTACCTCTAGTGAAGTTTGGAAAGATCGAACCAAATTCCTGCACCTTCGGGAAGCAGGAATACAAGAAAAAGTGTCGAATTATTTGTGATGATGGGTTCAAGTTGAAAGGACCAGCAGATAAGCAGTGCATAGGAGCTCGTGGGGCTTGGGACAGCAAATATGAAGACACTGCATGTATTGGTGAGTACTCCAACATTTCAGTGAGATGCACGAGTCATTGGAATTGTTTATTTCAGATATCACGTCCCCTGAAATTATGTGTCCGGACGATTTGGTTGCTTTGTCGCTAACGGGAAAAAATTATGCACACGTGTCGTGGATAGAACCCAATGTGACAGGTAATTTTAAAGTATATACATTTCTCCGAAGGATACTTACGTATAATTCTTTGGCAAAATTGATCCGTAGAGACAATCTCAAGTGGGCCACGGAGGTATTTTGGTGTCGTAACCCTGGTCCATAGGAGATATTTCAGATGTTGGTTGGTCGAGTGGATTTTACGTTTACTCGAAGTTAAACTTTATGGTCCTGGGACGGGTGGAATCTTTTCCTCTGGATAGAAACATGACATGAGAACATTTGGAGAATCGATAATAATAAATCAATGTGTATATCAGGCACTTCAAACCATAGAAACTTTTTTTCGTAGTTTTTGACAGCATTATAACTTACCTAACAGTGAACATCTCAAAGTTTTTTTGTTGTTGCAATCTCGGAATAATGGTTGTTGAAACTTTTCCGTACTACTTTTACTGTACTAATAAATGTCACTTCTCAAATGAATGAATAAACATATTCCAGAGACGTGCATATGATGTGCCCAAGTTCAGGTGAAAAACACCTTACTTCAAGCCTTTCATGTGAACCTACGACTACAAAGTTGTAAATTCACATGAGAGGCAAGGGGTAAGGTGTTTTTCACCTGAACTTGGACATGTCATATGCACTTCTCCGGAATAATAATATACATACATAATATAAATTTAGTTGTGGAATTGGCCGCGGTGGTAGTGCGCCCGACTCACGATCGGAAGGCCGTGGGTTCGATTCCCGCCTCGACCAGATATTTTTCTCGAGAGAATTTATCTGGTTGAAGCTGAGATGATTCTGCAACCGTGTTAGGAATTACACGTTAAAAAGTAAGACCTCGTTAGTCCTTGGCTCGCACAAGTTCTCAACTTCTGAGAGTTGTTGTTCGTATAGGGGCAACATCTGATTACCGGAAAAATAGATTTTACACAGATTTTTTTTTAACATCGCATAGGAGCATATGATATGCCCAAGTTCATGTGAAAAACACCTTACTTCTTGCCTTTCGTGTGAACGTACTACTACAAAGTCACAAATTCACAAGAGGTAATGGGTAAGGTGTTTTTCACCTGAACTTGGGCATGTCATATGCACATCTCCGGAATGATAATATATACCGGAGAGATGGATATGACATGCCCAATTTGGGTGAAAAATACCTTACTATTGGCCTTTCCTGTGAACCTACGACTACAATCATAAGTTCACATGAGAGGCAAGGGGTAAGGTGTTTTTCACCTGAACTTGGGCATGTCATATGCATATCTCCGGAATATAATATATACCGGAGAGATGGATATGACATGCCCAATTTGGGTAAAAAACTCTTTACTATTGGCATTTCCTGTGAACCTACGACTACAGTCGTAAGTTCACATGAGAGGCAAGGGGTAAGGTGTTTTTCACCTGAACTTGTGCATGCCATATGCACATCTATGGGCATGTCATATGCACATCTCCGGAATAATAATATATACCGGAGAGGTGGATATGACATGCCCAATTTGGGTGAAAAACACCTTACTATTGGCATTTCCTGTGAACCTACGACTACAGTCGTAAGTTCACATGAGAGGCAAGGGGTAAGGTGTTTTTCACCTAAACTTGGGCATGTCATATGCACATCTCCGGAATAATAATATATACCGGAGAGGTGGATATGACATGCCCAATTTGGGTGAAAAACACCTTACTGTTGGCCTTTCCTGTGAACCTACGACTACGGTCGTAAGTTCACATGAGAGGCAAGGGGTAAGGTGTTTTTCACTTGAACTTGGGCATGTCATATGCACATCTCCGGAATAATAATATATACCGGAGAGGTGGATATGACATGCCCAATTTGGGTGAAAAACACCTTACTATTGGCCTTTCCTGTGAACCTACGACTACAGTCGTAAGTTCACATGAGAGGCAAGGGGTAAGGTGTTTTTCACCTGAACTTGGGCATGTCATATGCACATCTCCGGAATATAATATATACCGGAGAGGTGGATATGACATGCCCAATTTAGGTGAAAAACACCTTACTATTGGCCTTTCCTGTGAACCTACGACTACAGTCGTAAGTTCACGTAAGAGGCAATGGGTAAGATGTTTTTCACCTGAACTTAGTTGGGACGACCACTAGAAGACCGGCTTCAGAGTACTTGCTCCTTGAGAGTACCGGGAAAGTCATTTCAGACGGAGTAGCCCTTTGATTATCTCAAAGAAACAAAATAGTTACAACTAGTCATAAGCTCTATCTGCAGTTGATTCAGTAGGATGTTCACTGCGCCACCTGCAAAGTCCGGGAACAACTCCAGAAAACATACCCGGGGGTGGGAGTCAGAATAATATACATATTCCGGAGAGGTGGAAAAGTTCAGATGAAAAACAACTTACTCCTTGCCTCTTGTGAACCTACGAGTACAAAGTCGTAGGTTCACATGAGAGGCAAGGAGTAAGGTGTTTGAACTTGGGCATGCCATATGCACCTCTCCGGACTAAAAATGAACATATACCGGAGAGATACATATGACATGCCCAAGTTCATGTGAAAAACACCTTACCCCTTGCCTCTCATATGAATCTACTTTAAACTGTAATATCTCATTGAATACTCATTCAGTTTAATCGAAATGAGCCCCAGTTGTCCTCCCGAGTTCTTTGGTTTGTGAAAACATAAGTGAATTCTGGATTGCTAACAATTCTTCATTGTCTTTACTTGGATACGACAAACTTCAGGTATACATTTTGTTGCAATTTGTATTTATTTTTGTTTGATCCAGCTTTAAAGGATTTTTATTTTCAAATCTTGTTTTTACTTCCTTGAAATGGACTTGTAAATATTTGTCGGTTTTTTTTTGTAAATCTAGTACAATAGTCACTTCGTGATATTTTGAATGTTTCCCTTGAATCTATTTCACTTGCTCTATTACTTTAAAAAAGCTTGGTAAATATTTGCGGTTCACTACGTTGAGCCCAACGTTACTCACACTTCTGTTCAATATTTCCAACAAAATCCAACATGAACATATTGTTAAAAATGTATTCATCATAGGATACACTTCTTTGTGTTTTCAGATAATTCCGGGCTGAATGTTACAACCTGGATGAAACCAGTTATAGAAAACATTACTGACTTCAAATTTGAAATAGGAACAACCCTGGTAACATACTACGCTCAAGACGCTTTTGAAAACAAAGCAAAATGCTCATTCCACGTTACTGTGAAAGGTGAAAAAATTAAGCTGGCTAGATATGCCAGATAATAGCTTTTATATCTTTCAGATGAAGAACCTCCTACCATAGAAAATTGCATCGATCCTCCTCCATATTTAACAGGTGATCAAATTGGAGCCAACGTCTCGTGGGATGAACCAAACATTTTTGATAATTCGCAGAACGTTGAGGTAGGGATGGAGTCTGCACAATATAGCAGTGCGAAATTAACTTGTTCTGTCATAAATGTTAATTGAAACCCAGTTAAATTCATTTGTTACGTCATAGGTGGCTCGGTCTCACGAATTTGGATTCTTCAAAGTTGGCACTACCACCGTGACATATACTGCCACTGATAATTCCAATAATACCAACATCTGTAGAATGAATATAACCGTTGAAGGTTAGAGAGAGTATAAAACGCATGGTATAATCAGTTCAACTTGTTGATAACGTCTTTTATGTGATTTCAGTTTCTCTGTGTGAATCTTTACCAGACCCATCCAATGGCCATAGTGAATGTATCGACCAGAACAACGGTATTCAATGTTTGATAACCTGTGAAGAAGGATATGCTATTCCTATTTCTCAGGTGGTAGAAGGTAAATATACACCGGGGCTAAAAAGTTCAGGGCCTAAGAAAAACAACGCGTTCTTTTTTCAAAATTGGCTATACAATCATTCCAGCGCCGCTCTAACATTCCAATACCACTTTTGTAGAACGACTAATTCGTTGCGGCATAATTCCTTTGTATTGGTTTTTTTTGGCCTTTGACTTCGCCGACATCTTTGAGATTACTATATCGGTTACTTCGACTATACCAAGGAATTGAGTACTGTCTTACGAAATCACATCATCATCATCAAAAAGCGCCTGATATACAAAAAAATGGCACAAAACGCCACGCTTTTTAGTTCGATGTTCTTTAAAAGCGTGTTTTTTAGAACTATATTTATTTTTCACATTTTACTCCGATTTATTGTCGAAAATAATTTTATTTTGTTACTAGTATTATAAATCTTCAATAGACGGCGCACGAATGTATATTTATTTTTCACATTTTAGTCCGATTTATTGTCGAAAATAATTTTATTTTGTTACTAGTATTATAAATCTTCAATAGACGGCGCACGAATGTAAAATTCCTCTCAAACAACATAAAGTTTGAGGTCTTAAATTCTATAGTAGTATTTTTTTTTGAGTTCTAGTCACTAGTATTATAAATCTTTAACAGACGGCGCACGAATGTAAAATTCCTCTCAAACAACATAATAAAGTTTGAGGTCTCAAATTCTATAGTAATACTGAGATGCAGTAAGTCTCCAAAAGAGGGCGGACAGTTGTAAAATTTGTTTCGAAGTAAAGAGAAAATTTGCAGTAATAATTTCAAAAAACATTTCAGTCTTGATGTTTTGATTTGAAGTTTCATTCAAAATATTAATGGACTAAAAATATTTTTTCAGTGAATAATTTTTCAAATCAACCTTTTGATTTGATATGTATGTCAAGCACCTTAATTCTAATTTTTCGATTTTTTGAAATATTTTAGTAAGTAACTGAATTTTTTAGGTGTACAATTTACGATAAAGTTTTCATTGTTGAAATTCATATTCTGGTTTGCTTTCAAATTGAATTAGATTTTAAAATATATCTTCCGTTTCGTTCAAAACTTTTTTCTGTACTGAATCACGGGTAATTGTAAATATTTAAAGAAACACTTATAACTCTTAAAATGTTTTTTATTTTGATTTTCTTTTGAACAACCTTGAAAATATGTTTTTTATTTCTGTGAGTGTCTAGTTTTGAGTCATTTCAACTATTGCGATTTCATTTATGGTCCCTGTTCAACTAAAGATGATAGTAATCGGATACAAAAAGTGCAGAATAGTTGTTGCAGACTAATTTATGGAATACGAACATATGACTCCATCTCCCATAAACTGGCTGGAGAATCGACGGCAACTCCACTTGGGTTCATTCACACATGGACTCCTAAACAAGTCCAATCCACCAGCTCTGTTGCATAAATTCATTCCACGTTCTAGAATACATTCAAAAAATGTCAGAAACAGATCTGCCCTGACCATGCCCCAGCACAAATCTGCGATATTTCAACGATCTTTTATTTTTAACTCCATTCGAATGTATAATCTTCTTCCTGACCAATTCAAGTTATATAACATAAACAAATTCAAATATAAATTGAAGAACTATTTATTACTCACACAATGATGTAATATAGCAAATTCTGATAATATCATATGTCATTTAATACAATAAAGACGTTTATTATTATTATTACTTCCTTTTGAACAACCTATCAAGGAGGTTATGTATAGCGGCATCTGCCCGCAAATAGCTCAAGCAATAATTGATAGTTGCGCCATCTGCCCGCAAACAGATGAAGCAATAATTGAAGGTTACGTTCAGCGCCATCTACCCGCGAATAGATCAAGCAATAATGCCGATAATTCTGTCAATACAGACAATACAAACAAACATATATGCATACAGGTGAAGCTAATATAAAGCGTGTAAAAATGGATCACTATTCAAACTGATCTATACTTCGTTTCCCAGGGTTTATGAGAATTCTGATTTATTTATTTATTACTGTTATTTAAGAAAATGGTACAAACTTCGTGTGCGACAACGCTGACCCAATATGGTACAACTCAGAAGGATTAGTATTCCCAGAATGCACAGGTAACTAATTTATTTTTCCAACACTCCAACAGGTATTTGAATACTATTTTTCAGTCACAAAAGTACCTCAAGAAACCGTCCAGACGGGAGAAGTCACCGTGCCGGGAATAGACAATTGCACAGACACAAAAAATCTGCAAGAAGTAATTTGTCTACAATGCTCTCAAAATGACATTATAGTTTTGTTTTTTCAGTTGGAAAACGACATAAGAGGCGTGATAAACTCGGAAGTCTGCACAGGTGAATGCAAAATCGAAACGAAATCTGAGTGTGAAACTGAACAACAAGAAGAAGAATCCAATAAAATTTTGAAGAAACGTGCAGTTAACTACGAAGAACTTCCACACAGAAATAGAACGAGGAAGCACAGGCGCAAACTTAACGTTAAATTTCAAGTCAGAGGCAAATATGTGAAACCCACCCTTGGTGGTGTGAAATTTTTAAGACTACGCAAGGGTTATAATGCTTCTATTCGTTATGATGCCGTTAGATTTATTTGTCCACCAGGTTTCGTGCCAAGGAAAAATAGATGTGGTGAGTTTATGTGAACACCTTTTGGTCCTGAAAACGCTCCAACTGGGTTTCAAAGAGTTACGGTGTATTCATTACTTAATATTTCAATTCGTGAATTTTGTCGAAATTCTTAAGAATCTGCCAGTTAAAGGACTTAAAACAGTTGTTCTTTTTAATACTTTATTCAGGATTGGCTCATTACCCTCTTTGTTGAAGACTTCCATTGTGATTCCTTCACTTAAAGGTAGTTATTTCCAATTTTTTCATACCAACTAGCAAACTTGCCCAGTATATTCAAGCAACAATCGATTTGATTTGTAGTACAATGCCCAAGAGGATCATTTCACAATGAAACAAGAAACAGATGCCAGAGCTGTCCGTTTGGATTTTACAACGAGAAACTGGGGCAATCAGAGTGTATTTCGTGTCCTGTCCATCATTCCACAAGTAAATTGCATTCCAAGAAATTGGAGGACTGTAAAGGTGAGTGACATGAAACAAAATCCTATATGATGCCGACTCAAGTAGAGGTTTGTAAGCACCGCGGGTAATAGATGTGAATACCCTTGGGTATGAATATCGACTTAATACTTAAATAATTAGCACATTAATAAATATCTTTTGTGTCTCAGAACAATGTCCTCCTGGTACTCACGCTCGCAAAAAGAAACTGAGATACTCCAAGCATCAGTTCAACGTGACTATAGAACGCCCGACTCTGAGACCGCATTGCCGATCATGCAAAATCGGTTACTATCAACCGGACCACGGCCAACTGAGATGCATTCCTTGTCCTGCCGGATTTACGACGACTTCAACTAGATCCACGAGTATACATCAGTGTATTCCTACCTCCAAAGATATTTGTGAATCGGAAACCTTCTGCCAACATGGTTCGTGTGAAGTCACCAACCGTTACCAGTATAGTTGTGATTGTTTTGACAATTATATAGGTAAGAAAAATTAAGGTAGATTTCAGTATGACTACCGACTAAAACCTCTCACCCATTGCTCAGCAGTACGTTCAATAATCGAAATACATTTGATACATATACGACGCTTACACAAACATTTAAAGAAAACATCACAGTTGTTATTACATGCCTTCTGCAGCTAACTATCACAGTTGTCCATCAATGTGTGCTTCAATTAGTCTCAGGCTTCCTCGAGCTTATTGATCGAGTTTCTCATCATCTGGTCTCTCTCTCTCTCTCTCTCCTTAATTTCGATGATTGCTCTTATCGTTCTGAGGTTTTATTTCAAGTCTCTTCATCACATACCAAGCTTTCCATCATATTTTCGGCATTGAATTTGGTATTTGTTTCACGTGTATACAGAAGTCTTGCATTGCAGTAAATACAATCTGAAGACACTGCTATCCTGCGATCATATAGATACTTACTGGAACAGCTGTGCCCCGATAGTGCCTTGGTGCGGTGATGGTCCACCTCCCCATAGTTTGGATTCAACCAAATCTCTATTGCAGGTATTAGTCGGTGTGTCCATCCACCGTATTGACCGATGTCCCATTTTCGTTGTCAGCCATTTAACAAATTTTTCCCGGCGCTTCCCTTGGGAATGCCTGCATATCGCTCTTTCCTCTCGACGATTTGGAGCTCTATAGGTGGAATTCCAGCGATAACACCTGCTACTCCTGCAGATATGCACTACATGTTCTAATTGTTAGTTTCTTTTGTATGCCGAGTTTTTGGACTAGTTTTTTGTTTTGAGTTACTGTGCACCATGATGGTGAACCGTACAAAATCCGAGGCTGGACCACCCCAGACAACATTTTTTTCTTAGAAGATCTAAGACCCCCCAACATTGGGCGTCAGATCGACTAACGCAGAAACTGTTATCTCTGCATTGAGGACACTTTGGGTACGTGTTCAGCAAAGGTAAGTTTCGTGTCGATCCAACCCCCTAGATACTTAACAGCTTTGCTCAGTACAAAAGTTATTAGCAGTTATGCTTCGGTTTCTCCTGGAGCTAAACTAAGGAGTCTACTTTCCATTCAGTCTGCGACCAGTAACAATGCTCATTACACGTTCTTCTCTTTTCTGCAACCATTATCGCCACATGATCAGCAAAGCCGACCAATGTGACTCCTCTATTTTCTAATGAAAATAACTAGTCGTATAGAATCTCCATGAGGTAAGGCCAAAAACTAGGTCCTGAGCTATGCCGCTGTTTACACTAACAAGTTTTGCTCTTTTCTTTGTTTCCACAAGATAGATAGGATACGGTTATGGTAATCATACTCTCATTGATTCTCCTACTCGTTAGTGACTCCACGGTGCCACGATGCACTATTGAAGGGATTCTTACGTTTAGAGTGATTAACGCACAGTCTTTGACAAGCGGCGGCTTCCTGTGGAGTACTTATTGCCATGTTGACCGCGTCTACAGTTTGTCTTTCTTTTCGAAATCCAAACTGTTTCATCTATCCATCTAACCGTTTATCTATCCGTCCATTTATCCATCTACCCAATTCCAGTGTTAAAAAAATTTGGTGTGCGATACTTGGAGAGTTAAAGTTTTTGCAGTGGATTTTAAATCGAAACTTCCCTGCCTTAAACTTGACGTCTCTTTGGATTATTGCGAAAACTTATTTCCGTGATAGAACTGCCTTGCTGTACGTTTTCGCTGACCACTGTGTATTATTCTAGGAACAAAATGCGAAAAACAAGCAAACAATTGCGATTCTCAACCGTGTTTGAATGGTGGTACTTGCAATAGTACCGAGGTTGGATACTCCTGTTTATGTCAAACTGGTTTCACGGGTATCTTCTGTGAGGAAACTATTGATGACTGTAAACTTCAGTGTTCAAACGGAGGTGTTTGTTTCCAGGATGATGATAAACCCACCTGCTTGTGTCCAGATGGTAAGCCAATCATTTGACAATACACTTTAAACTGAATTTTTTGTGAAGGTACTTTTGGATATTACTAGTACCAATATGTCATTTTATTATAATTACCAACTCTAGCCATGTTCTTGAATTCCCACAGATAATCTATTAGCATCACACATGTCATTCTTGATATTGAACTGCTATGCCATTATGGTATCATCCACAAACATAATTAATTCATCACTTTCTGGTTTGAAAGCAGTCGATTTTTAGAATTTCTTCCTGACGTTTCGCTGGCGATGAGTTATCGGAGATTACTCAGGACGTATAAACCTCTGAAGAAGCTATCCACTCGCGCCAGCAAAACGTCAAGAAGAAATTCCAAAATTCCATGGCCTTCAAACCCGGAAAATAGTAATACTGAAAACCTCGGCCACGAAAGCTTTAACCATATTGTCATAATGAATTTATTTTTGATTTTGTCTCAATTAAAAAGGAGTCATCTGGGTACCTGAAAAACGACTTGGGTGTCCCACGAGGTTCAGTACTTGGCCCTTTTCGATTCATAATTTACATCAACGACATTGATAAGCTCCCTGTGCCAGCGTCCTTCACTATGTACGCAGATGACACCTCACTTATAATTTCCAATACCCGAGAAAGTTCTGTAACGGAAAACTGTGAGGAAACTTTATCCGCAGTTAATAACTGGTTCTCGGCGAATCGTCTTTTTCTGAATATCGATAAAACAAAATGTCTTAGATTTCATATCCCGCAATGAACCTGTGAATATATCTCATTTGGTTTTCCTATGATCTCCACTAGTGTCACAAGAACGAAATTTCTGGGATTAAATGTTGATAACCATCTCAATTGGAAATCTCACGGTGAGGATCTTGTTTCCAAACTCCACACAGTTGCCTTTCAATTTAGGAATATAAAAGAAATTCTGAATCCTGATCAGTTGTTGCAACTCTATCATGCATAGGGTAGAAAGTAGACCACGATATGGCTTGACCTTCTGGGCAACATCATCTTCATCGTCTTGTGTTTACAATCCCCCAGATTGATTCTAAACATGGGTATAACACTAGACACAAAAATAACTTTATAGTGCCTTTAACAAAACTTAGAATAACTCAAAATGCCCCAAACTTCAGGGCTCCAGAAATATTTAATTCGATCCCGGAAAACATAAAAAATAGTAGCTCAATTTTCATTTTCAAATGAAATCTGAAAGATTTTCTAGTGCAAAATTGCTTTTACTCCATAGAACAGTTTTTAGAACATCACCTCTGAGAGAATATGTATTTTTTTTTCTCATCCATTTATGTACTTATTTGCTTTTGATTATCTGTGCCGCAATCAAGATTGCGGCACGTAAACTAAAAAATAAGTTCACTTCTGGTCCTGATAAGATACCGTCTTTTTTGTAAAATATTGCATCGGTGTAATGGTCTATTCCTTACTGACACTTCTCAATCTTGCAGTTAAAAATAATAATTTTCCTGAATTATGGAAGATATCACGAGTTTGTCCCATTTTTAAGTCTGGAGATCTATCTGATATTCGGAATTATCGTCCTATCTCAATCCTATCGAACTTTGCAAAACTTCTCGAAATTGTCATCTACAATCGCGTACATTCCTCAGTTCGTAATATCATATCTCCGCAACAACATGGATCCACCATAACAAATTTAATTGTATTGACCCAAAATATTAGTGATGTCTTAGATAATCGTGGTCAAGTTGATGTGATATATACTGATTTTGCTAAAACATTTGACTTGATGACATGATCCTTCTACAAAAACTCCTTCAATTTGGTTTACATAATTCAGCAGTACTTTTCATTAAATCCTACTTACTTCAACGCGAACAGTTTGTATCTTATAACGGCTATGATTCTTTTTATTACAATCCGTCATCTGGAGCACCTCAGGGGTCGAATCTCGGACCACTTCTGTTCTTATTATTTATTAATGACCTCAGTAATTATGTCCATTGTAATAAGTTATTTTTTGCAGATAATTTGGAAATATATTTACTTGTCGAAACTGTTGAAGACTGTAATAAATTACAACGACAGTTAGAAAATATACAGACTTGGTGTGAAGTAAACAAACTATGTCTCAATGCATCCAAATGTAAAGTAGTGTCTTATAGTAGAAAAATGTCAGTCATCGAGTACAATTATCGAGTAGATACCATTTCACTGTCACGAAGTAACTCAATTGAAGATCTTGGTGTATATTTTGATCAAAATTTGTCTTTTTCCAACCATTTTAGAAAGTAAATGAAGCTTTGTGAGTTTATGGCTTCATAGTTCGCAATTGTAGATCTTTTTCAAACATATCTGCTCTATTGACTCTTTATCTAGCCTACATAAGGTCAAAATTAGAATATGGCTCTGTTCTATGGTCTCCATTCTACAATTGCTATAATACATTAATTGAAAAAGTTCAACGTCGTTTCCTGAAGTTTATTCACTTCAAATCTTATGGTATCTATCCTGATAGCGGTATTCCATATGAATCTCTTACCATAACTTTCAATATTGAAAGTCTTGAATTACGCAGAAAACTTGCTGGAATAATTTTTCTGTATAAATTACTGCACAACAATATGGATGCTATGGAGGTGTTATCTTTTATAAATTTCTGTGTGCCTCATTTCAGAACTAGAAGTACAAAAACTTTTTACAGCCAACTGGCCAGAACTAATTTGTATCTCAAGTCACCTATCTTTAGCATTTGCAATAATTTCAATTTGATTTCAAATTTGTGTGATATCAATTATGATTCCTTAGAATATATTGTTGACACTGAATCCCAAGGGGGCCGAGTACTAAGGGAGCTGATAGGTTAGGTGGTGTACCAAGGGGGCCGAGAGGCGGAGTTCCACGCTTGAATCGCTACGATACTCGTTCCATCCTGCATCGATGACGTCACACGTTTCCCCCACTCCTGTTTGAACCAAAAATTGCAAAAAGTTTAGCTCCATAAGAAAATACATGGGATTTTGTCCTCGTACATACGTTGTTCATCTACTCATCTCAGTATTTCATGGAGAATTTTTAATTTTCTGGTATAGTTTTTTTTTTCTATTTTATTTTATTATATTATAATATTCATTCATTTTCTCAAATTGTAACTTTGTAATTATAAGGATCGATATAATTTTTTTTACCATACTTAGTTAACCCTCTAAATGGTTTTTAACTGTTGGGTAATAAATGCTACTATTATTATCATCAATAACTCCCTTTATATCCCTCTAGTTTGTGCAGATCCTTCATCGGATTTTTGTCTTATTTTTCTGAACACAATTATGATTCGTCAATCAATTGCTTGCCTCCTGTAATCCAGTGTCTCACATGACCATTGCCCCTTCGTTGCATTGTCTTCGGTCAAGATCTCATTGTTCAGGTTTCTTCTAAATTGGATAGTCCTGTCACCATTCCGGGTCTGATCTCCACTGTATGGAAGTCATTCTGTTAACCAACTAAGAATAATTACTTCTACTTCATTAGGTTTTGGAGGCGACTTTTGTGAAGCAAAAATCAAAAGCTGCAGTGAAAATTTGTGTGAAAACAACGGCACCTGCGTAGATGAACATGACTCCTTCAGATGTGAATGTATTGGTGGTTTTATCGGAAAAAGATGCAACTTGCTGCCGTGTGATTACCGACCGTGCGGATTGAATAGCATCTGTGTTAATAAGAATGAAGGGAACGTCACCAAAGCAAGTTACAGGCAAGTAAATATGACATACAAGCAAGTAATATTGTGAAATGACAAGTTTATTTTCAGTTGCGTTTGTCCTGAAGGATTCTCTGGAGACACCTGCGCTGAACAAATCAATCATTGCGCAGGCTCTCCTTGTACAAACGGGGGCACATGTGTCAGCCATACCACCAATTATTCCTGCAGCTGTACCAGTTTGTACCACGGCACCCATTGCGAGAATAAACGAAACACCAAGTATCTGTTGAAGTTCGACAAGTACGACACGAACAATTACATAAAACTGGGCGGATTTCGTAAGAATGTCACAGAGGTTTGAAGCGCAATTCACCGGGCATTCAAACAGTGCTTTACTTTATATATCGATCATGTCGAGATAGAGGAAAAAACTTTTAACGGCCAAGTTGTCAAAATCGTTCAATACTTGGTTCTTTTTTTCACATATATCAGTATTATCGATATATCAAGCAAACACGTACTGTTGGGACACCCCGTATATGATAAACGGAATAGTCATCGTTTTCCTTTCAGATAAGTGCCTGCTTGTGGATGAAAACTACGGACAATTTCAACTACGGGTCGCTCATATCTTATGCCACGAGAGCTACAGACAATGCCTTCACGATAACAGATTATACAGGGTAATGAATTACTTTATCAAAACCTTATTTAAAAGTTTGGTCCTTCGAGCCGGATAACTGTATGTAAACTTGTTCCCTTCGAAAATGATTAATCATTGCATAATTTTCAAGACTGGTTTTATACGTTAACAACAACTACGTCGTCACTGACGTGTACCTAAACGATGGACACTGGCACCATGTTTGTGCGAATTGGAGAAGTATGGACGGTTCTTATGAAGTTTTCGTTGACGGCGTACTGACGAAGAATGGTTCGGGCTTGTCTACAGGGGTACACATTCAAGGTATCCGTAGTTTTCAAAGTTGCAAAATATGTTCAATACTTTCTCTGCAGTTTATTGAATGATCCATTGAATTGACTCGACTTTTTATTATTATAGGTTATGGAAATATGATTATAGGCCAGGAGCAGGACATATTCGGCGGAAGGTTCAGTCAAAGTGAGTCTTTCGTCGGAAAAATGGCATACATTGATGTTTGGTCAAAAGCTTTAACATACCAAGAGGTCCTGACCCACAACAGCGACTGTAACGAATCATTTTTCGGTGACTTGTACGCCTGGCCTGAAATGCAGGATTACATTCAGGGAGGAGTTGAGGTAAGAAATAAAAAAAATGTTGCAAAAATCACAAATTTTCTCTTTCAGGTAACAGAGTCGTCGTTTTGTAATTCTTGCTCGGTGCCGAAAACTCTGTACAACGGCTTTATCGACGTTGTCGAGAACACAGCGTTCTATTCCTGTTATACTGGGTATTCGTTGAACGATAACAAGTTCATAAAAGGTAGGAAGTGTTCCAAAGCTTCTAAATGGGAAGGAAAATACGAACCATACTGTAAAAGTAAGCTCTGCGTATAAAAACACCTGCATTTGTTAACAAGAGCATTTCAGAAGTGTACTGCGGCTACCCTGGTTCTATTAGAAACGGGTTTCCGATAGGAAGGAACTACTACTACAACGACACAATTTCTTTTGGTTGTTTAGAAGGTTACAACCTCACAGGAGATAGCACCATTCTATGCAAGGAAAACGGACGGTGGTATCCAGAAAAACCACGATGCATCGGTGAGTATCCTGCATAAATGGATTCGCGCTCAGGGCGAATAGTTTGAGGCCAGAAATGGAACCTTGTGGAACCCAATTTCTCTAACAGTTTGCATCTGTTCAGGTATCCAGTGCACCGCTTTCAAACAACCAGACAACAGCGACTTAATTATAATGTCGGAGCAAAGCTACGAAACGTTCTCAGATCAAGCGAAGTTTGAAATCGGAACCCAAATCGAAGTAGTCTGTGACGTCGAAGCAGAACTTATTGGCGAGTCTGTGATCACTTGTTTAGAAAATGGTAATCGACTGTTTGTTTCTCTTACAGCCTCACACTTTACATATGTTTATAATTTCATACAGGAACTTGGGACTTTGAACCTCCGGAATGTAATTTGAAGGAGCCCCCTAAGGCTCCGAAGCTGGACTGCCCCATCGATCAAGTACCGAAAGCTCCGATTAACGGTTACATAGACTTGGATTCCTTGTATGCCGCTGGAAACGTTACTACTAACTTCATCGAGTATAAGTGTAAGTTCGGTTACAAGCTGAAAGGGGAAAATACAACCACTTGCATCATTGACGGATACTGGACGGAACCAAATATTTCTTGTGACCGTAAGTAACTTCTTGCTTCAAGTGGAAATGTCATCTTCTAACGTGCATCTAGTGGGCAGACAATCAGAAAGCTCTTCCTAGATTTAACAAGCCGTCCTGTGTTTTCATGGCAGCAATACTTTCATTTCTTATGTCTTTTATATCACTCTTTCTTTTGTTGAAGACAATTTTTGTAACCTCTATTAGGCCTCAGTGTTCTCATCATCTCTTCAGAATGTTTATCGCGCGTCAAAAGGAGTGTTGTAGTTTCGGTGTTTGGGAAAAGCGCTTGTTTGGATCCACTACTTTTGTCAAAATGCATCACCGATTATGAAAACTTGTTCTTTGAGTCACTCTCGCCCATAAATATTTCACAAAACGACTAATTTTTGTTTTCCTTCAGCTGTAAAGTGCGGAAAACTGCCTACTTTCAAAAATATGAAACCGCTCCAAGTTGCCAAAGATGGATCCTATCATTTCGGAAACGTGGTGTCCTTTGAATGTGATGATGGTTACAAAATGTTTGGTAACAAAGTTATAAGATGTACGCCAAGTGGAAAATGGTCCAAAATGCAGGGAAAATGTCTCAGTGAGTATATAGAACTCGACTAATATTATAAAAAATCAAAAGTGATGCTTGTCAATAACCTACTATTAAACCAACAACATTCTTTTCAAAGCTACATCAGCATATACTACAGAACCATTTTGAAAACGCTGAAAATAATCTGTTGGTCAAGTTGACTCACAACAAAATATTATGACAGAGTAAATTGTTTCAATTCAATAGTCAATTAATTATAACTGAATCGGCAGGAAAGTTCGAATTACAAATTACGTTAAGTTTGCTCACTATAATCGGTAAGTAGAAACTTCCTAGGAGAATCCTAGAAAAAAATTCTCTCTATTGGTACATTTCGAAAGTATCACTTGCAATCAATTTATTTTTTATTCACTTTAATAGATTCGAATTGTGTAGATATACATATCACAAAAACTAGTTGTACATACATACATTAAATACATTTTTTTTTGATTGATGCAACTAGTTTTCCTTTGTTTTCAATATTTTGATATTAACATTGATTCACAAATAGGATTTGAAGCTTTAATAACTTCTAATTATTATATGCGAGCGCTTTCGACATCAGTCTGTGCTATCATCTTAATGAATTCACTCAACTAAACGTTTTATCTTCTTGTTTGTTCTTTTATACGGATGTCTCTTTAAATTTGCCTGGTACTTGGATCACATCAGGTTATACAGTTTGTGTTGGTGTTTCACTAGGTTCATTGTTCCTAGGAATATACTCCACAAAACAACTCTTTCGTTGTGGCTGGTGGTAGAGTTTTTGTTCAGGTACCGGTCTGTGTGTGTACCATCTTCACGTCTGTTGACAAGAACATCCAAGAAGGCTAAGGCTAGAGTCCTTTGGGTTTTTCGTTCCATTGTGAATTGGAGTTTTCAGTCGAGAAAGTTTAGATATCGCAGAAATTTGTTTAGTGTCACTTCATCATCTTGTGAAGGCATAAAAATCTCAGACCACGGCCAAAAAAACCGGAAAATAACTTGCACTTAGTTATCTCCGGCCGTGAAAGTTTACATTCTTTGATCAATGATTACAATGTTTAAGGAACAGTTTGAAATGCCGTAAAATTCATAAACCAGTCTTCTGTAGGCTATCGAATTGTCCTGTCCTGCAAATAAGGGGGTCTTTTTCCTTCTTGTTGAAAGACTACTTTGGAATGTGGCGGAGACTACTTCGAAGGAAACCAAATAGAAATTGATGAATAAATAAATAATGTTTGAGAAAAATTAAAATTCACCTTATTTTTTGAGTAGAGTAGTATATTTCTGTCTGAAATACAGTCACGTAGGTTTAGAGGAAGGATGATACCTGTATCCTGGGTCTGCCAGGATACAGCCTTTCCTCTTGTAGATGCTACCTTTCACTTGTTTTATTAAAATAACTGTGTTATACATAAAAGACCTTGTTGTGGTACTTTCTTCGAGACATTCCAGAATCCTCTAAAATGTACGTCGATTACTTTCGAACCGTTTTTCAGAAAAAACTTGCAAGAAGCCCTTAATCAAACCCAAAACGACGATAAAGGGAAAGTCATATCTGTTCGGCGACAAAGTGACAATCACCTGTCCCAGCGGGTCCACTTTCGAACTACTCTGCACTAAAGAGGGGATTTGGGAAGGAGAAAAGGACGAGAGTTGTTGATACGAAATCAAAGTATTTGTTAAAAAAAATCAACTGAACCATATATTATCCATATATAAAAACAACATAATAAAATCAAGTAAGGAACAAACGGATATTTTTATAAGAACTAAACCAGAAAAAAGTGCCCGGGTAAGTTACGAGGAATCTTGCTGTTCCTCCCATCTCACGACTTCCTCTTTAATTTTTTCAATATAATCGGAGCAGACCCTGCAACAGCCGCCTATGATTGTCACACCCAAATTCAGCCAAGTCGGAATGTATTCTTCGAGTTTTTCACAGTTGTTATCCCAACTGAAAATAATTATTGCTATTATAGAACCAGGTGAAAGCGACTAGGATATGAATCTTGAACCCAGTGGCGTTCCAAGTGAATATAAGGGGACACAATCGCTAAAATTAAACAGGCTTTAATGGAATTGACCGATATTTGATGACAATCCATTATGTATTCAAATGAGATTTTCATTAGACGGTTTACAAAACAGCAACACATGTTTCGCTATATAATAGCTTCCCCTTAGTTTTTATACCGACCAAATTCCACTCAATTCAAACTTTATATAATGAAAATTTGAATCATATGACCTCAATCCTACGTAATGACTAATAATTTTATTTTACTTGAGTTATCTAACCTGAATTGGGTAAAAACTAATCATAATTCTCTAACATAAGAGAAAAATTTACCAACTCATTGACTGGCAATGTAGTAATTACCATTATACGTATGTTTGGAATACAAATTTGAAACATATGACCTCCTACTCACTTGATAACTAATAATTTTACATGAGTTTAGGTAAAAACTCAAACAGCCTAAAAGTAAATTTCAATAAACTCATTAAATTGTCCCATAATCAACTAATTACCAATGTCTACATTACAGAGCAGATTCAGAAAAATTCAATTCCATTTAGTCATTCTGTAAACTTTCAGAATTTTGCAATCCACTAATTTCCGAGCACTCCAAAAGATTGAGTTCCAAACCGTTCTCTTCCAAATGTAATACTCCACAGTCGTGGTTAAACTCAAGCCCCTGTCAAAAGATATTTTGCAAATGTGGAACTGGTCTCCACATTCAAGAAACTAATCCTATGTTCTTTCATTCTTTGGAAAAAAGTTGTTCCCGTTTGGCCAATATAAAATTTTGTGCAGGAACCACAAATAAACCTATAGACTCCTGAACTATCCGACATGAAATATGATCTTCGTGGTTTTCATTGAATTTGCTTTCATTATTATTTATCCGGAAGCCATGTCCAAATCTGTCCTTTTCAAAAAACAATGGGCTCACTGAAGTATATAAATGACCTAGGACGCTTATTATTGTTTTCTGGTTTCGCTGATAACTTTGTAGGCAAACAAAAAAAAAGATAAAATTTGATTTCATTATTCAATATAGTTGCCTTCGACTTTTTTTTATGTTTTCGTCGGTAACAGCCTCTTTGGAGTGTCCAATGCGAGCGTCGTCTTCGGTGCTCATTTCCCATCGTTTAAACTTAGCAAACCACTTCTCAACGGTAGAGTTTTGTGGTACAAAGTCCGAACAATGATTATCACGCCAAGCCTAGACTTCAACAGAATTTTTTTAATGCTTCATAAACACATAAAATTCCTTTTTAGTAATTTTCCTCAAACTAACAGAAGTTGCTTCACTCAAAATGTTATATCCCACAAACTGATAATATGACTGCTGTAAAACTTGTACATGTCTTTTGAAGGTTAGGGTTCTTTTGGAGGTTAGGGTTAAGTAAATTCATATGGATTTAATACTAGCAGTGCCATCTATGTGTTAAACTATGAACTTTCCAGGCCATCTAATACTATTGAACGCTGCTATTCATATTGATAGAGATGTGTCGAAGAATTGTGTATGAAAATGCCTGTATAAAAGGGTTTATGGAAAATTGCAAAATTATGTGTGGCGGTTTTATAAACTGTTCACTGAAAATTTCCCAATAAAGGGTTACTTAAATGAGCAAACAAACATTTGGCTAGATTTTCATTTTGTTCCTGTTCATGGCTCTGGTAGAAACAACTGATTTCAGATCTCACACTCACCCGGATGTTGGATTGTAATTCTCTCCACTGTTTGCGTAAACGATGAGGGGAATCGGCTCATCACGATCTGCATTTATATTGCGGATCAAACTTTCCACGATATGGGGAGCGAGACAATTCACCCCTACAGCTATTATTTGACTGGGATTTGACTTGTAAATTTCCACGGCTGTTGTTTCAAAGTTGTCACCAGAAGCTGTAGAAAAACCGTCCATCTAGAAACAATATATTCTTTATTTTTCATTTAGCAAAGGAAAAGCTCATTACAGCTGGTCGGTAAATGAAATTTAAACTTGAGCTGACACAATCCATAGAGCGAAAGCTGAATCAAAAGTTGAAATCAATTGAATATAAAGAAAAAACAGTACTTACTAAAATATAGGTCACTTCAAAATATGATGTTTCAAAGTATTGAATGTAGAGGGAGATGTGGCAACATAAATAAAGGTAATTCATTGGAAGCATCGATTTCCCCAAAAAACATTGAATTTTGGGAGTAGCTCCTCAACATCCGTGGCAGACGAAAATCATTTCTATTTTTTGTTTGATAATGGTGGAACTGGTAGTTGTATATTATTTTATTGAAGATATGGGGGTTAGCACCCCCATACAACTACAATTTTATATAATATAAACGAATGGGGCATGTAAAAGATTCAAAAATGATAGTGGAACTGAGCAAGATAAAACTAATTCACCAGTTTTTTTTTCAATCAACATTTTTTGCAAATTGAAGGCTCAAATATAAAAACGGTTTCTTTTCTCTATGGATTTAAGGTCTGTTCGCAAAATAAGGTGGATATTCAAACGTACATTTGATTGGCGATTTGGGGGGACTACTTTGAATGAGTTGAAATAGAAATTGATGAATAAATAAATATTTCCTGAGCAAAATGAAACTTCACTTCATTTCCTGAACAGACCTCTCATTCCATATTTTTTCACCCCACATATCAGCTGATTTTCCAAAAGTTTTTTAATAAAATAATTAAACCTGAAGATTTTTGCGACCAATTCACCATAGGGTTGCTTTTCTATATNAATATTTATATAGAAAAGTTACATATAGGACAGATGTGCATAACGTCAATCTTCGGAGGAAAAATATGATCCATATTCCTGTACACAATAAAGAAACTTATAAAAGGTCATTTACCTACCATATATCTCTTCACGGCAATCTCCTGGATGTTCCCGAGTTCTCTAAATCAATTTACACTATCAAAAAAATACCAAAAAACATTTGTTTGAGAAGCAATGAAACAAGATTTTTTTTAGAGTATTTCCTCAATTATAGTTGAGTTCTATTTATATCCTGGTGTATCTATGGTTAGAAAATTGTTATTTATTTTCGTTCTGGTTTATGTGGAAGAATTGGTTTTAAGACCTAACATAATTCATTTATTTACCTCATTATGTGATCTGAATAATATTTTATGTTATGGTAAATAATAAATCATTATTATTATTATTCAAACTAAAAGCAAGGACAAAAGCGGCAAGTAAAAAAACTGCATTTAGATTTACGACATGTAACAGCAATTCGGTAACAAAATTGACTTACCGATTTTTTCGCAATTGGAAATCGCTATTTTCGCATATTCTACAGCTTTTTCAATCAAACTGATACTTTCTTCTCTGGAGATCCCCAAATGCTTCATGAAACCCATCACACTAGCCTGATAAGTGTTGGTTTCAATTATGTCCACTCCAGCTGAAAGTGTAAAAACTTCAGCTCACTGATATAAAAATAAAAAACAAGAAATCAAGTTACAAATAATGAAAACGCGATCAGATCATAAACAGCTTCTTGGAGTAGCAGTTACAACTTTAGGTTAATGTGCCAGAGATCCTCATGTTAATCTCACATCTATGATATATTTTTTCAACTCAATTTTCAATAAAATTACAAAAAAAAAGAAATATTTTTGAATGCTCTCTTGTTATGAAATTTAACTATGTTAGGATATCTTGTTTCAGGATATTCTTCACAAATAAATCTCACTTTAAAATATTCCTGTTATGAGTCATAGAAAAAATATAGTACTCTACTCGCGACTCCATTCTTTCAAAGAACAATACAAAAACAAGCCATGAACCAGATCTATCCAACTTCAACAAACGATAGTTAACAACACAGAAAATTGATATACTTCGATGAACCCCATCAATAATATCGCTTGTTTTTTTAACAAAGAAATACTCTGATGTGGCCTCAAAAACAAGTAATACTCTAAGAAAATTTATTAAAAACAGTTAAAACAAAAGTATATACGTTGCCTTCTGGTTCTTGCCCTAAACTTTATATTGGCCAAACGGGAAGAATGTTTTTCCAAAGAATAAAAGAGCATGGCAGCTTCTCCATTGTGAAGACCAATTCTACAGTTGCAATCCTCTTTTTAGTAGAGGAATATGAGTTCAATCACGACTGTGATGCGTTACATTTGGAAAAGATTTGAAACTCAATCCTTTAGAATGCTTGGAAATCAACAAATTCAAGAATTTGAAACATTTACCGACTGGCCGAATAGAACTGAATTAATCCCCTTCATTGTTGTCTAACGTTGAAATTGGTAGTAGTTGATAAGTAAACTAGCATTTTTTTTTATTACATGCCCATTCAAATAATTTGGTTTATAACATTTCTTTCCAAATGTTTGAATCCGTGTATGTGAACTCAGGTAAAATTACTAGTCATTAAGTAGGAAGAAAGCCATTTCATTCAGATTGTTAATTTAGACAAAGCACTAATTAGGTTGAATTTATTTGGTATGAACAAGCGTGAGGAAGCCCTTGTATAATGAAACATGCATTGCTGGTGTTTGGGAACACTGCTTGTTTTTTTATTTATTCTAAGTCAGAGGTGTCAGTTCCATATTTCAATTTTTAATTGTTCATTATCAACCAGGAATGAACGATAATAGGTGTTCAAATTTAGACCTTTAATTAGTATATTTGCACGAATGATTTCAATTATTTTTTCATAAAATGGTATTCTTAGCTATAATGCAATTATAATTCTCGATGCTGACATGTCCTATGTTCATTTTTAGCTTTTTGTTTGTATTCAACAAATAAATCATTAGTATCCATCAAGTAAAAATACCATCCTACCATCCTTCTATAAAAATTAATGAGTGGTGCATCAACTTTAGCAACAGGATAAACAAATTATTAGGAAAATGAAAGGCCTTAAAACAGCATCAATTTTTAAATAGACCCTGCCCTCACCCTGAATGTAATCCATATGGGTTTTGATGACTGCATCGGGATTCGTGATGAGAGCTTTTGAACTCCACAAGGGGTCATGATCTAGAGGTTTTTCCAGATGTTTATTCAACTGGAAGCCGTAAGAGCCGTCCAATATTTGAATTCTCCTGCGAGACATGTCTTATGGGTTTTCAAAACGATCAAGCTGCTGGCCTCCTACAATATCTGAAATAATAACAAAATTACAATTCTGCTCAACTGGCTATCGACTGTGGACTACTTTGGAGGGGACAAAATAGAAATCGATACATGAAAAATTAAAATTTACCTTATTTTTTGAATGGAGTATTATTTTCTTACTTCATTTGACATTGTATCACTTACACATTGAAATCATGATTTAGTTCATGCACAATAAAGTAAATGATCATCATCATAAACTGCTTATTATTTTTTCCTTATCTCCAGATATACATTTAATCGATTCTCAAATTAGACTAGAAAACACTAATGGTATCATGATGGGTTGGTGCTTATTATTATCTTCATCCCCTTTTTATATCGGAATTAGTGTAATTGTTTTGGAAAAAAAAATGAGTTATCAACAATTCATCTTCAGTATATTCAATGCATTTTGAGGTATTTGCATGGTTATTGTTATAGCTAACCGAATATACAAGACCAGTCATTTCATTCTTATCCAGCATCTTATAAAAAGATTTGTTGAAAATTAAAATTGAATTTACTGCTTACCTCTAATAAATCATTCATTGTTTCAGCCTCTCGACATCATATATGGATACTAGTATTTTGTGATTTTTTTTGTAGAATATTTCAGATGCAACCTGGCAACATGATATATTCATGTAGAAGAGTTACATTTTATATCTCGATAATAAAACAAACAGTGTTAGGGGTGTAGGGTATTCAAATAAAAAATCAGTTTGCCAAAATAAAAAACCGTCTACATGAATTTATATGTCCCCTCGCTCTGACAAAACAGTTTTCGCTTTGTTAACCAGAATACAAACACACCACTGGTGACACGGAACCGGAAATGATGTAAAGATAGAACCTAGGAACCCTTCAAGTTTCCACGAATTCATTTACACCACCAACATATTGGAGTCTGGTTTTAACAACTGGAAAGTTAAAGAAATGTGTCTTGTACAATTATCCACAAGTATGCGACATGAAAGGCGTATCTGGAACCGCGCATAGAATGAATCCTATGTAAATCCTTTTTAGTCACCCTAGAATTATAACCCCTCTGGACAGATGAAACTGGCGTTATGAAGAGATACTGTACCAACAGTATCTCTTCATAAGAAGAGTATATACCTACTTCTAGTATGTTGGGAATAGTATTTGTGTAGCATAAGGACTGACACGAAGTTGAAGTTAAAATTCTCCTTTGAATGAAAATGACAATACCTCACTTCATTAACAAGAAATAATTTTGTCTATAAATTGCATCAGCATAATACTAAATGTGAAAAAACTTCATGATTAACTCTATATAAAATCTAAGAACACTGTAGGTGAGCAGTCTAATTCCTAAATTAAATTTTTTTCAAAAGTATTTTTGCAAAAATGTTCCTCTAACTCACCTGAGTCAAATATTAAAAATTTTCTGGCATGGAATTTCTGTACCGGTATGACTATTATTGCTTTTCTTCAAGTTGAGACAGGTCTTTACAAAATTTTTCGCACTTCCCAAGAGAAACTTTGAATTTCTAAAATTCCCAACTGCCAGTGCCAAAATATAGCGGTTAGGGACAGCACCCGCAGATCGTGAACCATTCAGCACGTGATTATATTATAGCATTATAAAACAATAATCGACAAACAAATTCAAATTTTTTAATAACACGTGAATGAACAAATTGTGAAAAATACATCAATCATTTGATGATGATTGAATAATTGAATAAAACCGAATTTAACCTAGTAAATGTAAAATTAAGTGTAACCGAAACTGAAAAAAACACATTCTCAAGAAACATAAACAGAATTTTCAGTAGAATTTTGTCAAACAGACATTCAATGGTTGAATACAAGTATCTATTCGAAACAATTTTTCCTCGTCAGAGCAAAAAGTGCCTCTCGACGCGCGTTCTGCTAACCAAGTTACCATCATCAAGGAAAGTTGCTTTCAATATATTATTTAACGCCATAGGTTCTAAATTCTACTTAACATGAATGTAAGTGATTTTGAGAATAGTAATGAGCTGTTAAATCATCTTGCCATGCAAATCGTTGTTCTCTCTATACGCCATTGTGTGAAAACAAGAAAAGAAATCATTGAAAACGTTGAAGGATTCAAAGCCCTAAATGTCAATAATCTTATGACTATAATGGCCATATTCTCTGTATATTAGACAAAGTCAAGCTTTACTAAGCTTGGTTTGAAAATAAAACTCAGCTTAAATGTTAATATGTACCGTAATTTTGAAAACTGAGAATACATAAGACATCGTTTCGTGATGTGTAAAAATTGTGCAATTCAAGTACAAAAAGTAAAGAAATTTTATGTTCAAGTGGAAGAAATGGAAGAAATTTCATATTTTTGTACTCAATGGAAAAAATCATCTTGAAAAATACACGAAATAGAAATAGAATTGACTAATAAGAAAATAATATATAGATTTTTGAAGTACTTTGTGGATTTAATATATGTGAATATAATAATGGGGTAATCATTCGCCAAACTTTCACTTCGAGACAGTTGTCACAAAGTAAAAAGGTTCATTCACCTCACTTGAATAAGTGCTAGGTTGAAGTAAAAGTTTGGTGTATCGTTCAGTCATTGAAAAAATTCAATTTTTTTTCGTTAGGTACTAAAATTACCAGAAGAATAGAAGGATATATGTTCCAGGTAAATACCCCATTTTTATTCGGCTAGAGTGGTGCCGGTAAGTCCACACCCAAGTTCAACTTGGTTTAACGGCGTTAAGCTGCCAAACTGAAGGATTCTACTTCAAGCGGGCTTAAGGGTGATTACTGTTACAGTACATATAAAATTCACGAATCAAGTGAGGTTAAGGTTTGAGCCAGCCTTATTACTATACGGAGAATACGACTCATAAATTTCTGAGTTATTTGTTTCAGCTGAGTAACTTTGGTCACAGACTGTGCTTTAGTGAACGTACCCGGTATTTCTTCGATTTGATTTGACATTTCTGACAGTCGCTGATTACTGACTGACAGGTGGGGTTATGTTATGTAAAAGGCATATTTGAAAAATCTACCAAAATGTCCAGCCTTGTAAGAATCAGCTTGAAGCGCTTCTTATGTAATAACAATACCAAACTTTTCAATGAAGGCAAAAACCTAACCCTGGTTCGAACCATAACAAGCAGAACAACGAGAAGTGCTCAAGATCGACCCCCAAAACCAAAACCATGGCCCTATCAAGAAAAAGGATACACGCTCTTCCATTACTTGTACGACAAGACAACTCCCAGGTTGGACGAGAATTCCAAAGTGAGGAAAATATATTGCTAGACTTTTATGACTTGATCAGCTTTCTGTTCCAGATAATCGTCGTAGACGGACCAGTTGCTTCAGGCAAGTCAAAGTTCGCCAAGGAACTTGCCACCGAGCTGGAAATGCTCTACTTGCCCGAAGCCAATCTAGATATGATTTATATCAACAGCTATGGTTACGATTTAAAGAAGTTGGATCCTCTGATGCCAGAAAGTTGCAGGACGCACGATGTGATGAATTTCCTGAAGAATCCCAAGCACAGGAACACCGCCAGGTTCCAGATACAGCAGTATATTGTGAGGTATTGTAACGATCTTATCATTTTCAACTTCAGGTTAACAAATGGGTTTTGGACATATTGTAATATTTATATTACAGACAAAACTCAGTAAATTTTTGTTGCACAAGTTTTTATCTTTGGATGTAGGTCAATTTCCTATCTAGACAGTACCTACAGTCAATCCATAATGCTGTTAGGCATGTAGCTGAACGATTTGACAAAAGAGAAACACAGAAATCACCCCTATGTGGCCTCTCAGATAATTTCAATTTAGTGTCTCAAGATAAACGATTGGAAAAATTTGACTTTTATGGGATCTATGGAGTTCCTCTCAAATTATTTGAGTCATAATTACCTAACATATATTAGTCAGTGTATATTAATGATTTGTAATCCTTTAGAGGATAACACAGGGAAGTCCCCGGGTAGCGTGCTGGGACCACTTCTATTTATAATTTGTCTCAGTGACTTTCACTAAACAATTTCACAATAGCACAACACTTGTTTCGCTATACAATAGCTTCTTCAAGCGTCTTTCACTGTATATCCCTTAGTGGAAGTTTTATACTGTTGAACAAAACTTCTCATACATCTTTAGATTTCTTAATGTTCATTTTACTTGATTAAATACGGTTTTCAGGTTCTCTCAGTACATTGATGCCCTTGCTCATGTTTTGAGCACTGGAGAAGGAGTGATTCTAGACAGATGTGTCTACTCAGATTTTGTGTTTGCTGAGGCAATGTATAGCCAAGGATATTTGTCTAAAGCAGGTAAGGAGAAGTTGGTATTCACATTGAATTTCCTTTCAATAATATGGATATTTTATTTTTCACAGCTCGTAAGAAGTATTATGAAATCCGGGACAACACAATTCATGAACTTCTGAGACCTCATTTAGTTATATATCTGGACGTTCCGGTACCGAAAGTTATGGAAAATATAAAAAAACGGGCAATCAGTTACGAACAGGATTCCGCAGTATTGACTCCCCAATATTTAGCAGAAATTGAGAAGCAATACAAGCAAAATTATTTGAAAGAGATCAGGTATGCATACCTAAACAGTTCCGATGAAAACAACCTTTACTTTTGTTCTTTTGTCTAAATTAGAATCTGTTATTTTAGCAAACATGCAGATATGCTGATTTATGATTGGTCCAATGAAGGTGACATTGAAATCGTTGTTGAAGATATTGAACGGATTGATTTCAATAGATTCGACATTCAAGATAGCCAGATGAAAGACTGGGTTTACAGATTAGAAGAAGAATGGGGTTGCTTGCGGTACAAGTGAGTATCTATTTTTATGTACTTTCCTAGAAGCTAGTTTTGAATGTATGGTCTGAGGGAAACTTCATTGGTTTTCAGGTATGCTGATAAAAAAGAAAAACTGATGAACTATTGTAATGTCCCTTGTTATGAGGTGCCAGAATTGATTGTCGAAGCCCTGGATGCAGGAAAATATTACAGACTTCTAGAAGAGGTATTTTTTTATTTATATTTTCAGTTTCACTTGTTACCGACATTGATCCTAAAATTCACAGCTTTGTACTCGCCTAATAGGTCCAGTCATACATCCTTGAGGAACACTAAAAGTCGTTGCTTGTTCTATCTGTAGTATACAAGATCTGTTCAAAGGCACCAAATTCTAGTATACAAGATCTGTTTCAATGTCATAACCATACATCCATGATTCATCACCAGTTGATATTTAAGCAAATATGGGTTACCGATGATTTCATTCAACAACTCCTGAGCGGTGCTCATGTGACGGTTTTTAGGTCAAAATTTAGAAATTTTGAAACGAACTTCGCTGTCACATGCTTCATGTTTGAAATTAACGAAAAAATTGCATGACATGAGCCAACCGATATGCCGACATCCTCAGCAACCTCTCTAATAGTGATTCGACGATTCTCCTTAACAATTTTCTTCACTTTCTCAACATTTTCATGTCTCGACCTTCTGTGAAAAGAGTGTACCACATGTAAACATTTTTCTGGCTCAAGAGTAAAATCACCGTATGCCACTGTCAACATTTCAAATATTTTTGAGCACACAATTCCATTTCTATATAAAATTTAATGCAAATTCTTTGTTTGATCAATTTTTTTTGGTAGCAGAAAATAGCCAAACACGCAAAACATTTCTAACAAATCACCAACAAATCAGAAATGCCAAACAGCTGAAACTGTGAACATATGTTCAAGACGAGTGTACCAACATTAAAAAATTACAAAATCGCTAATTGAAAGCCCACAAAATTTGAACATCCACCTTATTTTTTTTTTAAACCTCGTAAATGAAAGGAAAACTGAATTGCAAAAATGTTGTCTGACAGGGATTCGAACCCGGTTCTCTAGACAGATGTACTTACCAAGTGGGCTTTTTTAGAAATCTTGCTTGGGTCACAATTTTACAATTCAGTTCGTAGCCCACGAAATTTGAAAATTCTCTTGAACCTCTTATAATCAAATAATTCTTGGTTTGATAATGGTGTTTTTTTTAGGCACCTGGACAACGGTACCAGAAAGGATACAATACCAATATGGGTGACAGCGGCTATTTATTCAAAACATCAATCCCGCACCGCCAAACTTTACCTTTGAGAGAAAGAAGGTAACTTTATTCATAAGTATTGCAATCGTGATGACTTCATTTCTAACCATTTTTCAGGATTGAGAGTTGATTTTATTGCGTTAAGGTCATCGTTTCTGCTTATCAAAACTTAGGTAAATGAAATATATACGTATTATAATTGGGTCTTGTTTTTATTTCAATTTTTCTGTATGCATCTTATGGTGACGTTGCAATAAATTATTACAACTTAAGTTTCATAATTATTTCTAGGCTTGCCTAATCCCTGGGTTTCATGTATAGAAATCAACTTCTTTGAATAAGTTAATGAACGTCCCGCTGAACGGTTTTCACCTTCAGAAGTACAAAGGCTTGTTTTTAAAGAACAAATATTGAACAGATACCTGATTGATTTCTTTAAGTTCCCGATAATCAAACAAAGCAACTTGAGGAAAACGGATTATCTATTATCCAGTGGGTGCAAGAACCAAACAAACAAAACTAAAAATATAATTTCTCAACTGCTATAAAACAATCTGAAAAATCACCCTTTTTTCGGGTGAGCAAACTGTAGCACTGTGTACAGTCCATCAGCAAGTCCTATGGCGGTGAGGACTGCAGTTAGTTGAACAAGAAATTTATCTCCGAAACCACCCTTCAGATACACAGGAATTTCAGGATTTCTCTGGAAATGCTCTTGCTTTTTCTTCAAATCGGCACTCAGAAACCTTCTGGGTTGACGAGGATTCATTCCTCTAATTGAAACCTTCAAAAGAAATTTACTTTTTAGATGTGTTCGCAGTAATTTGCCATACTGATGATGTGTTTTGAGATGTGCCTCTTTTTTGTTGGAAGAATTTACCAACTTGTTCTCTTCTTTACATGGAATAATTTGCTAGAAGCAACTAAAATTAAAAATATAATAGAACTGACCGATAGTTGATGACAATCCATTATAACGTATTCAAAAAACACACTTTAAAGTGTCGCCCAAAGATGCTATTGATTAGCGAAACACGTGTTTCGGTTTTATAAAGTTTCATGTGGAAATTTCACATAAAAGTGTGTTTTTCAAATACATACTCAAATTGAATGAAGCAGATCATTATTATGAAAGGGAAATAAGTATATACAGGACGTTTCCTAACTACAGTACCAAACTTTAGAGGGCGATTCGTTGGGTCATTTCAAGAAAAAAAATTCTCATGTCCGGAGTTGCTTCGTTTCACGAGATAAAGGGCATTGAAGTTAAAATAAAAACGGTATTTATGAAATATCATAAATATTCTTTGGTTGAAATTTGCTACAGTTATTTGAAGTAATAAGGCGCGATATGGAGTCCGCGAAAAACACAGCTCTAGAGACCTACAAAAAATTTATTATGTGGTCAAAGGAAAACAATTTAATGTTGAATGTAGCCAAAACTAACTTGTTAAATTTCAAGATGAATACTGGGCAACAATATGGGTTGAATCTGTTTGTTGATACTGCTTTAGAATTGAACCTAACCAAGTCAACAAAAATTTTGGGTGTTGTTTTTGATGACAAACTTCAATGGAGGACACATATTGACCACTTATGTAATAAACTTAGAAAAGCCTGTTATTCTCTTAGGTTTCTATCCCACCATTGTGGTCAAAGTATTTTATTAACTGTCTATTACGCAAACTTCAATTCGCATCTTAGATATGGCATCCTTAACTGGGGCACATCCTCTACCGTGTCTCGTGTGTTTTTTATACAAAAGTATGCTATTAGGATCATTGCTAAGTTGGGCTATAGAGATTCTTGTAGAGAAACTTTTCAGAATTTGAAAATATTAACGCTAGCAGCAGTAGACATAATGGTAGCTTGCACATATATCTATCGAAATAGAAACACTTTAGCTGCTAACAGAGCCTATCATAATCACTCTACTCGGAATGCCCACTTATTATTACCTAGTCAACATCGCTCTGCTCTTTTCCAAAGAAGTTTGGAGTTTCAAGGCTGCAAACTATTTAATAAACTCCCCGACAATATCAGAAATTCTGAAAATGTACACATTTTTAAATGAAGGCTGAAGCAACTTCTTCTGTCAAAGAACTGCTACAGTATTGATGACTTTTATTTGTAATCCAATACTATATGTGTGTATAGGAAACAATTATCTATTATTATATTTAAGTGGTATACATCTGTGTATGTTGTATATATGTATGTATAGGTCTAGGTAGTCTATTTTTATTGATTTGTTGTATTGTTATTTATTTCAAACAAGAATGTGACTAAATTTTCCTTTGTAGAACATGAGTGAAAAAAGCAATGGATAGTTGAAGAATGCAGCCATTTAATTGATGTTCCTATAGTGGAAAGGATAGAAAACAGTTCACAACGCGACTCGGACTAGTTTTTGTCTGTTTGGTGGATTTCGAGTTTGTTTTCGAAACTGAAACAGGATTTTTGTTATTGTTTTTGAACACGAAACTGGTCGCAAGTGAGTCCGTTTGGTGGAAATCCGTCTTTTCATGCATAGACATCAAATTTAGATAAACTAGACTAAATTATTACAAAAATAATATTTTAGGCAAGGTTGATGTGAAAACTTAGATTGAAGAAGAATAGAAAACAGCAAAATAATTTTTTCTAAAGACTTTTACATAATACATCTGATAATATTGTCAAAAAAGATATCTAATTCTAGGCCTATTTCTTCTTGAGGATTTGTTTTTTGTCAGCCACATCACCTCAAAAAAATAACAACAGAACATTGCAGAAAAAATATTACCACTCACCTGGGCTTGTAATCTTCCTAAATTTAATAATTTTGAAGCCATTATATCGAGCTTGTAGTTGCAAGGTTCAGTTCCAATTGAAACTATTTTTGCACAATGAAACGCAGCTGCAAATAAACAATGGAAAAAAGCCAAGGAATGTTGAATGCAAATATCACTCGCCAAGGATACAGAGTGTGCACATTATATTTACACTCCATGAGTGAATAGAGATATTAACTGTATTCAACTAAAAAATATAATCAGGATTTTTTTTTCTTATTAGTCAGTGGGCTATGCTTGAAGACTGGCTGTTTACAGCCCACTGACTAATACGAAAGTTTTTCTTCCTTATTCAGAGGAATCGGGCAAATTACGGATATGCAGTTTGTTAGTACCTCGCCCACTAGATGGAGTGACATTTTGTGATGTTCGCTCCAACTTTGGAAGAGGAATGAAATACTCTGAAAGGATTCCGAATATCATTGACTTTAGGTCGATGATGGTCACTATCTTGCACTGATGTGTGGCTAATAAGCCCGAAACCGGTCTGCAAGTGTGCCCGTTCCAGAATTGAAGGTCGACTCTTTCAGTTGTATTGCCAATTGCATATGCAGGATATTTTCTGTGAAGATTCCTGCACATATAATCCAACGCCCTTCGTGGTATTAGCCAGGGGAGTAGTTGTTTTCTGATAGGCGTCAGTCCATTTAACCTCCTGTGTAGGTATATTCGAGACTGGCTTGAACGTTTAAAGTTCATTTCTTTAGAATAGCCATCGACAAACCTCTAGTTCTAGGTACGTATGGATGGTCTTGTTAGTTTTTTCAAAATTCAAGTCACGTTTCTGTGGTACCTTAACTTTTTTATTCTCATCTTTTACTATTTGTGAAAGTTTCTCAACCTTTTTCTTGTGGTTTCTAAGGACTTTTAGGTTGCGTACATTCGATTAGCAAATTTTTTATGTTGGTACATACGTTCATAGTTTCAGAATGTTGGGCTCGAAGCGTGTGGCAACGAAGTTGGTTCCAAAATTGCTGAAGTTTTATCAGAAAAATCGTAGCATTAGCTCAGGAATTGTTGAATGACTTCAGCGGCGATCCAGATTTGCCTAAAAGGGTCGTAACTGGTTATGAATCTCGGGTGTATGGTTATGACATCCAAACCAAGTCCAATCGTTCGATCAAGTGTCAAGGTTTTGCTCACTATTTTTTTTGATTATCGCGGCATAGTGCATTAGAAGTTCTTGTCACATAGTTGTAAGGTCAATAAGGAGTATATCTTGAAGTTAGGCGCCACTGGCGAGAAGCAATACAAAGAAAACGTCCGTTATTGTAGAAATCCAATTCATGGTTTTTACATCACGATAATGCACCTGCTCACTCATCGTTTTTTCGCCAAAAACAACACTGTAATTATGTCTCAACCACCATATTCCACAGATTTGGCCCTCTGCGACCTTTTTCTGTTCCCAAGATTCAAGAGACCCATGAAAGACCTTGTACACAAACAGAACAATTCACTTTTCATTAAATTATTTTTATTTAAAAATAAACTGAGGAATAATTACCAGAAACAAATCCACATTATTTACAACGTAATCAATGAAATTTTCTTACATTCTAACTTAGTATGACATACACTATCCTTCTAAAGATCCAGTCGATTCAAGTTTGGTAGCAGGGAAAGTGATTTTTTCATAAATTGCAGTCCTTAACGGCATGTGAGGAGACAGTAGATTCGGGTCTCCAAAGACTGTTAGTGGCAGACTGAGTTCGTTAACACCACATTCCTTGTTTGTATATTCTCTGAGCACATAATCAGTGGAAAAATCATGGAAAACCCTTGTGTCATTAACCCGTACCATTACGTTATCAACCCTCAAGAAAAATCTCAATAGAACAAAGAAAGAACTTGGCATGACCCTCTGAAAATCATACATTATCATTGTAAGGACAAAAAATGGTGTAATTTACTCACAATCTTAAGTGTACAGGATGAAATTCCATTATCATGTAACTCGTCTTCGTACAGCATAAGTTCTTGGTAGAACAATATTTTCTCCTTTTCCTTCAACTTCTCCATGTTTATCCTTTCTTCTGTAGGGGTAATCACTGCCGAATTGTGTACTGTACCCCTGTAATCTGAGCTAAACGTCCAATCAAATGGTTTTATTTTCTGACCTAGATTTTCTGGCAACCTTGAAATTGAATTTTCGTAAACAAAGAAAATAACTACATTACAATGATAATATTGTTCGAAAACTTAATTTCATCAACAAAGCTTGTAATGAAACAAAATAAAGAAGTTATTCGGAAGAAATGTGAAAGAATTGGCTGATACTTCATGGAAATCTATTTTAATGAATTCAAAAAAAACACTTTATTGTGAGATTTTCACTGGATGGTTTGCAAAACCGCAGCACGTTTCTCTATACAATAACCCCATCAGGCGTTGCCATACTGAATAAATTCTACACAATTTGTGCTTCATACAATAACAATTTCTACCTAATTAATGACAAATAATTTTATCCAAGTTTAGGTAAAAACAAATTAAAAATTCATACATTTGAGTTCTTATTTCTGTATCAATCCTTGATCAATTAAAAACAAAATGATACTTTAATTTTTAAATATTTTGGGCTTTAAGTCATATATTTTTCAGTACCTTGATTCCTTCCAAGTTTCGGAATATGCCACCTCCACTTTGATGTATTCTTTTCCATTACAAACTTGCCTCAAAGCATCCAAAGCGTTAAATTCTATAAACGCGCCCGTTTTATGAGTCAAAATCAATCTATTGTTGGGGAAAACCATTTCTGGTAAATGTGGAAGTTCTAATTGGCTTTCATACCTGTGAAAATTCAACTGAGGAATAACAAAGCAATAGTTTTTAGAAGTGAAGTTTAGACTTACAGGCATAGTAAGCACTGCTCTTCTGACTTTACTTTGCATTTTTCACTGGTTCTGCAAATTGAATGAAGGATGTGAGATTTTGTATATTTCACAGTCCAACCATTAAAAGTGTGTTCTTCTGAGTTTACCGGCAATCGTTGAATTTCGATTTCCCCCTCTGCGTTACTTATAGTACCCATGTCGATGGAATTTATAATTCAAAATCGGGAGAATATAAAACTCCTAATTTTAATTTGTATGAAATTAAAAATATAAAATATAAATGAAGATAGGTCAGTTCTCCTTCTTTGCTTGATGGGTGTTTAGGTTTAGCCTCGGCTTTCAGAGATTTCAGGTCTTCTTTTTTATTTGGCCTCTGGAATCAAAGCCAGTGGACAGTCATCCTTTCAACCAAAGTTACTGTGACAAAAGAAATGTTCATTAACAAATTTCAGAACCTGTCAAATGGAAGTGTTTTCTATCATAATTTAAGTAATCCTCATATCAACAATTTGCAAATTAATTATTATGAAAAGAGAAATGAAAATTTCTGTTTTTTACCACTTTTATTTGTAACTAACGTTACTGCAGTTTCGTCCTATTTGGACATTCTCAAACTTATACAACCAACTCAGTTTATTGTATAAGGTGTTTTTTTAGATATTCCCCAGAAAATGTTTCCGAACAAACTCCACACTTCTCAGACATGTGATGTATATTTCGTAGCAAACCCCTTAGAACATGTTTTGAAGACAAATCCTTTGGATTCTTCAACCCCGTGCTTACTTCTCAAGTGAGACCGTAAAGACACCCTGTAAAGAAAACCTTCTTGACAAAAGTCACAAACATAAGGCTTTTCATTGGTGTACTGCCACTTGTGAGTTTACAAGGTGTACTTCGATGAGAAGTCATTGCCACAAAATTCGCACACGTGGGGCCTCAACTTTTCATGCATCATCTTCACATGAGTCATCAACTTCCCGTTGGTGAAGAATCTCTTCCCACAGATTTAACATTTGAAGTTCATCATATCCATGTGCGCCTTCTTCTTATGAAGAAGGAATCTGTTTTTGAATCAGAATCCTTGGCCACATTCTTCACACATGTACTGTTTAGCTGAGCTTTTGTGATGATAGGAAGTGTGCCCCCATAAGCTTTCGAAGTTTTTACAGGTGACTCCGCACAACTGGCATACCGAAGGACCAACAGTGTGCAACATTACGTGTTATTTTATATTGTCGGATCTTATCATGCGGCTACAAATGTGGCATTTGGTTTTCTTGTGCTTTGCATTGTGCAATCTATACAAGGATTTGTCAAAAAACTTCAAATTACAAATTTGACATGCGAAACTCTTCTCTTCCATTCTGTCAATAGAAGGATAATTTGTGCTGTCGATAAGTTCTTCCTGTTTTATCTCGATTTCTTCTTTAACTATATTAACGAATTCAATCAGCTCCTGGGTCTCCTCAAAAGATTTCTGAACAACGATATTTGTTATCCTTTCCTGATCTCTGACAGTGATATCTACTGCACCAATTTCTGCTTATTTTTGAGACACTCCAGGAGTGTTTCATGAGCTTTGAGAATCCGTTATTTGACCAATAGAGTGGCTTCAACCTCTTGGGCACATTCACTACATTGATACACTTTCATAAGAGAAGTCATATTCAGTGAATTCTTTTACTTTATTTTATTTATTTATTTTATTCGCTCATTTCTACCATATACATGAAAATAAATAT